GGTTGCGGCGCTCATCTCACTTTATTGGCCGAGGGAGCCATGTGGCCAACATGACTAAGCCGCTTCTGGCAAACCAGAGCAGCGCACGGAAACGCCGTTTACCTTCCCACCAGAGCGGTACCTATTTATCTACTTGCCCTTTGATGTGCTTTCAAACTGCTAGGTTGGCAGGAGCAGGGACCGAGCAACGGGAGCTCACCCCGTCGTGGGGATTCAAACCGCCGACCTTCTGATCAGCATGCCCTAGGCTCTGTGGTTTAACCCACAGCGCCACCCGCAGGGTAAAAGGATGCTGATGTTTCACCCAACTGAAGAGGCAAAGCAGTGCTATGCAGCATCACATGTGCTACTAGGGGTGGTTTGGCTGACATGAAGAATTACCAATACATCTGCTTCCTTGGGGATTCAAGCATTCTCCAACCTGAGCTGTGTACACACTTCATTTCCACGGATCTATGCTGAGTGTGACTTTGGCTGCATACACACAATACCTTTAAAGCACATTTGGAGCACACTATTTCCCTTGAAGAATTCCTAGGTTTAGAAAAGGCATTGGGGAATTGTAACTCTCAGGAGTAAACCACAGAGCCCATAATTCTTTGAGGGGGGGAAATGTGCTTTGAAGGTATAGTTGTGTCCACAGTCCTGGTTTATGATGTTGTAATTAATGTACATCTTCTCTGAAAAGGAGACATGCTGATTTAACTGCATTGCATTTCAACCTCATTGTATTGTGTATTATTGTATTGTGCACGTGGCCAAAATACTATCATAAAAGCAGCCAACTGTGTGGCATCCTACTGATATATTTCAAAAGTTACAAATGAATCAGTCGTGACTCACAAACAGCGGGACCTTGGTGGGATAGTAGCAGTGAGGACTTCAGCTTAATGAGGATGTGTGCATCACATGCTAAACTGCCTAAAACTTCTTCACCGTGGGCATCTAAACTCAGTGACCTGTGTAAATTTTTTTTGCATAACTTCTATTGTTTTATATAATCTACATCTTTTGCTATTTTGCATGGCTTATTCTGGTTTTATTATAGACATGGGAAAGAGCCAGGACCTTTGCAAAGCAATGTAGGACCACTCCCAACCACAGAAATCTTGCAGCACAATATTAATCATGCCTGCTCAGTTGTATGTCCCCTTGATTTCCAAGTAAGTATATTTAAGATTTCTGTTTTACAGTTACCTCTCTGTTTTCTTTCTGTAGTTGCTGCCTGCATATTTTCAACCACATCTTGACATTCTAGAGCAGTGTTTCCCAAACTTGTGCCTCCGACTGTTTTTGGACTACAACTCCCATCATCCCTGACCACTGGTCCTGCTAGCTAAGGATGATGGGAGTTGCAGTTCAAAAACAGCTGGGAGACCCAAGTTTGGGAAACACTGTCCTAGAGGGTCAGGCTGGATCAAGATGAAGCATGGTAGGAGCCTGAGGAGTTGGAGGTCTAGAGTTCAAGGGAGGGATCTAGCAAGTTGGGATGGGCCACAGTTGGTCCCCAGGAAATCTTGGGTGTTATCTGAGGAGGAGGCTGCAAGACTCAAGTCAAACCCCAAAGAGGGACCAAGCAGAGATGCCTGATGCTCCCTGCTGTGGCCTTCCCCACCATACTTCATACACTCCTGTCAGCTAATCTGCAGCCACAAGGGAGCCACTAGTTCTTTTCTGGCATTATGATGGCAAACCCATCTGCTGAATATTAGGGCTATCAGCAAAGATAAGCATCCTTGGGCAACTGTTGGCCCAGGACCTTGGGTGATTCCACCACTGACCCCTAACCCAGTTGCTCCTTATCATGCTTGCTTGCCTACCAGGGTGTTCAGGTGAGGACAATATACAGGAACAGCAACAGCATCTGTGCCAATGCAACCTGCTCGTGCGCCTGCCCCCTCTCTCTGCCCCCCTTGTGCCTAATCCCCACTGCAACCTCAAAACTGGGCAGCAGGCAATGACAGGGTATTTCCTCTCCATGAACACTCACTTGCTGTCTTGCCCTGTCTGCCATCAGATGGTGTCATCAGGGCAGAACTTGGGGACAACAGCCCCCACTCAGCAGAGTGAATAGGAGGGCCTCCAAATTCAGCTGACTTACAGCATTTTAAAGCAAATGAATGAATGAATAGACATTACCATCTGAAAGCTAGGGTGAGGAACCAGATGTGGCTGCCAAGCTGGATTTCTAAATCCCACCACTCTGTGGACCAGCTTTGACAGGTGGGTGGTTTTGTAAATTAATACAAGAACCAATAAAATATGGACAGGCAGTGCAAGCTTTTGATCCACAGTGGCAAGGACCAGCAGGTGCTGCCTTTCCTCTTCTTCTGGGTGGTTGGTTGGGTGAGTAATTGGAGCAGTGTTACCCAAACTTTGGTCTCCAGCTGTTTCCAGACTACAATTCCCATCATCCCTGACCACTGGTCTTGCTAGCTAGGGATGATGGGAGTTGTAGTCCAAAAACAGCTGGAGAACCAGGTTTTGGAAACACTGAATTGGAGGCATGGGGGAGCGGCGGTGAGGCACTGCAAAATAGGGGCTTGAAAGGGGCACTTTGTTGAAGGTCCCTCAACAGCTGGAGCCAGCCTTGGCACCAGTGTAGAAAAATCAATGCCAGTACGTGCAGTCATTATTTTTATTGTTGAGCTGCTTAATACAGGCAAAGGTTTTCATACAGTCAAACTTTTGTACGGGAAGATGCCCTTTGCATTTCCTCTGTTAGGTGTGGGCGTATGAAAAGGTTTCCTTACGCAGAGGTCTTGTTCAAACGAAGGCCAACATTATTTGCACATTTTCAAGCACTCTAATGATCTCAGGGGCATAATTTCCTTCAGTCCACCCACTATTTAGTCTGGCAAGATTGAGGAAAAGTTTGCTGATGTCACCACTCGCCAGTTGCTCTTCAGTCCCGCCTGCCCCTTTAATCAAAGTATTACTAGTGTTCCAATGCTAACTGCTTTTAGAAGAACTTGCCAGAGAAGCTGGGGAGGCTCTCTTCCAGACTTGTCAACAGGGTGGTGGTGAAGAAAGTCACCATGACTCACACATTTATAATCATGGAGGAGAAGAAGCAAAGAAATATGGTAAGGTAGTCCTGTCATGCCTATCAATCATGATCAAAGGTCACTGCTAAATCACATCTTTCTTTCATCCTCATTTGTTTGCACAAAGTTTGCAAGGTGGGTAGATCTTTGCTGGGCAGTTAGATGACAGAACTTGCATCAAGTAATTGCTATTCCACATTTTCCACTCCTAGCGGACTATTAAAGGTACAAGAGTCTTATCCTCTTTTTCATCTGGTCACCCTAGCTAGGAAGCACACTGGGTGACTTTGGACCAGTATATTTTCTCCCTGGCAGGATGCTACTGCTTGGCCCTGGGGAGGTGGGGGATAGCTCTTAATTTAGCACAGCTGATTTGCTCTTCCTCAGTTTCTTTACCCCCTTGATCCATTTCCAGCACTCACACTGCTGCACATTTACCCCCGAGAGCAAGGGCCACTGATTTAAGCAGGGCTTACCTCTCAGTAAAGTGTGCACTGGAGTACAACCTCCAAGTTAGTGTCTTTCTGCTGGCACCTTGTCAGAGGTAAGGAAAAGGCAAGCGAGTCAGAAGTTCCTGCCTCTGGCTTGCCAGATTTAGGCTGCCGTCGTGGTGGCGCCGTGGGTTAAACCACAGAGCCTAGGACTTGCTGATTAGAAGGTCTGCGATTCGAATCCCCGTGACGGGGTGAGCTCCCGTTGCTCGGTCCCTGCTCCTGCCAACCTAGCAGTTTAAAAGCATGTCAAAGTGCAAGTAGATAAATAGGTACCGCTCCGGTGGGAAGGTAAACGGTGTTTCCGTGCGCTGCTCTGGTTCGCCAAAAGCGGCTTAGTCATGCTGGCCACATGACCTGGAAGCTGTACGCCAGCTCCCTCGGCCAATAAAGCAAGATGAGCGCCGCAACCCCAGAGTCAGTCACGACTGGACCTAATAGTCAGGGGTCCCTTTACCTTTACCCGTGTATCCACTTTCCTGGGTGTAAGGCCCATTGAATCTGGAGATGGTGAGGGGGGGTGCCAATAATTTCTTTCCCAAGGGTGCACGGCAGAGGTGCCAACTTGAAAAAATGGGGGGGGGGAGAGATAAGTCCCACCCTGCATGATTGATCACATGATGTGGAACACATACCCCATTTGAATGACAATGCCCATCAACTTGGGGGGGAGGTGGCTCCTCAAAAAAATTATAGTGGTGCTGAAGAACGCCTAGGAGTAGGCTCCTATGGTGCAAGAGAACCTAGGTCCATCTCTGATCATGACTGTTAAAGTGGCATGACAGTGCTTTAAATGTTTGTTGCAAATTTGGCCATATTTAAGCACTTGGGCCATGGGAGTAGCCCATGGGGTGCAGGGGGGCAGCTACTCCCTCAAGTCAATAAAATCAATAAAAATATATAACTATCTGAGGTTCTGCCCCCCCAACTAAAGCCTGCCCCGACAACAAAAATCCTAACATACATCTGACCAGTGCTTCCCCCCCTAAAAAATGTTTAGGGGTACTCTCATTTTCCTACTCATATTGAAATACTGCCCCTCAATGAGGCCAAACTTAGATTCACAAAATGTTTAGGGGTATGCGTCCCCCCTGCATCCCCCCAGGAAAAAAGCACTGCATTGACCCTGTTTTATACATTTTTGCTAATTTACTAAATACCAACAGTACATCATTTTCATATAATTTTCTTTCAGCGTGTAACATGCTGTGAATTTAAAAGCCCAATTCCAGCATCTGCCACCTGAAGTGGTCATCTTTGATCTGCCTGGTGATAAAACTGCCCCTTTTCCCAGCAGCTAGAATGCCTCTCTGAAAAGAAAACAAGCTAAAGAAGCGTTAATAATAATAATAATAATGGCAGCGGGCTGTGCAGTTGCACATCTCAGGCGCCTCCCTCCCTGCCCTCAACCCAGCCCTCCGGGTTGCTGCAAGCTCTCCGCTTCTTCCCGCGCGCGCGCACGCGCGCACACACACACACCCCTCCCTCGGGCGCCTGTTTCTTTTTCACCCGCGCTACTCTCACGACGTCGGTGGGAATTTCCAGCTAGGAAGTGAGAGGGAGGCGGAGGTGCGGGCGGGCGGGCGCAGGAAGGGAGGCAGCGAGAAAGGCGGGAGTCAACCCCGGGGGCGCGTGCAAAGTCTTGTCAGCGTGTGCGGGCGGGCGGGAGAGAGGAGAGGGGCGTGCGCGCTGCTGGAAGCCGACGAGAGAAAAAAACACCACACCGCCAAAGAAGGGGAGGGAAAAAGCCTCGACAGTGACAGCAGCAGCAGCGGCGGCGCAGGGCTTCCTTTTTCTCTGCTTTCCCCCTTCTCAGCCTCGCGGGCAGCGAAGTGACTACTTCTTCCTCCTCCTCGTCGACAACAACAAGGAACCGCCAGCCTCTTCCGACCCCGCCGCGCAGTGGCGACATGGCGCTCTGGTGAAGCGGGACTCCTCTTGCTCGCCTCGGGTCTCTCTCCCTCAGAACTGCCGGCTCCTCCTCGTCTTTCCCCCCGCAGTGTGAGGCGACGTCGGCGTCAGGAATCCCGCTCGAGGTGAGCCCCGAGGGGAGGGGCGGGGAGGCGGGAAGCGGCTGCTGCGTTCGCACGAGACGACACCGCCGCTCGCTCGCTCGCTGGCACGCGCGCGCGCGCGCTCTCCTTCTCCCCGTTGCCACGCGGGAATGTTTATGGATGCGGCAACCAGAGGGACACAGGAGAGGGAGGGGGAGGTCCAGTATGGCTCCTTCCAGGCGGTCGGAGCCCCGGGGCCAGATTTGGAAGGAGGAGTCGGCTGCTGGTTGGCAGAGGAGGTTTTCGAGGTGCTTGTGTGTGTACAGAACGGCCTCGGTCCAGTATACCTGAAGGAGCGTCTCCACCCTGATCGTTCTGCCCGGACACTGAGGTCCAGCGCCGAGGGCCTTCTGGTGGTTCCCTCACTGTGAGAAGTGAGGTTACAGAGAACCAGGCAGAGGGCCTTCTCGGTAGTGGCGCCCGCCTTGTGGAACACCCTCCCACCAGATGCCAAAGAGAACAACAACTACCAGACTTTTAGAAGACATCTGAAGGCAGCCCTGTTTAGGGAAGCTTTTAATGTTTGATGTATTACAGTATTTTAATATTTTTTGGAAGCTGCCCAGAGTGGCTGGGGAAGCCCAGCCAGATGGGTGGGATATAAATATATTGTTGTTGTTATTATTATTATTATTATTTATTGCAGATCAAGTGGTGCTAGTCTGTGGAAACTTGTGCCGCAGTAAACCCGCTTGTCCCTCAGGTGCCATAATAAGACTCTCTGTTTCCCTGCGGAGCGGCAGGGAGAGAGACGGCCTTTTTATTTTTATTCTGATTTCCCACAAGTCATCATGTGCAAGTGATTTAAGGGAGGAAGGAGGGGTGAGTCGATTTCAGTTTCCAGGTGTGGACATTTTCAGAGCTGGCCTGAAGCCCTTTGAGTTACGGGTTAGCTGGGGTGGACCTCTCTGGGGAATTACATTTGAAGAGGGGAGTTCTGCATTTTACACTTTTCTTCTTCTTCGTGCTGCTTGTACTCAACAGCTCTTTCTACTTCCTCATTCTTGGGCAAAGCGAACATAACACGCCGCTCCGCTCCTCGTGCTCAGGAAAGCGGTGCTGGGACTCTGGGAGAGAGGTGCACATGGTGAGGCCTTCTCCCAACCCAGAGCTCAGAGTTGCCCCTTTTCTTTTGGGGCAAGGCTTTCCTGTGCCTTCGGCACTGGTGTCAAAGGCTGGTGTTCAACCGGGCAAGCCTCTTCCTCCCCCGCCCCTCATCACTTCCTCTTTGTCCCAAGAACAGTCTCACTTGCTAGCTACACAGCACAGCTGTTGCAAACGCAGGAGCTCTGCTGCTGGGTCGGGAGAGAGAGGTGACAGCAGCAAAGCCATCTCTTTTACGGTGGACCTTAGGGGAGGGAACAGAACTGTGGAACATCTTCCTTGCATTTATTAACTTCACAAAAAGGTGCACGCTGCCTGATTGTCTCAAACAAACAGACCTCAAAGCGGTTTGCCAAAAAGATAAAACAATATGAAGAACCAGCAGCAATAATTTAAGACATTTGAAAAGTTGAAATAGCAAGAGGTTGAAATTCGCGCCAGCTTTCTAAGCAATTGGGTAGGCTAAACAAAAAATGTTTTTAAGCAGAATGTTTTGTGTGCAGAAGGTACCATGTTGAATTGCAAGTGTTCCCAGGTAGGGTTGGGAGAGACCCATGTTTGAAATCATAGAGAGATGCTGCCAGTCAGTGTGGACAGCACTAAACTAGATGAGCCAATGGTCTGATTCATTAAAAGGCAGTTTCCGATGTTACCATTGGGGCAGAAAGGAAAAGAAAAGGTGATTTCATATTGAAAGGGGGGGGGGAGGCAATATACTCACCCCCTGCTGGAATTTGTACAATATTTGAGTGAGTCTCTTTCATGCTACTGAAAGTGTGTTTTTGTGATGAAGCTAGTTTTCCCCACAGTTAAGTTTATAGTCACTCAGCAATGCCAGGGCTCAGCCTCGAATTGAGGTATACTCCTAAAATAAATAGATCTAAAGCATGTGCAGAGTGCATCCCTCCCTCCACTACTAGGTTATCTGTTTCACAGTAATCTGGGATCAGGGGGCAGGATTTTCCTGCTGAAAGTTGTGGTTTCCATATTTCCTTTTTTCAGTGTTATTTGTGCTCAGGTATTAGGAACCTAAGAGAGCCTGTGTGGTGTAGTGGTTTGTGTGTTGGCCTGGGAGACCACGGTTCAAGTCTCCACTTGGTCATGAAGTTCATTAGGTGACCTTGGGCCATTCACTTCCTCTTGGCCTGACCTAACAGGGTTGTTGGGATTGAATGAGGGGGAGAAGAACCATGTATCTCACCTTGAGCTCTTGCAAGAAAAAGGTAGGATAAACATGCAATAAATTAAAACAGCTATAGGAAGGAATACAGGAAGCCACCTTATATTGTGTCAACTTTAACACTGTTCATTCCTGCAAGAGTTTCAGGGCAGACATCCATTTGCCAATATGTTAATGCCCCATAGCTTTCTGCTGAAATTCTCTTAATCATATCACAGATATTTCAGGTGTGCGTTTTTGTCCCGATTTTGTTTTCCCACTTTTGTTGCGAGCAAGAGTGTGCCTCCAGATGGCAACAATGTAGTGACACTGGAGAAACATCGCAGAACAACTAATACAATGGAATGATGTGTGGTATAAACCCACCACTGACACACTATTATTGCATCAGTGACATACTGCAGAATGCGTCTGCTAAAAATACCACTCTGGAGAAGCCACTGAGTTTGTTACCTTCCCCATTGCATCCTTTGCCATCCTCTATGTATGTTGCTTTTTCTTCACTCGGGAGTGTAATGTTTCTCAATGTTGATATGGTATCTCCCATATGTAAGGCTGAGTTCAGCTGCCCCTGTTTGCCCCCCACTTGCCACCTAGTGATCTGTTCTCAGACATATCTGAAAGTGGAACAGTGGGAGGGGAGAAGGCAGCAGTACCCACCAGGATATGAGTCTAGGATCTCTTTCAGTACCAAAGTTTTGCATTGGAATATGTTAATAAGATTTCTGCATGTGCAGAGTGCACCTTATTAGGTGGAATGAAGAAGGTATTTCTCTTCCAAGTCGATGATGGACTTGAGTCCCAGCAACTTTCACATTAAGAATTAATCACTAGTAGGTAGGAGTGCTTGCAACGTGTGTTCGTAGAGCCAATGAAGCACCAATGGCCGATGTGTGTGTGATTTTCTGTGAAATGTAAACACAGGGAGTTGTTTGAGATCCTTTTGTTTTCAGTACCTAGACTGTGTGTTGCTTAATTGTTTTAGTTTAATTATTTCAGTTCCAATTTTAACTTGTGCCATTCATGCACAAATTGAAAACCAAGATGATGCAGGTGCAGGGGAAATAGATTTTACTATACTATACTATTAGATTTCTAGACATTTTGTTGCGACTCGCCATGGGAATGCTTTTGTCGCAGAAAAGAAGAGCTGGACTTTGGGCTAGAGAGAGTGGGTTTGCTAAATGACTCACTTATGAACATGCAGGTTGAATTTCCTCAGAAATAAGCTGAATTTCCTCAGAATAAGGCCTTTTTCAAGGGAAGGGAGGGGATGTCAGGTTGTGACTCAGTAATTTTCTTAGGAAGAAAGGTGTAATACAGTGTAGCAGTTTGCCCCATGAAAATTTGTTGCTTCTAATAGCAGGTTTGTTTGTTTTTCCATTATACGCAGACCTTATCAATGTAGCGAATTCTTCACTTTTCTTCCTCTTCAGCTGCTCCCTGCAGAAATGGCAAGATTGAGTTCTAAAGGTGAATTTAGCTGCCTTTCAGTAAAATCATATAATCATAGAATGCATAGCTGTCAACTTTTCCCTTTTTTTGCAAGGAATCCTATTCGGAATAAGGGAATTTCCCTTTAAAAAAGGGAAACGTTGACAGCTATGATAGAATGGTAGAGTTGGAAAGGACCTTGAGGGTCATCTAGTCCAACCCCTTGCAATGCAGGATTCTCAACTAAAGCATCCATGTATTTTTCCTGAGTAAGGATTCTCAGTAAAAATAAACAACCCTAATTATTACTGGCAGATTTTGTTAACTTTCACATGAAATGTTGTGCAATTGTAGAATTTCCCCATTTCTGTTTGCTCACTATTAGCAGGCAGTATAATTTCGGTTAATAAAAGCCTTCTGTTGATACTTCTTAGATCTCTTCTAGAAGTAAGATGCAGACTGCAAGGTTCAGTCTAGGGATGGGTGAATCAGTCAGTTTCTGGTTTCTTTCAGTTTCTCATTTTTCCAAAGAAAATTCAGTATTTTTGTGTGAATTTATGTTCGTAGTTTTTACCTAATATACACATTTTTTGCATATAATGTCCCATAATTTGTATATGTTATTTTGATTAATAATATGCATTCATATGAACCCTAGTTTGTGCATTTTTGTACTCATTACTTGGTTTGAGAACAGCACTGCAAAATGTGGAGCTGCATGATTTTCAAAGGATGGCTGTGTTTCAGTTTGCATATTATTTTAGAAAGTGCAGATTAGATAGGGTCACCTTTAAATGCAAAGTGAATTGAATTTCATCCCCATCCTGAGCTTCCGTCATCTACAAGCCAGATAAAAACCATAGAATAAAGTGTTTGCTAACCTTAGACACAGATTATTGCTTTGCAGTGATGTGGTTTTTAACACCACCTTTCTGCCCTTCCTGAAAAGAAACCCACAGCCTAATCCTAAAATGGATTTTCTTCTTTTTTAAAGCTGAAGAGTAAAACAAACAGTGTGGAGCTGTTACTGTTATGTGAAGTAAGACTTGTGCCAAGATCTTAACCGTTTAACTCATTCTTCTACTTGGCATCTAGAGTATTTGGTTTTACAACCCTAATTTTCGGGAGCATATGGGATGGAGCTGTTTATAAAGGCCTCTTCACTCATTGTAGCTTTCCACTCAGGAAATGGTACGTAGTGCCCTGGGTACATTGCACTGCCATGATTTACCTTTACTGCATAAGCACAACACCACCTGGAGCACCCTGCCTTAGCTATCTATAAACAGTGAAATAAACAAGGTGCAATCGTGGTTTATTGACAGTATGAATACATTAGAACAGTGTTGCAAGGGTAAACCAAGGCCCAGCATCTTGTTCTTATTTTTTAAAAAAGCAGCCAGTAAGATTCTTCTCTAAGCGCTCACAAGCAAAGTATGAATGTGTGGCCTTCCTTAGTTGCGAGTCCTCAAGGCCTCGTCCTTAAATGTATTCTGCCTCCATACATTACTTATAATGGTTAATAGCCATTGATAGGCCTATCCTCTATGAATCTGCGTCATGCATTTTTATCATGAAGGGTGCATTGTACATACTAGGTGGTTTGTGGGGAAATAATGGGGCAACGCAGATGCCTTCATGCCCTGTTTGCAGGTTTCCTTGGAACACCTAGCTGGCCACTGCTGGTGCTGGTATCTAGGTAGAAAATTCTCCTTATACCAAATGCCCTTACGTGATTGTCAGCACTGTGTCTTCTGCAAGGATGTATACATATCCAGTTAATATCCAGCCCCTGCAGTCAACATATCCAAAGATCTTTTGCCTCGTCATTATGCAGTAACCCACCAAGTTGTATCTGAACTTTTGTGTGTGCACATGTGCACTTTTTCTAGTCTAACACTATGGTAGTAGATTTGACAAACATTTGATAAATTATCCATTTTAAGTGTAGGAGTTTAAGAAGCTACAAAGTGCCTCATGTGCAAAATACAATACATGTAATAACTACTAATGGTTAGAAATAGGGCCAGCCTGCCCACGAGGTGGAGTGAAGCAGCCAACCTTGGGCAGTGGAATTCTTTGAGGGTCGTGTGGCTGCAGCTGTTTTCAGCAAGATCTCATGGGGCTCGCAAAATATCTTGCGAAATCTCTGCAAGATCTCATGAGATCTTGCCAAAAGCTGCCTCCACGTGACCCTGGTAAGCAAGGCTTGGGCAGGAGGGACAGCACTTTCCAGTTTTGCCTCAGGCAACAAAACAGGACAGGCCTCCCCCGTTATACATAGAGCTTTTGCCACTGTAAGCTCTAGGCTTTGCAATACTCAGAGGTGAGGAAGCACTTTTCTCTATCCTCCTTTCACAAGGGTTGCAAATCCCCTTCTATTTGAACTTGTGTCCAGTTGATTTTCTGAAATACTTAGTGGTTATTTTTATTAGCTTTTAGATTTTATTGCTATTCAGTTTGCTTCTTGTATGTTTAATTTACTTATAACCCTCTTTGGTCAGTTTGAGAAGCCCTGCTTGTTGAACATTCAGCCTGATTCCTTTACACAAAGCTTCCTGGGAGGTTCTATGAAGCCAGCAGTTTATTGAGCATTCATTTGGATCTGCTTGCAGGGAGGTTATATGAAGACATGCCGAGGAATTGCTATCCCACACTTTCCAGCACATTTCCCCATCACTTTCCTTGCTGCAAAAAGTATTGATTTTTCTTTAAGCAGGTTTGTTGTGCAAGAGCCCAAATCCATATTAATTGTGCAAACTGAATTTTCTGTCATGCATTCAATCCCATCTGTAAAAATACCAAGAAGTGCCCTGAGCGCAGCATCTGTTGGAGCTATTTCTTTGCAGAAGGATGGGATGAGCTTCATCGGATAGACTACAGAATGTAGGTATTATATTCAGCTCCAAAACATACCTTTGCACTTCCTGTACTATATTAACAACATGCAGAGAAATAACAGGAGAGAAGCTCAAGAGTGCTTAATGCAACATGGGACTATAGACTTGTCCACATTTGAGCATTTTTTAGCTGTTAGTTCACCGTTTCTCTATTCGAATTAGACTGGAGTAGTCCACACCCACACATACTTGAATTTGTATATGAAGAGCAAGCTTGGGCTTTCCCATTCATTACAGGCCTTTTCTTTTGTGCTTGTTCCTGCCTTCTAATTTGTTGCTTCTGTTATGCCAGTTAAGTACCAGCAGGGATGCATGCAGATAGCTGTGTGCTCATCTGCAGTGTGGAAAATAATAATACTGATTTGACCTTGTAGTGATTATTGAGGCAAGGATCAGTTTCACACATAACGCTAAACTATGGTTCATTTTGCCGAAGTGTGGCTCCACCTCAGCAGACAAACTATGGCTTATTTCTGGGCAACAAACCACGATATGAAACCATGGTTTCTTCTTGGCTTATGACCCATGGGTTGTTTTAACTGTGGTATGGTGTTATATCTGAAACCAACAGCCTTGCTTAACCACAGTTTGCTTGGCCACCCCACCCCAGATGGTCACCAAGCTACAGAGACATGGGGTAAGAGCAGCTTAAAACAAGCCAAGATTTGGAGAAACAAAAAGTGGCTTGTCAGTTTAATAGTGAGACAGCTCATGTTTTGCTGAACAAATAATCATGGTTGCATTCACAAATAATGTGAAATCACATTTGAAATGTGATATCACAAATGCTTATTATTTGGTTGTATTTGAAGAGGCATTAGCACGTTTATCCCTGCCATAACTTGTTTTGTTTTATTGACTTATAGATAAGTAACTGCCAGAAAAAAGTATTGAGCTGAAGAACTAGTTATTGTCCCTTGAAAGCATTTTACCCCCTCCGTAGATAATCTTTTGCGGTATGCTTGGCACAATTATGGCCATTTCCCTTTAACCCAGCAAGAGCAATTCTGGGCAGAATTTGTTTCGCTTTAAGTGATTGGATAATCACTTCTTCTATACAGGCTGAGGTTTCTTTCATGGAACTGGGAATAATTCGTTTTTCTTTTTGCATGGATTTTAATGTTTTGGCATTCTTTGGCTTAGGGAAGCCCGAGCAACTCTAAAACCACGTGATTCCCTCAGGAAGTTTTGCAAAACATGAAGTGAATGGTTTTGATTGAGAACTGGGTGCATAAAGTCTTCCCTTCCCTATGTTCTACATGATTTTAGACTGCATTATTTTAATAAGAACATAGGGAGCTGCCTTGCTACCAGATCAGACCACTCAGTATTGTTGACACCGATTGACAGCAGCTCCCAGGGATTTCCGGCTTGAAGGAGTCTCTTCCAAACTTACCTGGAGATACCAGAGTTTGTACTGACACCTTTTTCCATGCAAAGTATGTACTGTACCTCTGAGCTATGGCTTTCCCCCAATATTGTATGGGGATTCATTTTTTAAATGGGAGACTGCCTTCCCAATCTTACAACAGGTAAATTATCAGGTGAACAAACTCAAGTTTCTCTTTCTATTATGTCCTCTTTGCATATATGCCTCATTTGCAAACAAAACTTTTTAAATGCAATTCCCAATTGCTGTGAGTGTTACATACCTTAGGGTTGTTTCTGTTTTAAGGGAGTGTTGAAATACTTTTATTAAAGATAATCTAAACGTCTTTCAGCTTTCAATTAGTGTTACACTTTATGACTTCCTTGATATACATTCTAATCTTTAAAGTTGCACAAAAAAGATACACTGAATCTCTCTCTTTTTTTTTTACTTGGTGTTCATGAGATATTAAGAAGTTGTTTCACCCAGTGTCTGCAACACTGTTTAAACTATGGTAGGTTATGCTTATATCAGCATTTTATCACACAACATGTATTACAGGCAATTAATATAATTTAGGAAGGATAGTTTCATAGTGATACCTACTCCCATATCCTTTTCTTGCTCCATTAGATGGTGATATAACCATTATTTACACTCAGAAATTACTATATTAAGCAATTCCTGATTTCTTAATGGTCTTTCCAATTGTTTTTTGTACCTAATGTTTCAGTGCCAATATGTGTGCAGAAAAGCCACCTAGCAAATACTGCATTCCTGAAAGCACATTCTCCTAACAACTGTATATTGTTGTTGTTTTCTGCATGCAAACTGAATTACTGGATTTCCCCCACAGTTTTGTGACTGTGCTGTATGTAAATTTAGACTGTGGTATTGGATGAAAAAGTCACCATCCTAATAGTGGGTAGTTCTAACCACTAAAAGACTTTAAAGCTGTGCTAGTCATTCAATGCCTTGTGTAATCTTAGGAGCTGGGAAGTGCAGGTGGCTGGATTTCAGCGTGCAGGATTTCCCCAGAACAAGTATTTAGTGCTCTGCCTAATTCTCTTCCCAAATGACTAACAGAGCAGGAGGAGAATAAATTATGTAAATAAGCAAATATTTGCACAAAATGCTTTTATTTGCATCATCTGCATGGGTTTTTAAAATGAATACTATATGGGAAGTTTGCCCTTCCTGTAACTGGCACTGTCTGATACACAGGCTGAGACAATTCCTGCAATGCTCCAGAACAGGCTTCCTCAACCTCGGCCCTCCAGATGTTTTTGGCCTACAACTCCCATGATTCCTAGCTAGCAGGACCAGTGGTCAGGAATGATGGGAATTGTAGTCTCAAAACATCTGGAGGGCTGAGGTTAAGGAAGCCTGCTCCAGAATTTGCTTTTTCCGGAACAGAATTAGAGTTACCTCCATTCATAAGTTTTATTTCATTCCTCTCTCATTCTCTAAGCCAGGCATTCAGGTGTAAAATTCCCCTCCGGGTTAGGGTTGCCACATTTCAAAAAGTAACAATACAGACACATAAGATGTGGATTAAGCTATTTTTAAGGGAAATTGGCAAAAATGACATTGCCAACATGGGTTGGCATACGTCCGGATTTTCCCGGACATTCTGCCAATTTCCTCCCAGAAACTGTTTCTGACTGCAGTATTCCAGGTATGTCTGGAAAATTCCTGATGTATGGCAAACCTACTCCAGGTGCACTTTTCATTGTAGGATTTACACAGATGTAGACCTATAGTGCAATTCTCATGAAACATTTCTTTTAAATCATGTCCCCAATTTCAGCCATTTACAGTTTTCTTTCTTTGCAGAACAAACACCCAAATATCCCAAGAAAGCCAATTGAATTTTATATGTGGGGTGCTGTTTTGTCCCAGCTAGTGAAATGTGCCAGAGTGTTTCTTTTTTCAAAACAACAACAACACAAAACTTAGCAATTGACAGAGGTTTAAGTGCCCAGACAGAGTTCATACTAAGATAAACCATAGGTTAGTGCAGGCATCGGCAAACTCAGCCCTCCAGATGTTTTGAGACTACAATTCCCATCATCCCTGACCACTGGTCCTGTTAGCTAGGCATGATGGGAGCTGTAGTCCCAAAACATCTGGAGGGCTGAGTTTGCCTATGCCTGGGTTAGTGTGACTGTGCTGGATCCTGATGAAAAGCAAAGTTGGTGCAAGTCTTTGCTGGACTCAGCACTTTGTTGCAGGTGAACCAGGCTATTTTATAGCTTGGGTGAAAAATATGCACAAACTCTTATACAGGTGTTTTTTTACAGATCTTGTCCTGATCCGGTGGCCCAAAGGAGGGCTTGGAATAGTTGGGTGCAGATATACCAAAGGATGCCAAACATGCCAAAGCGATCAGTTGCAGTGCTTTATTAAAGAAGGTGTAGACTTACAGCAAATCAGCCTGCCAATTCTCCTAACCTTTGCAGATGCAGGACGGACTCTGCTCAAGGAGATGGCTTCCCCATGCCCAAGCAAATGTTTATGCATTCTTTATACAGCAAAGCAGCACATGTCATTTATCTGACTAGATGAGGGCATAGATGACAAATACCCAAACCTTACAGACAGTTCCCCTTTCTGGGCTCAGAACCCAGCACCCCAAGCCCCACAGATAAGGGTAACATCAAAGCAAGTGAGTATAAGCGTATATGAACTTATTACTACAACCACTACCAGTTAATTGTGGGGTTATCTTGACTAGCAAGATGGCATTAGCAAAGTTTCCAGAACAGTTCCTTTGGTTCAGCACAGGTCTGTAATAAATAAAAAGATTGCTCAACAAGAAATAAAACCAGTTTTACTTGTTTTTAGCATTAAAATATAATATTGAATCTCAGGGGTGAACCACCCATCTTTGTTTCAAATCTAGCCCTCTCTGGGCTAGAGGTTACAGTGAATGTCACATTGGGAATGAATAATCCACATAGCGCTTAGTGAACATTTGTGCACTTTTGTAATCTGTTAGGCTTTCTGAGCTTTGTCTCATATTTTTATTTGCTGTAATTGAACAAGAAAAGGGGCTAGGTCTAATATGCCAAATCTTGTTTTGTAGATCCAATATGGTCACGATAAAAGTCTGAGCATGATAGACTATCTTTTGCTGGACTTCCTTTGTTTATCAACTCCTTTAATGACCTAGGAACTGAATGTTTGTAAAGGAGCCAAATTACTAGACTTCAGATTGCTTTCTTCTTGAGGTTTATGGGGCTGTATGTGAATTAGCATTGGGAAATATGTTAGAATAGCCTTGGATCATTGGAGATCATATCCACTGGATAGGGGACCTCAGTATTGCACAGAAACTTGCAGGCCAGAACTTTAGGAGACTGCCTAAAGGTAATCAGCTATATTCAATGTCTTGCTATTCAGGGCTGGAGGAATGAAGAGCACTCGGGATTTCAGTATATCAACAAAGTTCTGAGAGAATAATAGAATAAGGGGTGGGGTGGGGGACAAAAGTTAGGACCGTGCAGCCACTAGCCTCTCATAGATTATCCATAAAGTCTAGGCCACAGCTGTTCCACAGAGGGCAAGAGGTTTGCATGACGATACCTATAAGCACTGGATAATAAAGAGGCAAGGTACTTCATTCTACATTTGACTTCTTCTGCTTCAGTCAGTTTCTAGAATAGTGTTGCACCAAAACTTTCTCCTGCTCCCCCCCCCCCGTGAGAAATGGAGAAAATAAAATATTTTTAAGAATTATCAAAAGCAAGAGAAAAGTACAACTAAAATACAGTGGTACCTCGCAAGACGAATGCCTCGGAAGACGAAAAACTCGCAAGACGAAAGAGTTTTTCATTTTTTGAGTTGCTTCGCAAGACGAATTTCCCTATGGGCTTGCTTCGCAAGACGAAAAACGAAAAAAATGAAAACGTCTTGCAAGTTTGTTTCCTTTTTCTTAAAACCGTTAATACCCAGGGTGACTTCGAGGAGCAACTCATAGCACGCGGTGTGGTAGCATTTTTTGAGGTTTTTGAAGACTTTGGTGATTTTGAAGACTTTGGAAAACCGTGCTTCGCAAGACGAAAAAACTCGCAAGACGAAAAAACACGCAGAACGAATTAATTTCGTCTTGCGAGGCACCACTGTAATCATGGGTCAGGTGTAGGGTCATAGATGCGCTCACCTTACTTTTGAGGTGGCCATGGGGGTTTCTGTGAGTGTCCCATTTTTCATTCAGCATATCATTTTGCCAGTGATCTGCTGTCTGCAGTCTTCCTGGGTGCTAGCACTTCAAATTTAAAAAATCCAGGGCAAGGCATCATTTGGTAACCCCCCCCCCCATTGGGCGTTTTTAGCCAGGAAGCATGAGCAGCCAGGAAATCTACATTAATCCATGCAAGGATAACTCAAAACCCTTCACTGACCAAAATTCTAAATAAATTCTCAATTGCCTTGAGAATTTGGGGAGAACCATGGAAGCTTCTTTCATAGATTAATGGTTTTCCCACAAGTAGCTGGAGGGTGGATTGCATCGCAGTCCGAGTTTAGCACTTCTGAAATGATGAAAACTTGAATCTGAAATGTAAAGAAATACATACTCAACAACCTTTTGATAGGTTTGCTTGCTTGCACTGTGAAATATCCTTATTTGAAAATGTAAGGTTATTTTAGTCATTTAATCTGGTGCTGTGAATCATCGACAAATGCATGAAACTGCAGCTTGCATGCCTTTGTTCTTAGCTGGGGGGGGATTTTCTTTGCATGTGATAACACTGTGGGAGTCCTGTTGCTTTCCTCCTGGATATAAAGGAAGTTTGCATATGCCCTGTGGAATATTAAAATTCCCCCTCAGCATTAGCCACCTAAACTGATTGTGGTAGCCTTAGGTTTGCAAAGCAATTGGTGGTTTGGTTGAGGTAGTGGCCTCTGTTTTATCTTAACTATTGATTCAGGCTTCACACAGGTGTTTGTAATGTAATTGGGTTATATTACACACACACACACACACACACCACTCTACCTGGCAGGGCTCTAAAAACATGCCTACCTCAGAGTTTTATTGAATGCCAGAGGAGGAAGAAGTTTGATCACTGTCTGTACTTAAGAGTACTGCTCACTGTTAATTCACTGTGTCCTGAGTACAGCCCAGAGATGGAATAAAAGTGAGTGGGTTTGCACAGTTAGTGATATGCTGGATTGTGGTCTGGCTTTATTTGATAGACAAAGGTTGTCATACAGTTCTGCAAGGTTTAATCAGTATTATCAGCTCTGGTGGATTGGTGACAGGAAATCCGAATCTGTGAGGGCATATTTATTTGTTTTTTAATGCTGTGTTGATTCTAAATAATTGAAAATAAAATATTTTAAAAGAACCCTTCCCTTCTAACAAGAAGTGGTAACTTTTGGTAATATAAGTTCACCTTAAACTTTTACTAATATTTGAGGTCAACTACACACTATACTTTTAAAGCACATTTAAAGTGCATGGGTTCCCCAGAATGTTTGACATTGTAATTTGCTAAGGTTGCTGGGAATTGTAGCTCTGTGAGGGGTAAACTACACTTCCTTTAAAAGCATGGTGTAGATGTGACCTTTTGCATCAGGTCAGATATGTATGATGCAAAGTTCAGTTATGTATTTCAGATCACATTTACCATAGCAAGCAAAAGTCTGTTTCTAAGTAGCTGTCATTGGAAAATCCAGTAACAGCCAAACCTTCCTTTTTCTGAGTCACATTTGATACATTCAAAATATAGTTTCCTCATATCATACATGCTTAATAGAAACTAAAAGGGCTGTGAGTTCCTCCAGAAAAAATGAATAATGTTGTTGTTCTTCATCATCATCTTCATCATCAAAAATGAGGTTCCAGTACCTGTACTGATATATTGATAAAAGCACCATGGGTTCTAGCAGAGAATGCCTGACATGGCCATTTAAAAAAAGTAGTACTATAACACACAAAAGAAAGCCCTGAGTAAAGGGAAGGCGAGCGGGGGGTGGGGGAGAGAGAGAGCTTATTGGTAAATGTGTTTTGCAAAGGAGCTGTGAACCTTGCCTGACAGGTTTCTCTAGACAATTGACAATATAGTTAAGAGGAGGGTCCCCTTAGCTCATAAGTCATACGGGAAAGACGAAGAAATTTAGCGATGCTTTTGTTATACCTCAGCTAACAAGCTTGCATCATGCATTCCTGGTCAGCTAATATTGTGCTAAAAAGGGAATGTTGCTGATATCTAGCAATTAAAGGATATTGCTAGGGATGTATGAAACTTCTACCTCTCCAGTATTCCAACTACAGTAATGAATGTTTGGGCGGGGGAGGCATAGGGCGGGAATAGGAGGAAGAATAAAGCTTCAAAATATGGTGGTTGATTATTTGTTTATTTAAAAGCATTTCTAAACCCCTGGATATTTTAAATCTCTGTACAAAAATAGAAACTTAAAACTAGTAAAAGAACAGTTTAAAAAAAGCACCCCCAGAAATCTAGTAACAACAGGGTCCACTCTTATGGGACAGGGGGGGAAACATGCAAAACGATTTGTCTTTACAAGATGTCTGAACTAACTGGTGAATGATGCTTCACATATGCCTACTAAATTACTGGTATTGGTGATCATACAAAAGACAAAGCTCTGCTTACCCTCACGTTGCCTTTTCTGAAGACAAGCAAAAGTATAGCAGCCCACTGTTTTTGTTTTTTTTAAAGTTGGTCGTACAATGCCTTCAGACCTTTTTTTAAGCAAAAAAACCCCATTATATAAATAAATGTATTTTATTTATATAAATAAATGGACATTATAAAAAATAAAATTATAAAACAGTAGAGCAGCATGAGTTCTGCAGGCATTATGAGAATGGCACCCCAGTTTCCAGTTTGCCAGATTGGTTGTGTGAATCACTTCTGAGCTGGTTTATTTAGAAACATTAAAAAAAAAAATTCAATCAACTTCGTCCCTGATTATTATAACAATAAAGGACTGAACTTGATCTAGAGATGTCATCCTTTCTAAAACTTTAAAAATAATGCAGTATAAAATAGCATCTGAAACATTTTGTATCTCACATAGTCAGATTAGTTTCCTTAGAGATTTCGGTTTGACTTTATTGGATGACTTTATGGACTCAGTAGCTTTTGTAACTATGCATTGACTTGCAATATATGGTTAATTGTTTCAGTTCTCGGAATGGCAGATGACAATGCGTATCTCTTGGGAGTTACGGACCCTCAGGTGAGCATTTTCTGTACCCTGTGATTGTAACATGCTGCTGAAATGTGTGTAAAGCATTATGCGAAGTTGTGTTTCCTACTTTAAAAACTAAGGGATGTTTGAGCCTATAAAACAAATAGGAGTGGGGGGAGAACCCCACCTCATATTGAGGACTTTCATCCCTGACAGTTTCTGAATTCAATTCAAAGTGGTGATTCTGATCTTTTAAGAGCCCTTCACAGTGCGCTACCATTGTTTCAAAGATTGCCACTTCACACAGGTACTGACCTAAACCTTGAGATCATAATCTCTGCACCCGCTACTTTGTAAGGTGAGGTAGAGTAGCTACAAGAAAAAAGGCGTCTCCAGTAGTGGTATGGTTACCACCCCGAGACAGGCTCTCCTGGTGCTTCCTGTAATTTCTTTTTTGGCACCTTAGTTTATTTTCCCAAGCATTTTAAACCGTTGTGGATTTAAGATTGTTTTGCTCTTTATGTGTTTTTATTCCTCTGCTCTGCTTTAAAGTAGTCTGGTTCTGCGGTTTTATTTCTCTTCTCTCTGTTTTGAATTGACTGTTTTGAATGTATTATTAGGCTCTTTGTTGTTGTCGTCATGTGTTAAGTTGCCAAGAGTACTGTTGTTGCAGGATATAAAGATTGCAAATAAATAAATATAGATTTGATTCAGCTGGAAGTCATCAACCTTGAGTGAATTCATGGTGGGACTGCAAAATGGTATTAGCGGTTGCTATTCAGCTGCTCTTCATTCTCTCTGTTGATTGAATATGTTATTTGAGGGCAGAGTACTTCTCATATTGCTGTGTTACTTTAAGATAACTTTCCCTTGGACGTATTCCTTTATATGAGATATACGCATATGATCCTGTTCTCCAGTTTCTGTTTCAAAATAATTGCAGATCTGTGTAAGAAAGTGCTAGAAATAGTGAAAGGAAACTAGATTTTGGACACAAATAATAATCTATTTTCTGTCCATATTGCTAAGAAAATGCAAAGTAAGCTCTGCGAATGAGAGACCCATTAAAAAAGTTTACTTGCTATTGCATTTTTAGGTTAGTGTATCCTGTATGAGTCATAACTATGGTTTAGTTGTTGCTTCATTTGCTTTTAATGAGTGGGTGTTGCAACTTTTTGACATTCACAAAGGTCTTTGTATTACGCCCATGTTCAAATTAGCAAAAAGTAAAATTTCCAAATATGATCATCCACCCACTGTGAATGGTGAAACATGAACAACTTTACATTTTAATTTTTTAAAAAATATATACTGGTCTGGTTGGACTGGCAATTCTACAGATGTTAGCACTGTGTGTTCATTAGTCACTTATTAGGTATTACCTGGGTCTTCTGTGAAAACCCTATATGGTTGAAATAGTTAAGATGTTGGGAACTACAACTCCCATCATCCCTGACTATTGGCCATGCTTGGTTGGGTATGATAAGAGTTTGCTATCTGGAGGGTGCCACATTCAATGTGCCTGAGATATGGTATAGGAACTAGAAGTTTGCCCTAATGTCATCTTTTCAAAAGTGGTTTTGAAGGAAGAGATCACACACGTGATCTGGCAGACTTCTTGCAATGAATGTGTGCAATATTATGTATTATTGCAATTCCATATATCCATGCTTGTGCTTCGCCTATGGACTGCAATCCTCTACCACGTGCTTAGCACCTTTGAAGTCTATATGTAACAGGATACAGAACTTCAGCTACTGATTGCAGTCCTGAGCCTTCCAGTATATTTGTGGCTCTCATCATTATATAGATGGAGCGCTTCTTTTCCTTGCATGAGAAGCAGAGAGGAATCTCTGTTCCTGAACAAGGCTACCTTCATATGAAGAAACGTTAGCCTAACATTTGGGCCTTTTTTTTTGTTTAGGAAAAAAGTGAGTAAGGGAATATTATATATGTGTATAAAATTGTACGTATGGTGTAGAGAAAGTGAGTAGAATGGTTTCCTCCCTCTCTCCAATAAAACTGAATATTGGAAGAATGAGAACAGACGAAAGCACTTATTCACACAGCACATAGAAAACCATGGAATTTGTTCCCGCTAGATGTACATGACAGCCACCAACTTGGATGGCTTCATTTATTTACGTACTTATTGAATTTACATCCCACCCTTCCTCCCAAAGAAGCTGTAAGGCAATACAAATTAGAAAGCAAGCAAGTGAAACACCTCAGAGGTAATTAAGAGCTTTTGGCAAATTCATGGAGGACAAAGCTATCTTTTTCCTCCACTGTGTGGAGGCAGTATGCCTCTGAATACTAGTTCTTGGGAATCACAAGTGAATACCATTGCACTTCACGTAGGTATCTGGTGGCCACTGTCAGAATAGGATGCTGGCCTAGATGAGCCTTTGGCCTAATCTAGCAGGGATCGCGTTGGGTTCTCATGTACCTTGTTAGCGTCACAGACATTGGATGCAATATGGAGAAAGTGGGATACACATTTGCTGGTAGTTCATCAAATAGCATACTGATTCAACCCAGCTATTGAAAAGAGTTTGCATATTTATGGTAACTCCGCAGAACAAAATTGGGTGAGGAAGCAAGAGCTGTAAAATTAGTATTTTTGTTACTAGAGCCTGAAATCTATTAAGAAGCACAGATATTCTCAATGCAGGTGTATGGAATGGACCACATGATGGGGATGAATCAGCTGCTCAATAGTACAAGCATGATTACATCTGATCTTCACCTGCACACAGGTAAAAATCATTTATGCTTGACTGAGATGGTTTGTAAAATTGCTTCATATTCAGAAACTTATATTTGTCTAAAACAGTTATAGATTATCGTTACCAAAAAAAGTAAAAATCCTTCTCTGACAGCTTCTCCCATTATGGTATTGTAGTAATGTGAGATGTGTTTGTGCCCAAATTTTCCATTCTAAATAGCTTTGAAGAGCGCAAGACCCATATTGAACTGGGAATTGCCAGCTTCAGAGTTTTGACAATCAGATGTTGTGTTTTTACGGAACATGCTAGCATAAAAAGGATTAGTGCAGTACAGTTGATTCTTCTTTTCATTATATGGATATGAAATGTTTGGAAAGTCTGGGGACTTTCTGTCAATAAATGCCGCTTGTTTCTTGCAACTGTTCAAATATGAAAAGAGTTTTGTTGATACAGTCCTGTAAAGGACTTAAGCTGCCTTGTGCCTTTTCCTTCTTACACATCATGGATGATTCATTACAAAGTTTGACATCATAAATTAGTAGGGAAAGGGGAAGTACAAATGACTTGCTCTCCCTTTTACTGTGCTTCCTAAGCTATGTGCAAAGGAGATCTCTTTTTCTCTGCTATGATGTGTGTGAACTTGGCACGCATCACAACTCCCACTTTAATTGACATGCATTCCCCCTCACTGTTACGTTTGAAGCTGCTGTTGAAAGTTGGCTGTTAGTTAATGTGTATATTTACCTTGGTCCAAGGAAGCACAAGTGGGTGCACACATCACTCACATCCCCAGAGCACATTTAACTTACATTTAAAGCACATGGCTTCCTCCCCAAAGTATCTTGGGAACTGTAGTTTATCCCTCTCAGAGCTACAGTTGGCAGCACCCTTAACAAATGATGGTTCCCAGGATTCTTTGGGGGAAGTCATGTGCTATAAATTCATGGTGTGAATGTGACCATCATTCCCAGGGACTCATGGGAGGGTTCCTGATTTTCTCTTCTGGTGACAATCGCGCTGGAGGGTCTGCCAACATTTTTTGGCCACATTTCATCATGCACAGGGAGCTAAGGTAGGGAGAGGTGGCTGAAAAACTGAAGTGTACATGTGGAAAACTGTCTGAGGACTTTTAGATCCCCCACCCTTATTTTAAACCTATTTTTCCTTAAAGTTGAGGAAGTAAATTATCAGAAAGCAGTTTGAAATCACTACTACTACTACAAAAAGTTAATAAAACACAGTGAATCTTAAAACTGAGCAAGCTTGCCCGACTCTTAACCAAAAGACACACATGAACAAAATTGTCTCTCATTATTTGACAAGGGACAGCCTTATTATATACTTTGATAATCATTGCAGAATTGTTTTAGATAACTTGTTTGTAGAAAATTGTTCTTTTTATAGTCGGGGAACTCAAGGCTATTCTCAGCTGATCTTGATGCTCCTTGGATCTGTTAAGATTCTTCTTTGATAGTTGAGCAGGATTAAAGTAATACAATATAAGTATAACCAAAAAGGTTTTCAGATCAAAGTCGTACATCAGCCCTCATTTTCTTAAGGCGTCATATGCAAAATTGTGGCTTTGCAAATATAACATTTTATTTTTATAAATATAAATATAGAGGCAGTAACACCTCTACTTTTACTAACTCCTTGTGCTATTTTTGGATATATAGATTATTCAATCCTAACTTAAACTTTTTCTCTGACCAGAATGTGCCCACCTGATTATACTTGAAGGGGGAAGGGTAAATTCTGCTGGAGGGAGGGAGTGACAAAGGGGAGAAATTGTAAAGTGAACTGTTATCCTAAAAAAAGCAAAATAGGAAAATCTTAGAATTTTTTTTTAAAAAAACCTATCTTCCTTTCATTTTTTGTAACAAGGTGATGGGCCATACCTTCAAATTGTTGAACAACCTAAGCAGGTAAGAGAAGACTATTGATGTTCTGAAATTACCACAACAATCTCTCAGTTAACTGCTGTAATGCTAGATTTAGAAATGTCGAACAACATTTTGTCCTCTGGTTCCATATCTAGTCTGTCTTGTTATGGGTGACTTAATATTGTTGCTTTTGGTTTGTTTGAACCTGTTGGGCGTCTAAATGACAGGAATAAAAATATATTCCTTTAAACAAGAAGATTCCCAGTGAGGATGCCTTGTTTTGGCAGGGTAAAGGTAAAGTAAAGGTACCCCTGACCAACAGGTCCAGTCGTGACCGACTCTGGGGTTGCGCGCTCATCTCGCTCAAGAGGCCGGGAGCCGGTGCTTGTCCGAAGACAGCTTCCGGATCACGTGGCCAGCGTGACTAAGCCGCAGCTGGCGAGCCAGCACCAGCGCAGCACACGGAAATGCCATTTACCTTCCCGCTGGAGAGCGGTCCCTATTTATCTACTCACACTTTAAGGTGCTTTCGAACTGCTAGGTGGGCAGGAGCTGGGACCGAGCAACGGGAGCTCACCTCGTCGCAGGGATTCGAACAGCCAACCTTTCGATCAGCAAGTCCTAGGCTCTGTGGTTTAACCCACAGCGCCACCCGCGTACCTTTGGCAGGGTAGCTATAAGTAAATATAAGGCATAAGGGAGCCCGCATCTGTGTGGTACTTCTACAGTGGGGAGTAGCCCATGTGGTGCTCTCCACATGTTGGTCTGTGACTCCCAGAATCTCTGTCAATTGGCCATGCTAGCTTGGGCTAATGTACAACAACACCTGAAATTTCCATATTGATCATTCCATATTGACCATCACCACAAGGCAGAATACATGTTTTCTCTGAAGGAGTGTAAAATTGTGTACAAAGGAAAACTGGAACAAAATATCCTTAAATAGGAGCAATTCAAGAACCCCTGAATATTCTAGTGCTCAAGTCTTTGTTTTTTGACTTTATTTCAGCATTGATTAGCCACCTAGATCTTTATCATTCACACCTTGTCTTGTTAGGCAAAATCCCCCCCCCCAATTGTGGCAACTTTGGAAAGTACGTTGTTATGGTTCTCTTTTTCTTTCTTTTTGAACGGGTGGTTAGTTGATCTTAAGAACAATAGTGGTTCCAAACTTCCATGCCCTGCTTTTTTCTGGTGCCCCCTACCCTATAGCAAGGTTCTCAGCACAGCTCACACAGCCTGGCTCCCTACTTTTGATTTTCCTTTTAGACAAACCAGCTTACCATCAATGCAACTTATGGATGGCTTCTCCTGCAAACCAGGATCAAATCTTGTTATTCAATCCTGGTCTACAGGACAGGTATGAGCCATACTTTGCCTGAAACCAGGAGTAGTGGCAGAAAATTATCACGGATGAGGAAGACAGGTGCTAAAGACATCTGGCCACTTGCTTTTCTATGGTCAAAACAGAGCTTGACGTTTTTGTAACACTTTAGGAAGCTGTCTCAGGCTCCATGTCCATCTAGCCCAGGCTTCCTCAACCTCGGCCCTTCAGATGTTTTGAGACTACAATTCCCATCATCCCTGACCACTGGTCCTGCTAGCTAGAGATCATGGGAGTTGTAGGCCAAAGGTTGAGGAAGCCTGATCTAGCCCCATGAAATATTCAATGACTGCTCTCTGCAGTCTCAGAAAAAGCTTTTTCCTATCACCTGCCATCCGCTGCTTTTAACTGGAGATGCCTGGAACCTTCTGTATTCAAAGTATGCTTCTTTGCTACTAAGCTCTGGTCCCTCCTAATAATAATATCTGAACCACTATACTGATGGACATTTAAAGCACACGGGTTCCTCCAAAGAATCCTGGGGACTACAGTTTACTGCTCACAGATACAATTCCCAGCAGTCTACAGTTCCCAGGATCGTGGGGGTGGGGATGAGCTTTTAATGTGACTTAATACAATCATCAGTGGTGCATGAACCAGCTATAAGTAAGGCAAGCACTCTTTGAGCAAATCCAGCACCGCAGCAATGAATTAAGCTATGCACCATGTAAGCCCTGCGTCATAGCCTCAGTGCCTCCAATATGAAGCTGTATGTTAAGAATTGCCCCAGTGCTGCTTCTTGCGTGAGCAAAGTATGGTTTCCTCTCCTGAGAATGTTGAAGCATTTGCAGCAAATTTGGAGTGAAAGTCGAACATCCGTTGTAGTGTTAAAATGGAAAAAGATCTGGACAGAATAGCTTTGCGGTTGCTTACTCATTTTGAGAGCTATTGTTTTGAGTAGGATGGCTAGCTGTGGGCTGAAGATGATTAGAATTTGAGACAGCCTCCAAATGTTGGAAACGTGTGGCCTGCTTACTTGTTTGTTTTAGATATCTTGCTTCAGTTTGGGGAGGTATGTTACACTGAAAGCAAGTGTCTTACTGAAGGCCGACTTTGCAGTGGCCATATTAGTGTGTTGCAGCAAAAATCACGGTGCTTCCACAATTTGGGCTTGTCTACACTTCCGTGCCAAGAAAGCACTGGTGCAAAAAACACTTTCTATGTGTCCCATTCTTTCCAGGCACAGGTCTGAGCCGTTTCGACTTTGCCTCACCTCTTTTCCCAGGAAAACCTGCTCTTTAGTGGTAAATCAGAACAAACAGCAATCCGTAGAAAACCCAATTGCCGTTTTTCTGGATTCAGCACTAAACCATGAGTTTTTCTGGGGGAAAGCGGCAGGGCAAACAGAGCTGTGGACAAGCCCTTTGTTGCCCAATTCTTTATAACGGGCAAAATATCCTGCTGGTTTATGTAACAACCAGTTCCTATTTAACTTACAGCCTTGAGTGTATTTACCAGTGTAAACTGCTTAGAGGTGTCACTATAATCAGGCAGTATGTGAAATAAATAAATAAACAAATAAACAAAATTCCATATATAGAGAGAGAGAGAGAGAGAGAGAGAGAAAGAAAGAAAGAAAGAAAGAAAGAGACGGACCAGTAAAAGGACTGGCTCCAAGTATCTCATTTTCTGAGTTTAACAGGGCTGTGACTCTGTTCGAGATTTCTCACACTGGAAGGGAATGCCGTTCAGGCAGGGTTGCCATCTGCATGAAAGTGATGTTTGAAATATGCTCCTATTATTTTGGGAGCATGTTTCCATGGATTGGACATGCAGTTTTTGTGGAGTGTTCAGGCTTTGGTTATCATGGCAGTCTGTGAGTTTATCTCCCCAATATCCCAAACTTATCTTTAAGTTTGGTTCATGATTTTTATGGATAGTAAAGAAATAAAGAGTAACACAGTAACAAAATGTACTTTTCCTTGCCATGTATACTGTTAGATAACAGTATAATTTTTAAATATTAGTTTTGTTAATGTGATATATGAGATGTCATATTACAGTGTAAGGTCAGCTGTAGTTGTATCTTAAGGTTTTAGGGAGGAACAAACCAAGTGAATACATCATTATAACTTTAGACTTGTTCCGTTGTAGTTTTAAAACTTTATTTTTTATATCAAGATCTACAACTATCAAAAGAGAACACAGATTCATGACACATCAATTACTCTTAAAATACAACAAGCATTATACAATGAATTAGATATGGGTTTCCCAAACCTGGGTCTCCAACTGTTTTGAGCTACAACTCCCATCACTCTTAGCTAGCAGGAAAGTGGTCAGGGATTATGGGAATTGTAGTCCAAGAACAACTGGAAGTTTGGGAAACTCTGAATTCACTAGCATAAAGCTTTCCGTCTGCACAACGCCCTCCCCAATGCCCTCCGCCAGATATTTGGGGGAAGACCCAGAACAGATTTGCAGGGTGCAAGGAGAGGAGAGGAAAGTTCCATTGCATAGCCAACAGTCTTTGCACTAGCGGATCTACTTTGCTGGAAACCACCCAATGTTCATAATAGCTATATTTAAAATGCCACTCATTCTAACAGCTCCTCCCTAACTCATCATGTAATTCCATTTCCTTTTAGGCCTACTTAAGAAATATCTCCTCGTTCTCTCTCAGTTTTATGTTATCCACAATTTATTGCATTTTAAGGAAGATTTATTGTACATTTGTACCTTGGTTCTTGAACGGAATCCGTTCAGGAAGTCGGTTCGACTTCCGAAAATGTTCGAAAACCAAGGTGCTGTTTCCGATTGGCTGCAGGAGCTTCCTACACCCAATCAGAAGCTGCACAAGCCACGTCCGACGTTTGGCTTCCAAAAAACATTTGCAAACCAGAACAATCATTTCTGGGTTTGCAGCATTGGGGAACCAAAACGTTCAAGTCGCAAGGCTTTTGGGAACCAAGGTATGACTTTCTCTTATTGTGTTACTTGCTCTGGGGTCACTATGTGATGAAGTGTGGCACAGAAATTCAATAAGCAACATAAAATTAGTATGGGGGCAGAGAAAAGTGAAGAAGTAAAAATTAATGCATTCTCTTCACTCACCAGTGCAGTAAAGAAGCTGGCGTTGTGAGAGAAGTTAATTCATTAACCTTTTAAAAACTGATCTCCTCAGAGGGGTTTTCGCTTCCGATACGTTTGTGAAGGACCATCGCATGGTGGACTTCCTGGAGCTTCTAGCGAGAAGAACAAAAAATCATATCCACAAGTTAAAGTAAGTTCATAATTTACTTGCCATTTATTATTTTGGTTATGATTATTAAACCATCGATTTGCTTGGCACTTTACAGCAGCCTTCCCCAGCCGGATACTCTCCAGGTATTGTTGGACTGAAACTCTCATCAGCCCCTGTCACCATGGCCAATGGTCAGGAATGGTGTGACCTGTGGTCAAAATATCTAGAGGGCACCAGAGCTAGGATGGTACTCACTTTTTTTTTAATTGTATGTACTGCTGCTGCTTGCTTTGGATATACAGTGGTACCTCCAGTTGCACACAGGATCCGTTCCGGAGCTCCAGTCGAATCCCGAGGAATTCGCACCTGGAGGTGCCTGTTCTGTGCATGCGCATAGCGCGGTAGAGCATTTCTGTGCATGCACATGGTGGGTAGAGTGCTTCTGCGCATGCATGAGCAGCAAAACCCAGAAAAATACTTCTGGGTTTGCCGCGTTTGCATCCTGAAGGATACGCAATCAGAGGTGTGCGTATCCAGAGGTACCACTGTAACAGGAATGGAGGTTGCAATAGAAAGAGGAAAGTCTTGCCTAGACACTTCCCAACCAAAGCAGTGTGAGAATGACTGAAACAGTATAATCCGTTACTGGAAGGTTTGGGCAAAGGGATATTTATAAAGTGTCAATTGTACAGTTATACAAGCAGTTTTGTTTCGTTCCACATTGGTTCACAAATTTTACTTTTTGAAAAGAATTGTAGTAGCAGCAGCAGCTCCTCTTCGCTCACTCTCAGCCTTACCTACCTTCTGATGATAAAATGGGGAGGAGAAGAGCCATGTGCACCACATTGAGCTCCTTGAGGGAAATGTGGGGTAGAAATGCAGCAAATAAATAAATAACCAAACCCTTGGGTGGGGTTCCCTAAGGATTTTGATTAGAAAAATGAAAAGTGTACTATGGTTGTACGTACTTGCTTATGTGAAAGGTCTAAAGGGCTAATTCAGTTAGTTTGTTTTTATAAAAAGAGACTATTGTACATGCAAGGCTGCCATTTTTTTATTTATATGTGCTGGTCAATGGAGATGGAATGCACAAAGCATTAGATAGTGAATTGCTAATTATTATTTAGCATCAAGCTTGTATTTTGCCAAGTAGAGATTTGTGGTCGCCTCGTACTCCCCAAGCAATGTTAAGCTCCAGGGTAGAACTACAAAGCAAGTTTCATTTGAAGGAGAGAACTATGAAGGCTTATGGTGTTTGCAGTACCTGTTCATTTTAAAATCTATAGTTTGAACAAGTGCTGAGCAAACTTGCACAAGTAGGCAATGCCGTTTCCAAAGTAATAGTGGTAGCCTGTTCGAAAGCCAGCTCTGAAAACTTAAGACTGCTTTCTTTCTGCATGAATTAAAAAATGCCTCCTTAGGAAACTCCTGGCACACATCCTTTTTTCCCAACAGCAAAGACCAGTCTGGACTTTTTCAGCCCTTCCCCATCCTGCCAATAGACATAATATTCCAAGCAGGCTTTTTAGACAAAAGGCAGCTTTAAAGCTCATGTCCCACTTTGCATGAATAAAGTACATCTGCAACAGTACTCTACAATCTTTATTGTCAACTTCTTTCTAAAATGCATTGTTCCCGTTGCATTTTGATTCTGCAAAGACCAAAGCCCTAGGCTGACTGTTGAGACTATGGCCTCATTTTCACTGAGGTGGCAAACCTATGTCTGAGTTTCACCCCCTCCGACTACATTATTTTATATTGTTCCTAAAATCTTTTATCCATGCAGAAACGAGGCCAGAACCCTTCTCCCTTAAAACTAGTGGTCTTTTATGTGCAGGGATTATTTATTAATTTTTGGTGTGGAGGAACATTTAGTTATCTCAGTCCCTGCTTGCATTCTGAAGTGTTAGAGGCTAGACAAGGGTTTAACATCTCCACTGAGAACTGGGCATGTGACGAGTCTAGATTTGAAGCGTGTATTCTGTGGTAGGTCAAAGGTTGATTTGGAGTGCACACCCAGTTTTCTTGTTTCTACATATTTTGGCTGTTATTGGCATGGGAATGCCATGTTTCATAGTGTCATGTGTCAAAATGAAGAACTGGGCCAGATGCAATTCATTTCCATCTTGTAGAGGACATTCTCCCCTGAAGGACAGAGGAATCTGGGACCTGCCCCATCCATTTACTTATCATTGCACTCTGTTGCTGCAGAAACATTTCTATCCAGTCTGGCTCCAGTGTGGGAAGTGAACCAGGCTAGAGAGGCAAGTGCCTCAAATGGAGGGAAGGGAGCAGGTCCCAACTTTATATCTGATCAGAGCTGATGCACAGCAAACGAATGTGATTGTCCCTGTCACATCTAGTTTGACCTCTAGAGCTCACCGGCAAAAAAACAATATTTATTTAAATGAATTTTGAAAATATGACATCAAAAATGTTCCCATGATGTTTGTGGAAATGGTAAGGTGTGGCGTTTTTTCCCCTTTATTAACATTTCATTTATTTCATATTTTGTCATAGTTTCATTCCTTAAACTGCAATCCTATATTTGCTTACCTGAGAGTCCCATTGAACTTGGTGGGATTTGCTTCTGAGTGGACAGGTGTAGAATTCCACTGCCAGCCTTTCTTTAAGTGTGTTTTTTATTGTCTTAGTGTTTTGCTTTGTATAAATCTTCCTATGGCAACACCTGTTAGGAGAGGCTGGCAGATAAATATAGGGAACTTCCTCAAGGCTACTTACTGGCTTGTTAGTGCCTGTTCATGATTTCAAGTTTAGCCAAAAGGAAAGAGAAATATTTTGCATTCAATTATCCTTCTGTCAGCCTACCCTAGCTCCAGGTGCCTCCTTTTCATGAATGGCAAAATTTTCAGTATGTTTTAACAGATTGTTCTAACAAATGATTTGTCAGAATGGACCTTGTGGCAAAATATATTTCACTCCATGGGTAATTGGAGATTTCCTACACCCCCCACCCCATTTATTGTTATATTTCTGAATAGCAGTCCTATTTATCCACCAGGCTCCCAGAACAGATTTAGATGACATCACTTCAGCTAGTAGCTCAGAGCAGATATATTTTCATTACGGAGTTGAGGGGGAGAGGCAACTTGCCGCCAGCTCCTTCATCTTGTTAGGATTCAGTTTATTGGCCCTTGTCCAGCCCATTACGGTCTCAGGCACTGTTTCAGCACCAACACAACTCCACCTTGTTCAGATAGTATGGAGGGATGACTCCAGACTCCAAAGCCCCTGGTGAACATAACCAGTGGCTTATATCACATGTTAAATAGCAATGGGGATGGAATAGAACTCTGCAGGACTTGACAGCACAAGTGTCATGCTAAGCAAATGCCACCAATGCTGTTTTTTGGGAATGGCACAGAACAGAACCACTGTGGTCACTTCAGAAGGATACCATGGTTGATGGTATGAAATGAGATAAAGGAGAGCCATGTGCCTGTTCTCCTCCCAAAGCAAGTCATCAAGCAGAGTGACCAAAGCTGGTACTGGTGCTGATTTGGAATTGGTCCAGATAATCAGCTTCATCCAAGCATGTCTAAGCCATACAACCATAAGAACTTGTGGAGTGAAGCCTAAGCCCACCTGTCTCTACGGGGCATGTTTGCAATATCTAATCTACATAGTCCAAACACACAGTTGATTCTCTAATATTTTCCAATGGATCATGTGTTGTGTGACACTCATAGGCCAACTTCAGATTTTGGTGTTCTGTGTGATTATCTAGATCTGCCTGATGATCTCACTTGAACTGGCCACACCATCTGCATCTGGCAGGGCCTTGAGCCTTGGCCAGCCTAGCACTCCTTGATCATGTTATGGAACTTAATTGATGGTTATCAATTCCCTGAGGCATCTGAATAGCCTTATTTATAATTTCTGCTTTAGGACTGCTTTGTGTCTATGCTTGAGTGCACTCACAAGGCAATTATAAGAAAAGTCACTGTCTGATGGGTACAACAAGCCCAGAAAAACTCAGGTAGGAAATGGGAATTCGGCCTTTGATTTAAGCAGAATGTGAATTTAGTATCCATTCACCGCCATAGGACCCATGTTGGTCAAATTATAAGGCTTTTGGGTTTTGGTAAACAACTTTTACTTTGTGATATGGAATGGCTGAGCTGGCCAATGGCTTAGAATATCTAGTTCTTCAATGAACAAAGCAGTTTTCTCTCAGGGTTCTGTAATGCAAGGGGAACTTGGCAGTTTGGTTACGATTAGAGCCTCACACAGGAAATGTCTGAGGACTGGTAAGAAGCCCCAGAGACTCAGGAATCTTAAAGAACAGGAAGCCTAGGGGCAAGGACCATGCAGAAAAAGTGTAGGGTCAGCAGTTGACCAATAAAGTGGAATCTGAAAGAAGGGTAGGTGGATCATGAAACTGAGGGAATAGTCCAAGAGAAGTAAGACCAAATAAAAGGGTAACGTGACTCTGAAGGAACTTCACAGCACTTAAGCTCAAGAGGGGACTTACTATAGGGCAAAGGAGCACCGGTGGGCTGAAGATGGCAAACAAAGTAGTCAGTGGCCTAAGCACTAGGTAGCAGACCCAAGAAGTTGAAGGAAGCAAGTGCCAAGATGAAAGCAGCATTGGACCAAAACTACCCACCATGTTAAGGACAGGAGGGTCTATATTATATGGACATGATATCAGGAACAATAATAGTAATAATAATAATAATAATAATTTATTATTTATAGCCCGCCCATCTGGCTGGGTTTCCCCAGCCGCTCTGGGCGGCTCCCAACAAAATATTAAACCAAATAAAACATCAAACATTAAAAACTTCCCTAAAGAGGGCTGCCTTCAGATGTCTTCTAAAAGCTAGGTAGTTGTTTATTTCCTTGACATCTGATGGGAGGGCATTCCACAGGGCAGGTGCCACCACCGAGAAGCCCCTCGGCCTGGTTCCCTCTAGCTTCACTTCTCGCAGTGAGGGAACCGCCAGAAAGCCCTCAGAGCTGGACCTCAGTGTCCAGGCTGAACGATGGGGATGGAGACGCTCCTTCAGGTATACTGGAAGCAAGCAGTCAGGCAAGTAAGAGAGAAAGGGTGCATAGAGTAATTAGGCAAAAGTTTTGATAGGGAATGACTACCTAAAAGCTGCAGAACCAATCCTATGAAACGAAAGAATGGGGAGTGAGAAAGGTGCGAGTGGGGAAAGTTCAAATTAAAATCTAAGCTGGAGAAGAAGTTTTGGATCATAATATTTGAGGCAGACATCACAATCCTTCCATCTCTTATTTCCTAGCTGGAAAATCCAAGTCTTGGTGACTTCCAAGTAAGCATGCCTGGGCTCAGCCTGTAAAGGAGCAATGCATACGAGGTGAATGCAAAACATTGGGTGAAAGGCTGGCTGAGTTTGTGGAAAGCATGCATGGGCTTCCTATTCCTCTTAACAATAGTGTTTTGCTGCCTGAATGCATGCCCTTATCTGCTCATGAGTGGCAGAACAAGGGAAATGGGGCTTTAATTTAATGTCAGAGTGGATTGTGCTCATACTGTGTGCGGTCAGTTTATTTTGTCATCTATTGGCCACTTATTTCCTTTTTCTTCTCTAGGTTTCGATTTTACTATCTGTATGCATAAATGGAGAAACAATGGTGGATTTGAAATGAAGTTGATTGCATGTATTGCAGGCTGCCCAAAATTGATGGGGGTTTTTGTTTGTTTGTTTCATTTCATATTTTTTTAAATCTCAGTATGATTCAAACTTAAGTTACCTCTCTAATTAGTATTACCAAACTTTCTCTCAACTGGGATGGAGTAAATAGGTCAGCTAAATGTTAAAGCAAGGTCGGAGTCACAACAAATGCATCATGGCTCAGTAGTGAGAATATTTGTTTTGCTTATTACAGATTTGCAATTATGCTGGGCCTGCAAAAGTCATTGTGCAGTTAGTCACAAATGGAAAGCATGCTCACCTGCATGCTCACAGCTTGGTGGGGAAGCACTGTGAAAATGGAGTGTGCACTGTTAACGCAGGACCAAAAGACATGGTTGTAGGGTAAGTGCATCTGTGTATTTGTAATTGCAACTGAGATTCCCCCTGTGCTACCTTTTCACACTGTGACTAGGGACAAACCATCCTGTCCTGATGTAGTTTCTCGAAATTGGGTGTAGTGGCAACCTATGGCTTCTTTCAAGAGAAGAAAATTTAGACCATTTCAGAGGAGTGGGAAGAGTGCAAACAGAGGGCTCATACACATAGTGTTGAAGCGTTCTTGAATGTTAACTCTGAACTGGGGATAGAGGAAGAAGTTCGGTTCATATTTTGGGAATGTGCCCTTCCCAAAACAAGATGCTAAGGAATTATAGCTCTGTGAGGAGCACCCTCAACCAACTACTGTCCCCGGGATCCTTTGGGAGAAGCAATGACTATTTAAAGTGGTACAAAAGTGCTTTCAATGTTTTGATGTGGGTGTGAGGTAGCAATGAGAATGCTAAATCCTAGTTAATCTACTTCCTATTTTAAAGAGATTGTTCAAGTAAAGTACACATTATATTGTTTGCAGAGTTAGATCCAGTTTCAAAAAACTGCTGGTTTGATGTCCTTAATCTACTTTCTGGAACATATATACCAGTCTTGAAAGAATTCCAAGACAGGCTGCTTTTAACACCTGAAGGTTTTTGGCTTTTGATGCTGAGACCCAACTTGCCAGCAACTTGAATTCAAAACTTCAGATTTGCTCTGTTGAGATTTTGCTGGGAATCTTGAAAGATTTGTCACGCTACCTGTTATGTTGTTTTTTTATCCAAATACTGAAACAATACATTTGCCCCAAGGACTCAAAACTTTTATTTGGAATGTAGGCATATTGCTTGCTTACATTTGTGAGAATGTGTTTTTTAAAAAATAAAAATAAAAAGATCTGGAACTTCCCCTTAAATTCAGGGTATATAATTCTCAGCTATTTGTTCAACAATGCATATTGTTTAATGTCCTATTGCTGTTAAAACTAAAACCTTCATAACCTTTCCCATACAGTATTACAAAAAAAGTATTGCGTGAGTTAATCAGAGCTGTGTTTACCATTTATTTGCAGTTAGATTTTCTCCAAAGAGCATAAGACGGCATATTTAGGTAAAGGTAAAAGTACCCCTGCCCGTACGATTCAGTCTAGACAGACTCTAGGGTTGTGCGCTCATCTCACTCTATAGGCCGGGAGCCAGCGCTGTCCGGAGACACTTCCGGGTCACGTGGCCAGCGTGACAAGCTGCATCTGGCGAGTCAGCGCAGCACACGGAACGCCGTTTACCTTCCCGCTAGTAAGCGGTCCCTATTTATCTACTTGCACCCGGGGGTGCTTTCGAACTGCTAGGTTGGCAGGCGCTGGGACCGAGCGATGGGAGCGCACCCCGCCGCGGGGATTCGAACCGCCGACCTTTCGATCGGCAAGTCCCAGGCGCTGAGGCTTTAACCCACAGTGCCACCCGCATCCCGACGGCATATTTGGTTATTCCTTATTGCATTTTATTCACACAGTAGCCCATTGACATGGGTTAAGCAAAGAGAGAGAGAGAGACAGAGTGAGCCCAACATCACCTTAGATCAGTCATGAAGTGGGCTTCAGGACCAGTTGGGGATTTGAATACAGGTCTCTGTGGTCTTAGACACTCAAACCACTTTAACATGCCGAGTCATGGGTATTCTCAAAAACAAAGAGAGCACAGGCAGTAGAAACATTGCCTAAGTTGTGTTGGCTGGGGCCAAGGGACCAGAAAACATAAGTAGCAATGAAAAATTGTACTGTACTCCCTTTTACGTGAACAAATTCAAAGACCTATTTCAGATACTTATCTTGTACTTCTGTGTAGATTTCCAAACCTGGGGATACTGCACGTTACAAAGAAGAGAGTCTTAGACACACTGGAAGCACGTATGATTGATTCCTGTAAGAAAGGGTATAACCCAGGGCTCCTAGTACATCCTGATCTCAGCTATATACAAGTGGAAGGCGGAGGGGAGAGACAGCTAACAGGTGGGTGATAACTGACTGTGGTTCGGGATCTCTCTTAACACAGGAAATGATTTCTTGCTGTCAACTCTTTATTTTCTATTCCTTAAAATAAGTATCCCCCAAGTTAAATATAGTTAGTCCTGCTCACTTGAATTTCTTAAAGGAGAAGAATGATACCACTTGTGATGTTTTTAGAAGAAATAAAATACAATGGGAAAGGAAAGCAAAAGCTGCTTTGTGCTGCAATGTGTGTTAACAAAAACATTTTCAAAGTTCATTTCTGCATTAATAAGTCCCACAGTCTTGAAGGTCATCCATCCATAATTAATTACTAGAAGGTTAACTAATTTTAGCCTAATTTCCATCATCACATGGGAAAACTTAGAGGTAGGGCTTAGCTATATGTTCCACTTAGTCCCATAGTCCTTACCCTCCCTCCCAAAGGGAGCTCTCTCATCAAGTAAAGCAGCTGTGGGTGACTTCAAGTTGAGCAGAAGAGCAGCAGAACTTCCCATATCACTTAAGGAGAAAGGCAGTGGGAGGTTTGTGCATGCAGTATTGCACATGCAAAAGACTTGGCAACCCTTTTTCACCCCGCCACCAGTCATCTTCTCACCTTAAAGCCACCTACAGCTAAGGGAACATAGGAAAGTAATGCATCCGTCCATCTAGCTCAGTACTGGTTGCACTAACTAATGGTAGCTCTCCAGAGTTTCAAGCAAGGGTCTCTCCCAGCCCTCTGTAGAAATGCCAGAGATTGAACCTAGTAACTTCTCTGTGCAAAGGAGATGCTTTTGCTGCTGACCTGCAGTGGGGGTGGAGTGGTGGGTGAGTGAATTTTGGAAATGAACTTTTAACATAATTCCTTATTTACTTGATAATACCAATTGGCCCTTTGCTTTGTTGCAGTCATGTTAAAAAGACCTTGTTCTCAGGCAAGATACATACACAAACAGAAAACAAACCTATACAAATACATTTCTCAGTAATGTGCCTGCTACATTCATATTTGACTGCACAAGGAAAAACAGTATCTACAAAGTCCATAAATGTTCCTGTGTCTCTTCTACTGGCATAGTCAATAAAGTTTCACTAGGTTCTAATAAAAGTATATGGTTTACCTTGGCATCTTAATAGTTTCATTTTGCTTTCTTGACCGTTTGATACCAAAATTCCAGTGTAGCAGCACTGAAGTTCTTCTGATGTCTGGCAATAATGTTTGAAGCAAGTCCTCATGTGCTTCCTTAAGCATAGAAATGTATTCCAAGTGCATTTATTGGGGAATGCCCAACATAAATAAAGTTAGTTTTATTTGCAAAAGTTGCTGGGCTCTGAGTCAACTTTATGTTGAATGCCAGCAATCTATCTGTAATGGAAAGTTTCAACTTTTTCCACCAGAGAACACCCTTTTCTTCGGTTTGCCAAAATTTGCCTTGTATGGTTTATTTAAATTTCTAGTTATTGGGATGCCTAAATAGTGACAGTTATGATAATGTGTAGAAATTAAAATAATATCACATAATGCTGATTGACGCTTCAGTAGAATGTTAAAATAGGCCTAGATGTAGTGATCACCATATCGTCTGCATACATCAAGAATATTGTTTCCCTTAATGGTGATTCCATAAATTGGTTGGCTCCACTTTAAGCCTTCTTGCTAGTAGTTCTAATGCCAAGATAAGTGCAGTTAATGAGCACTTTTGCTTCATCATTTTTTGCATATGGCAGTTTCATGATTGGGTTGACTATTTGACGGCATAGGATGAGGCCTTTACTTTGCCTCCTGAATCTTCTCTTCTCCCACCCTCACTGCCATCCTTTGCCGGTACCACCATTACAGGCATAAGGCTACAATAATTCAGTTCCTTTCTTCCTTGATTGCAGAGAGAGAAAGAGAAATCATTCATCAGTCAGCTCTTCAACAGACAAAAGAAATGGACCTCAGCGTAGTACGGCTCATGTTTACAGCGTTTCTTCCTGACAGCACTGGCAGCTTTACAAGAAGACTCCAACCTGTCTTGTCCGATCCTATATATGATAGCAGTGAGTGTCTTGCCTATCTTCATTCATACTGCTATGGCCAAATCCCAGTCCAGTGTTTATTTTGATTTATGATTGTTTATTCTTGTAGGGTTAGAGAGGCTGACCCCCATCGCTTTTAACATTCACTGAAAGTTTGAGATCTTTTAAAAAACTGAAAAATACCATGTAATGTCTAAGAAACATAATTCCCTACACACTACGACAGTATACACTGTGCATGTGATGCAGTAAGACAAAGGAGAACCTAGGACATGTTTGCTTGTGATGCATAACTAGTGTTCCTTTTAGTGTCTCCCTTGATGCACCCAAAGATGTCAGTCAAGTTCTAAGGTTATGACTTATAGATCTACAAATTAATGACATGCTGTCAACTAAACTGCCTGTAAAATGTCTGTCGTTTCGAAGAGCTTTGGTATTCGGTGTTTTCTTTGCCACACAGTTAAAATGCTTGAAGAGTAAAGCATACAGGGCATAATCCAAACAACTCCCAAGGGTTTCTGGGTGGCATGTTGCAAAGGCTTGAGAATATGGTTCATCTAGGACCTGGGTGCAACTTAGCAAACCTTATAGCTGGGTGGTAGATTGGCGGTGGCAAGCAGTGCGGGGCGCATCTCAGCTCTGATAGTCCTGAATGCATTGTGGACAAAGCAGGTAATATATTGGAGAATTTGAAGACATCTTGGGTATAAACAGGAAACTGAATTCTCCTCCACCTCCATCCCAGACTTTCCAAACCTGCTATGAGCCACAGTCTAGTGAATCCACTTTGTCCTTGAAACCTCTCAGCCCCCACCTCTCACTATAAAATGGCTTATTCCCTGTGGTCTGAGACTGGGGGCCTGGCATCCTGCTGTACATCTGAATTTCCAGTCCTCGTGTGTAAGGAATTGTTCTTATATCTGTTTCATTATCAAGCAAAAAAAAGTTGTTGGCAATACTTTTTGTGGGGGTGGGCAGTAAGGCCTGCTAAAGAAAGCCTTCTGTGTGGAACCTGCAGCAACTTTCTCCTTTGGAAATGGTATGAATCACAATAATGATGATCTCTGTTTTGTGGTTGCATTTCATTTCCCCCCTATCCTTTCTTCAACTCAGTTTGGTAAACTGTAACCTGCCTTAAAACTATCTTGCCAATTCTTCAGTGTATTGTAACTCTTATTATGGCCGTATTATAATATTAAAAGATGGATCAGAGGTTCCTCCACTTACTACCTTTAGTGTCGATTCAGTACAGTTATGAACATTGTGTGGATGTATTTCATTTTAACTTTGAAAATAAAACATGGCTAGAGGAGGCTCTTGCAGGAGTAAACTTCATAGACTCCCCGTTTTTACCAAACAGAAGCCCCCAATGCATCTAACTTAAAAATTGTACGAATGGATCGGACAGCAGGCTGTGTGACAGGAGGAGAAGAGATTTACCTTCTTTGTGACAAGGTTCAGAAAGGTGAGAACTCAGGATGCTTTTTCGTATTTGAGCATGATTCTATGATAATCACTACGACTTCATAACAACCACTGTTCTAAATGTGTCAAACTATGGCCATAATCACACTATACATTTTTTTTTTTAAAAAATGTGTTTATGCCAGGGGGGTTATTGGTTTTTTCTGTTTTATTCTGTATTTTGTGTTGTCATTTCATGTGTGTATGTTGTGATCTTCATACTGATATACTGGTATACTGATTAAATAAATTAAATAATAATACATTAAAACATTATGATACCACTTTATACAGTCACAGCTTCCCCCAAAGAATTCTAGGTTTTTGAGAGTTGTTAAGAGGCCTTTATTCCCCTTGCAGAGTTACAATTCCCATAATTTTCTGAAAAGAAGGATTGGTTTTTTAAAAGCATACTTGAAATTCATGGTGTCAATGTGACATGTAACTGTGGAGACTCAGACCTCATTTCAGCCATGAAATTTATTGAGTGCCTCTAGGTCAGTTCCTATTTGTCAGCCTGACCTGACTTGGGGGTTTATAATGTGGATTAAATGGGGGTGGAAGGACTACTCCTAGCACCCTGAGCTCCTTGGAGGGTGGGTGGGTTTTAAAAAGGAATAAATAAGTCAAACAGCCTTTTCCAAGACCATAATGTTTTATTTTGTAAGAAAGTGCCAGGCTGGGTTGGGGTTTTTTTCATACTATTAAATTGCAGTAATAAAGCAATGCCCCATATACTGGGCATATGCAAGGTTGACCCACTGACAATATTTAAACAATCATTGTTTCTGAGATAAAGAAAATGGAAAAATCCTTAGAGCTCAGTGCTTTATACCATGGTTCTGTGGCACTATTCATAGTCAGAGAAGTAGACTGGTGCCTGTGTAACAGAAATGTCCAAACTTCACATGGTTGTTGGACTTTTACTTGATGTTTCTATATCAGTTTAAAATGGATGCCCTGAAACTGAAATATTTTAAAATTTTGACTGGTGTGTTGGTGTGGGATTTTGTTCAGTTTTTAAAATGTCTTCAGTGTTTTTTATTATTATTACGGAGTTTTATCAAATTGCAAAACGTAATTATGTTATGCTTGTTTTATACATAATAATAAAGTGTAAATTTGCCTTGAGTTTAATTTGGCAGAAAGATAGCCTAAAAATTCTAATTTAAAAAAAATTCCAGCCTATTTCCTGCTATTCCAAATCACAATAAATGTCCACAGTAGGGACAGTTTTCTCCCTTGTTTTGACATTTTATGAGTAACTTTTCTGAAGTCTCAGAAAGTCATTTCTAATCTAAGGAAGGGAAGTGAAAAATGTGTGTGTTAAAAGCTGCTTTTGAAAAAGAAAAAAAAAAGTCTGACTAAATGGAAACCCCAAAATGGGGTTTTCCCTTAACATGAACATAGTTTTCCCTTATGACATCATTTGTTGAAATCTCTCAGTCCTTGAGAATTGAAATGTATAAAGAGAAAGTTAGTAGGGTTTTTCACAGTAAAGGCTTCCAGATTAAAGAATGGGAGATAAACACCCATCTACTGCCCCCTTGATTTAGAAAGGAACAAACCTCTTTGGCCAACACCAAAAGATGGAAAATACAGGCTTTTTGGGGTAAAATTGCAGTCTGGAAATGGTACCTCCAGTCCTGTAGGGATTCCAGTGTACTCACTGAGCTCCTCCACAAGTCTGTATTCCACGGCTTGGGAACCTGTGGCTATCTGGTTGTGACTGGATTACAACTCCCACCATCACTGACTATTAGCTGAGGCTGATGGGAGCTGGAGTCCAGACAACATTTGGAGAGCCACAGGTACCAACGACCTGCTGTATGTCTTCTATGATGTGCATCACCTACAACTTAGAGATAATAGATTCCAAATGTTGTGCAATTGGAGGGTGCTGAAGGCTGACAACAGCCAAGGAAGAACTTTTCTGCCTATGTCCCATTTTACCCCCTACCCACCCACACCCCAGGTAGAGAGGACAATCCCAATCCGCAGCCTAGGATGAATTGACCTGAAGGGGTTTCATTTTGTCTTGCATGCCACTCTGGTTTAGCTGTACTTGGAAGTGAATTTTAATAAAATGGTGTTCCGGTTAATCCAAATGGTCCAGTTTCATACAGCATAGTAGGAACTATTTTTTTGTTATCTTCAAAGCCCTCTGGAGGAGCAGAGTTTTAACCTGCCACATGAATGAAGGGATCAGGCAAGTTAGTAAAGCACCTCTGCTGAGAAAGTCCTGCCTCATGTTGCCACCAAACCCACCACATATCAGTCGGCTGGATTTGGGATGGCGTTGTAGAGCAAGGCCTCAGGAGATGACCTGAGCCACAAAGGCAGGTCTGCATGAGATGAGATGATCCTTAAATGGCTCTAGACCATTTTAGGATTTAAAGATAAAAACCAGCATTTTGAACAGGGTGTAGAAACCAAGAAAGGGCTAGTGAAAGTGTATTAGATTGTAGTACAGTGGTACCTTGGTTTAAGAACAGCCCTGTTTATGAACTCTGCAAAACCGGAAGTAGTGTCCCGGTTTGCAAACGTTACCTCAGTCTAAGAATGGAAGCCAAAGGGTGGAAGGGCACCAGTGGTGGGAGACCTCATTAGGTAAAGTGCACCTCGGTTTAAGAACGGACTTCCGGAACGGATTAAGTTCATAAACCGAGGTACCACTGTAATATGCTCCATGCCATGAAGCCTGCCTAAGAAAATCCTTACTGTCCCAATTCTGGACCAGTGCTATATCTTGACCAGTTATTAACTTGTGTCTGCAATACAGATGATATTCAGATCCGTTTTTATGAAGAGGATGAAAATGGTGGTGTCTGGGAAGGGTTTGGAGATTTTTCGCCTACTGATGTGCACAGACAGGTATGCCAACATTGTCAAGATGCATTAGTAGTAACTTTTGTGAGCCTGTTTTGTGATCAGATATGATCAATTTCACCATTTTGTTGACTTGAGGTGGACTTGGCGAAATGGCTATCCTTAGGCAAGAAGTTTTTTCCCCCTCCCTCTCCCTTATGCAGGGGTCAGCAAACTTTTTCAGCAGAGAGCCAGTCCACTGTCCCTCAGACCTTGTCGGGGGCCGGACTAGATTTTGAAAAAAAAGTGAAGGAATTCCTATGCCCCACAAATAACCCAGAGATGCATTTTAAATAAAAGGACACATTCTACTCATGTAAAAACACGCTGATTCCTGGACCATCCGCAAGCCAGATTTAGAAGGTGATTGGGCCAGATCCGGTCCCCGGGCCTTAGTTTGCCTACCCATGCCCTTATGTCTGTGAACAATTTGGGAGCTACCAAACAGAGCTATGGCCACAATAGGAGTAAGGAGGAAGCCTCCAATTGCTCCACAGAAATAATAGATGCTGTGTACACAGACGTTGCTCTTGGAAAAAAGGCCAGAATGACAAATTGTATAAACTGCCCCTGACCACCTATTCAATGTTCACTTACAGTTTGCCATAGTATTCAAAACCCCGAAGTACCGAGATGTCAATATCACGAAACCTGCATCTGTTTTTGTCCAGTTACGGCGAAAATCGGATCTAGAGACGAGTGAACCAAAGCCCTTTTTATACTATCCTGAAATCAAAGGTAAATGATTAAGCTTATATGGATTGTTGATGTCAGAAAGCATCCAGCTTCTTAGAAAGCTTGCCGTTATTGAAATTATTGTACAGTGGTTACATACACTTCAGGTTACATACGCTTCAGGTTACAGACTCCGCTAACCCAGAAATAGTACCTCAGGTTAAGAACTTTGCTTCAGGATGAGAACAGAAATCGTGCTCCAGTGGCGCGTCAGCAGCAGGAGGCCCCATTAGCTAAAGTGGTGCTTCAGGTTAAGAACAGTTTCAGGTTAAGAACAGACCTCCAGAACAAATTAAGTACTTAACCCGAGGTACCACTGTATATTTCAAAACATGGTGTAGTGATCATCCTTAGGTAATTACCTGTAGTGTTGTGGATTCTAGATGACAATGTTGTCCAGAAATAATGGCTGAATTCGGATAACACTGCACATAATCAATCCAACCATCAGTTAGTATGGTCTGACATTAATACTTTCAAGCCCAGTGACCCTCTGTAATGAAAGGAATATTCCTGCATTGTGACCAGTGGATTCTGGAAAGCACAATTTTTATAATGTGTCAGGGGTGGGTTGTGGGCAGCAGTCTGTGGTGAGATGGAACCAGGTGCCAATGGATGAAGCTTAGTAGCCAGGGACAAAGTATAATTGACCAAAGACAAACCAGGAAGGAAGGGTCTTGTTACTCAGTCAAAGCTTAATTGCAACAGGAAGCTGTCTCATAGTACTTCCCGTCCAAGATGAAACAATGCTTACCCTGGGTAGGCCAGATCAGCCTACAGCAGGAATGGGGAACCATTTTGAGCCTTAGGGTTGTATTCCATTCTGGGTATCCTTCCATTCACTGGCTACCAGTCAGTTAACAGGCACAATTCACAATTCAAAGAGCTGGTTATGACCTGTAGAGTGCCCTAAATGCTTAGGATGAGAACATCTGAAGAACCACCTTCTCCCGTATGAAGCTCCATGGATGTTCTGATCTGCTGGAGCTGCTCTTCTCATTCCTATGAGCTCTGACACATAGGATGGCTGAAAGCGCCTTTTTAGGGGCTGCAACCAACCTTTTATGGGCAGCACTCCCCCAAAAGATACATTTAGGGTCCTCTTTGATGGTCTTTCTACCATAAATTAAAAGGTTTTATTCAGGCTTCATTCATGTATTGCAAAGTTGATGCTTTGCTTCTTTTTGTTTAATTGTTTCAATTGGCCGTGGTGAAAGGTTTTTTTAAAATGTCTAAAAGGAGACTGGTTATTTGCTCCATATAATCTCAGATTTTAATTTATGTAAGTTGTTTTTAGTGGTTAATATAAGCTACCTCGAGTAGCTTATGGTAGAACAGCATCTATAAATTGATTAAATACATAGTTTTAAATTATACATTTTAATGTGTTTCTCATGTCATGCTAGTGGATCCTTCAAGTTGTACTTATGTGCTCCTAGTGCGTAAATGACTATATTAGTCAAATGTACCATTAGATTGGCATTAGAATTGCATTTCCACCTATATGTGATGCCAAAAGCAGAAAACTTCCATCTGGCTTACTTTTAAATGTGTGAAAGAAAGTAAAAGTATTTCCATGCCTAAAAGTTCAATTAGATCCTCTTCTTTCTAACACTGACATGCCAGGTTGATCTGAGGACAACACCTGTGTTTGAAAATTGTCAAACATGCTATAAGCTTTAAAAGCCTTGAAAACTTTGGCACATGAGAAGCATTTCCATGTAGATGAGGCAGACAGATGAGGGAAGAACAAAGTTCGTAGTTGATGACGTTATCATAACTGGCAGGAAGTGATGTGTTATCAGGTAATTTCCAGGTTTAATTGATGAACTCTGTGCACTTCTTTTTTTGGAGTTTGTGGTGCATGCTTGAACTTTAAAGAAACTTTCAAAAACTCCCTTGACACCTCCAGATCTATCCTGGGACTACGTAATTCTTTTCAGGGGAAATGCCCAGATGATAATGATCTACTCTAAGGCAGGGCATGTCTTTCCTTCATCCCACTATAAATATCCATGCGGTATTCATTTAATTTAACGGTTTCATACTATGCTAGTTGGATGTTGTCCAAGGGCAGAAATAAGTATTCATTTTGTGGGATTATTGCTTCTTAGTATGTGAATACAGTGGTGCCTCGCAAGACGAAATTAATCCGTTCCGCGAGAGTCTTCGTCTAGTGATTTTTTCGTCTTGCGAAGCAACCCTATTAGCGGCTTAACGGATTAGCGCTATTAGCGGTTTAGCGGCTATTAAAGGCTTAAAGGCTTAGGGGATTAGCTGCTAAAAGGCTATTAAAGGCTATTAAAGGCTTAGCAGATTAGATAAAGGGGGGGGAAAGCGAAAAAAAAATCTCTAGACTCGCAAGACATTTTCGTCTTGCGAAGCAAGCCCATAGGGGAATTCGTCCTGCGAAGCAACTCAAAAACGGAAAACCCTTTCGTCTAGCGGGTTTTCCGTCTTGCGAGGCATTCGTCTTGCGGGGCACCACTGTATATACTTCAGCGCTTTGTGTATTTGGAGTATATACAAATACTTTGTGTAAACTCAGTAGTTGTGGTTTTGTGTGCAAGTCACTGAAAATGCATGGAGATTCCTTTAAGGAAGTAGCACTTTGAGGAAAAGTAGCTGCAAGCAAATAGTTATCACTTCTGCTCTCATACTTTTAGTACAGAAGGCTAGGAATTTGCTGCATACTGTTTGTGTATCTGGCCCCATACTGTTTGCTCTGACTGGCAGTGACGCTTCCCACTGCTACCTGATCCTTGATTAAGGATGCCAGGAATTGGATCTGGGACATTCTGCGGACAAAAGCATGTGCTTTCCCATGAACATATTGCCCCTTCCTAAGGGTAGGATAAGAAATAAATAATTGTATATGCAATTTACATTGCAAAATGAGAGAAATCCCATTGAAATGAGTGAAAGTTTTTCTCTGTGTGTATTTTTTGCAATGCAAATTGTAGGCATTTGGCGGAGGAGGTAGAGCAGACTGTGTCTGCAATGTGGTTCAAAGAGTGAAAGTGCCTTCCCGTCTTCAGTGGTAGTGTCCTGATCTGGATCCCTCGCTAGCAATTTGTAAGCAGGAAAACTGCATTCCTTGGCAGAACTATGCAGTTGAGAACACATGTAGTTTGGCCCTTAGGTTAAGATTAATGAGTTGTATGCAACATAATGGTAAGTAGCAGCACCTTGTGCTGTGGGGTTTTCCCCCTCCCTTCCCCAACCCTCTGGAGCAGATTTGGGGAGGTGGAGCAAATTAAAGTAGTTTTGCTCACACATTTATTTAGCTGAATACCACCTAGTCATAATTGGTAAAAGCTGCAGGAGGAATGGTACAATAAATTGGATTATATATCACGTTGTGTTTCAGCATTTTACTTGCTTCTAGCTAAAAAAAACCACAGACCTAACGTGGATTACCTAATGCCTTTTAATTAGCTGAGCAACTATATGCATACAGGATTAGCTTTTGGATTTGTCTGAGGTTTGCCTTGGCTGCCAGTGTAGTTCCCTGACTTGATTGCATCCTGGTATGCTCCCAGTTAGGTTAACTGGAGGTTCTGCAAGCAGGTGAAAGGCCCCTTGGGGGGCGGGACTTGTGCATGCACAGTAGAACGTGGTACCTTCTCATCAGCCCCAGTCAACATGGTCAGTGGTCAGGGCAGAGGAGAGCTGCAGTACAGCTTGCTGTAGGGTTGCAGGTTCCTCATCCCTGACTCATGGAAGGTTTGCTGTCTCCCACCTAACCAATACCTCCCAGTGCATTCAGTGTTATCCTTCCGACTATGTCCCTGTCAGTACAGTGGTGCCTCGCAAGACGAAAAGAATCCGTTCCGCGAGTCTCTTCGTCTTGCGGTTTTTTCGTCTTGCGAAGCAAGCCCATTAGCGGATTAGTGCTACAGTATTAGCGGCTTAGCGGGCTTAGTGGATCAGCTGATAAGCGGCTTAACGATAAGCTGATAAGCGGCTTAACGATCAGCTGATAAGCGGCTTAGCATCAGCTGTTAAGCGGCTTAGCCATCAGCTGATAAGCGGTTTAGCGGCTTGGGAAAAAGGGGGGGGAGGGAAAAAACCCCGCAGGAACTCGCAAGACATTTTCGCCTTGCGAAGCAAGCACATAGGAAATTCCTTTTGCGAAGCACCTCCAAAACGGAAAACCCTTTCGTCTAGCGGGTTTTCCGTCTTGCGAGGCATTCGTCTTGCGGGGCACCACTGTATTGCTGTGCAGGTATTTCGTACCTGGCTTTCTTGCCATCCCCATGCATTGCTGCTTGTCATTGAGCAGGGCAAGGCAGCAGAGCAGACAATTGACTCCACTGCTGCTCCTACACCTTGCTGAGCTCTCCACTGCAATGCCCATATTCCTCTCAGTAACCGGCAATAGGAAGCATCATTGGGAAGCCAAGGGAGCAGAGGTGCACAGAACAGCCAGCTGGTACTGGTCCCCTGTGCAGCCTTCATTTCATAATTAGGTTTTTCACACACTTTCATCTAGCAAATAATCCCCTCTGTTTTTCTTTAAGAAATTGAACGTTTTAAACTGTGGGCACCCAATGCCAAATGCAGTAAATGAAAATGAATTTTGTAGATTTCAAGAAAACTTAACTTCACTTGCATATTACTGGGTCCCCACCGCGGGATCACATTCACCCGGTGCTATAGCAGCTGCACTGGCTCCCGGTGAAGTACAGGATCAAGTTAAAGGTGCTGGTTTTAATCTTTAAAGCCCTATATGGCCTAGGACCCTAGTACCTAAAGGTCCACCTCTTCTGGTGTGCCCCATGAAGGACCTTATGGTCTGCTAACAACACCACCTTGAAGATCCCGGGCCCCAGGGAAATTAGACTGGCCTTGACTAGAGCCAGGGCCTTTTCGGCCGTGGCCCCAGCCGGCTGGAACGCTCTCCCGTAAGAGACCAGGGCCCTGTGGGATTTGACATCTTTCTGCAGGGCCTGCAAGATGGAGCTGTTCCACCAGGCCTTTGGGCAGGATGCAGTTTGACTTACTTTCCTTTGTATAAAACAAGCTCCCAAACTGCTCACAGGTCCTTGTATGATCAGTGGAAACAGTTGGTCCTGGCAAGTATTAACCACTCTCAATTCCAACCTGATAATTGCCACCTGCCCAGATTTAACTTGTCTGAATTAATTTTAAGATGTAGTTTAATTAATTGATGTCTGTTTTTATGCATATTGTGTTGTTTTTATGATGTTAGCCGCTCTGAGCCTGGCCTCGGCCGGGGAGGGCGGGATACAAATAAATTATTATTATTATTATTATTATTATTATTATTATTATTATTATTAATTAGGGTTTCTGGTTTGGGCTGTAGTCATCTCAAAGCTTGTGTGTGTGCATGTGCATGCATGCATTTTCACAGTAGAGCTTCTCTGCCATGGTTCTTTCCCCTGACTTACGCATTCAATCCTTTATTGGTGGCTGTAAGAAGGCGCCAGTCATAGGCAAAGGAAGAGGTGCCATTTCAAACCAAATTATTTTCCTCAAATGGTTATTGTTCACTTGGTATCAAGCCACTGTTCCATCTGTATTACAGCAAGGATGAGGAATCTGTGGCCTTTCAGATGATGCCGGACTATAAATCCCATTTTCCCCAACCAATGGCCATACTCACTGGAGCTGATGGGACTTGTAGTCCAACATTATCTGGAAATCTGCAGGTCCTCCACACCTGTATTATAGGCTGTGTCTGAGTTAGGGATAGGGGAGAACTTGGATTCAGTCTGCATTTAAAGATACCCGATTCACACTTTCTGAAACAAGACGCAAACTGAAAGACAACCATCTTTTGAAATTCACACTTCCCCGAATCCTGGAACTCCACTCAGTAGTTTGCAGTAGGAGATTTTGTTCCTCATTTGTTAACCTGTTAGGAGCCTATTGCCTTGAAAACAAAAGCGGACACACCTTAATTTGTTTGGTTAAATCTCTCTTGCTTAAAAAAAATGCAGATAAAGAAGAAGTCCAAAGAAAACGACAGAAGCTCATGCCTAACTTCTCAGATGGTTATGGCGGAAGTGGTGCAGGTGCAGGAGGTGGTGGAATGTATGGAGGAGGAGGAGGAGGTGTTGGAGGCGGTGCCGGATCAGGTAAAAACAAATGACAACTGAAGTGACCAATGAGATGCACATTTTTGAGAGGTTCTCCTTGACTAGTGAAATGCCCATCATTATGAGTTTTATAGGGACACGGGTGGTGCTGTGGGTTAAACCACAGAGCCTTGGGCTTGCTGATCAGAAGGGCGGTGGCTTGAATCCCCGCAACAGGGTGAGCTCCCGTTGCTCAGTCCCTTCTCCTGCCAACCTAGCTGTTCGAAAGCATTCAGTGCAAGTAGATAAATAGGTACCGCTCCAGTGGGAAAGTAAATGGCGTTTCTGTGCGCTGCTCTGGTTCGCCAGAAGCGGCTTAGTCATGCTGGCCACATGACCCGGAAGCTGTACATCGGCTCCCTTAGGCAGTAAAGTGAGATGAGCACCACAACCCCAGAATCGTCTGCGACTGGACCTAATGGTCAGGGGTCCTTTTACCTTTACGAGTTGTATAAGGCAGGTGACTTTATATGCTGCAAGGATTCTTGGTGGGTGCTATGTATCTCCTGTGTTTCTGCATACAGAAAACTCTCTCTCCCTTATGTTCCTTGATCCCTGTATGATCCTTTTCTAATCCAGGCCAATATCGGGATTAGGAGAAGGGAAAAAAAGCTCCTGCTCTCATCACCAGTTTCCCCAAGTGCCAAGCTTTCTCCTTGTAGAGGATGGCTAAGCCCTAAATTGGCTGTGATCCACAGGATAAATCCATGCTTGATACTGGGGGTTCCTGTATTGTCTGCTGCTCCCAGATACAGTGGGGTGGATTCTTTAATATCTTTTGATGGAAGTATATTCCTGACGTATGACCATTTCCTAAGATTGACTCCCATTCTTAAAGTTGCATAACATGTGTTAGCTGCCTTGAGAAAAGAGTTGAGAAAAATTTAATGGAGCTGCTCAGTTTGTTTGTTATTTTAAAAAAAGACTGTTATTTATATCCTACTGTTTCATCCATGGAATGGAAAGAGAAGCATGTAAGAAGACTTTCTAAGCTGCCTATTTAAAACTGGGCATTTTATTGGTTGTTGGCTAGTGAATACTTTTTGTGTATTTATCTGGGAAGCTTCAATTAATGTCTGATCTGTGTGTGTGTGTGTGTGTGTGTGTGTGTGTTACTGTTTTTAGGGTATGGATACCCATCCTATGGGTTTTCTGGTTACGGGCATTCAATGCACTTCCATTCCAGCACAAACAAGACTGGTACAGGAATGAAGCATGGTAAGCATCAAATAGTGTGGGGGTTTTTTATTTTAAAAATATGTTGAATTTAATTAATTTAATTTAATGCATGCTTTAATATCAACAAAATAAGTATCACTGCTATGTAGTATTTAAGCAACATGAACTGGATTTCTCATATGATGATTGGTTTTATATATTTTATTACTACTACTACTACTACTACTACTACTATTTAGTTGCATCCATCTACATTGTCCTTTAGAAATAACTGGTTTGATAGGTCTCTACCACAAGTGGCTTCAAATCTAAAAATATAGACAAGGGAAACCAAGAAGGGGTGGAATGGAGACAGAAGAGACGGGAAGAGTGTGCAAAGATTGTAACTACATGTGTTAGACTTCATTACCTGAGAGTATTAGGGTGGGTGGACACAAAGTGTTTCACAGATTAATAAATTCCCATTGTGTGAATTTCCAAGAGTTGGGAAATATTATCAGATGCCTTTTGCTTGTACATGAGTTTTCTCCCAATTTTTTTTTTTTAAATATTTATTAAAGTTTTAGAAAAAGAAAAAAAGTTACAGAGTAAAAAAGAGGAAAAAGGAAAAATACAAAGAGTACAAAAATACATAGGGAAAAAAATATGGAAAATACAGAAAAAATAAATAGAAAATAGTTAAAAACAAATCAATCTTTTCATATCTTAGATTTCATTTACTTATTTCCCCGACCTCCTCACACCTCCCTTTTTTGTATTCCCGTTCACATGGTTAATTCAGCAAATCCTTACCCTCTTTATTTTTATCTTAATTCTATATCTCAACATATTATAACTTTGTATTTTCATCCGTTATCAATCCATTTTTACATATTCTTATTAACCTTGTTGCTAAGGCCGCTTGATTTCAATCCGACATCATTTTAACATTCATTAATTTTACAATGTTTCTGCAAATAGTCTTTAAATTTCTTCCAATCTTCTTCCACCGACTCTTCTCCCTGGTCTCGGATTCTGCCAGTCATTTCCGCCAGTTCCATATAGTCTATCACTTTCATCTGCCATTCTTCCAGGGTGGGTAAATCTTGTGTCTTCCAATACTTTGCGATGAGTGTTCTTGCTGCTGTTGTAGTGTACATAAAGAAAGTTCTATCCTTCTTTGGCACCAATTGGCCGACCATGCCCAGGAGAAAGGCCTCTGGTTTCTTCAGGAAGGTATATTTAAATACCTTTTTCATTTCATTATAGATCATCTCCCAGAAAGCCTTAATCCTTGGGCACGTCCACCAAAGGTGAAAGAATGTACCTTCATTCTCTTTACATTTCCAACATTTATTATCAGACAAATGATAAATTTTTGCAAGCTTGACTGGTGTCATGTACCACCTGTATATCGTTTTCATAATATTCTCTCTTAAGGCATTACATGCCGTGAATTTCATACCTGTGGTCCACAACTGTTCCCAGTCAGCAAACATTATGTCATGTCCAACATCTTGTGCCCATTTAATCATAGCAGATTTAACCGTTTCATCCTGCGTATTCCATTTCAACAGCAAGTTATACATTCTTGATAGTATCTTAGTTTTGGGGTCTAACAGTTCTGTTTCCAATTTTGATTTTTCCACCTGGAAGCCAATTTTTTTATCCATATTGTAAGCCTCCCTTATTTGATAATAATGAAGCCAGTCTCGCACTTTATCTTTTAATTTCTCAAAACTCTGCAATTTCAATTTGTCACCTTCTTGTTCCAAAATCTCCCAATATTTCGGCCATTTGGCCTCCATATTGAGTTTTTTCTGAGCCTTCGCTTCCATCGGTGATAACCACCTTGGGGTTTTATTTTCAAATAAATCTTTGTATCTTATCCAGACATTAAACAATGCTTTCCTGACAATATGGTTTTTAAATGCTTTATGTGCTTTGACCTTGTCATACCACAAATATGCATGCCACCCAAAAACATTGTTAAAACCTTCCAAATCCAAAATGTCTGTGTTCTCAAGAAGCAGCCATTCTTTCAGCCAGCAAAATGCTGCTGATTCATAATAGAGTTTAAGATCTGGCAGGGCAAATCCACCTCTTTTCTTTACATCAGTTAATATTTTAAATTTTATTCTGGGCTTCTTGCCCTGCCAGATAAATCTAGAAATATCTCTCTGCCACTTCTTGAAACAATCCATTTTGTCCAAAATTTGCAACAATTGGAACAAAAATAACATTCTTGGCAATACATTCATCTTTATAACAGCAATTCGACCAAGCAAGGAAAGCTTCAGGTTTGACCATATTTCTAGATCCTTTTTCACTTCTGACCAACATTTCTCATAGTTGTCTTTAAATAAATTTAAGTTCTTTGCGGTCATGTTCACCCCCAGGTATTTAACTTTCTTGACCAATATTAACCCTGTCTCCTTCTGAAACCTCTCTTTCTCAATCGGTGTTAAATTTTTCTCAAGAACCTTAGTTTTTAACTTATTCAACTTAAATCCTGCCACTTGACCAAATTCTTGAATCAGATCCAATACTCTTTTAGTACTAGATTCTGGCTCCTGTAGTGTCAATACTAGGTCATCTGCAAAAGCTTTCAATTTGTACTGTTTGGCTCCGACCTGTATACCTTTAATCAGATGGTCCCTTCTAATCATATTTAGCAAAACCTCCAGAACCGAAATAAAGAGCAATGGGGAAATTGGGCAGCCTTGTCGTGTCCCTTTCTCTATCTTAAATTCCTCTGTCACCACATTATTAACTATTAGTTTAGCCTTTTGTTCTGAGTAAATTGCACCTATACCATTTTCAAACCCTTGACCATCCCCTGAAGATTTTTCTTCATGAAACTCCAAGAAATATTATCAAAGGCTTTCTCCACATCTACAAAGATTAAGACTGTTTTAGTGTTAATGTTCACTTGCAACTTCTCCAAAATGTTAATTATATTCCTCATGTTGTCAGACAAGTGTCTACCCGGGAGAAAGCCAGCTTGGTCTTTAGAGTTTTCTCCCAATTTTAAGCCTGGACAGGTTGAAGCTGTTTGCAAATACATACTCTGATACTGAATTCTGTTGTTTTATTGTTAATAATAATAAGTTTTTTTTGTTTTAATTTTGTTTTGCTTTACTTAATTGGTATGGGAGGGGTAAGCTAATACTGATTACTTCTCTTTTAAGGACTGTCAAATGGCATGCCAAAAAATGATGGTGAAATCTGCTGCAACAAAAAACGCAGTGTGAAATTCAAGGAGAAAGTAGAGGGTGATGAGAAAAGCAAAACCAGAACTAGCACAACTCCCAAAGAAGTTGAAGAAGATGCCTTACCATGTTATGATGCAGACATTTGTTTACAAGGTAACTGGCTTGATTTTGTACTAAGCTAGGAAGGAGAAATTTGGGTCAGGCTTGAACTCTTATGTACTTTGAAAGTGGCCATGTTTGATCTGTTTTGGAACTAGAGGGAGAGTAGAGCTACTTCTGAAGCTCCCCATCATTCTTCTCTTGCTCAGATTAAAATCTGAGCTGAAGGAGGATTCCTAGCAGGGAGGGAATCCTGGAATCATGTAGTTCATGCGATAGCTGTAAGGCTCTCTTGGAATTGAATTGCTTGGAATTGAAACTTTTTTGTTCTCTAGCAGCAAAGTTCTGATCAGTGGTTGTGACTGAACTGCGCCTGATTGGTGCCCTGATACATTTTGTGTGTTTTCACCCCCCAATAGATGGTTTGTTTTTGGAGAAGGCCATGGAGTTAGCTAAGCGTCATGCAAATGCCCTTTTTGACTATGCAGTAACTGGAGATGTGAAGATACTACTGGCTGTTCAGCGCCACCTTACAGCTGCCCAGGATGAAAATGGTGACAAGTAAGTCTGGGACACCAAAGCCCTCTTTAACATGATGGAGGACAATTTTGCATCTGATAAGAAATTCCCTTCAAGTTCCTGAAAGTTTTCTAGGGGGAGGGAAAATCCTCTCTTTAGTCTACAGTTCTGTGCATGCTTAGCTTAGAGTAAATCCTACTGAATTCAGTGAGATTTCCAAGTAAACATGTGCACTGTTGTTTTTAACCATTCTTCCTGTGTGATAGATGTCATATTCTACTCATGAGATGATGCAAGAATGGAAAGTAGAAGTTCCAAAATGAGGATGCATTCCAGTGATTCATTGTAGGTGTTTCTCATTTAGAAACAGAAGCAAAATGATTTGACTCCCTTTTGACTTCTGGAGCAGATAAAATCCATCCTGGCCCTTTTCCAGCATTCCTCAAGAATTCAGGCTCTTGGAGTTCCTTCCCTTACGATTGATTCCAGCCGACTTCTCTTGCAGAATATCTGTTTGGAGAAGGGGCGAGGAATACAAAGAGAAGGTGGGACTCTCACAAAAACAGCTGTGCAAGGGAGTGTTGAGACTTGCTTTTACTATCACCATCCTTTGAAAATTCGGGAGGTTCACTCTTCAGGAGGCCTGCCAAGTCCTGTGATGAATAGCTCCAACTTCCCAGGCTACTCCATTAAAGTCATATCAGGATGTGGTCTCAGAAGTAGGATGACTTGCCACAGGGATCCTTGTCTGAACCTCTAGAGCAGGAATGGGGGCCAAATTTGTGGGCCAAATGCAATCTTCCAGGCCTCTTTACCTGGCCTCCAGGCCACACTCTTCCTGAGCTTACACCCTGTACCAGCCCTGCTTCACACTGACCTCTGGAATGAGTTGGGTGCTCTTACTTGACTTCATGTAGGCTAGAAAGGGGTGCATGTGTATAGGAAGTAGCCTACTGTACAAAGATAAAATCCACATTTATTGCGCTGCAAACTTTGACCTCTGGCCCTGGCCGCCAATGACATTTGCCTCCCTAGAGTTAAACAGGTCCCTCACCCCTTCTAATGTATCCCCACTACCCCACCCTCCCCTGTCATAATTTATTCCTTGTACCAGCCTTCTACAATTATGCTTGCCATGGCAAGCATGACAACACCATCCAGTGAGTGTGATGGGCAGCAAACCTTCCTTGCAATTTTTTGAAGCTGCAGGATCTTCACATCAGCTTCCTACCATTCCCCACCCCATTCTTAGCTTCAAGGTTGGCCTGACCCTTGGCCAAGCTTCTTGACTTCTGCTCAATGGCCATTCTCTTAAGAACTGCTGCCATGTATCTGCTAAAGCCTGCACAGTCCCTGCTGATCTATTTCCTGTGGGAAAGAGAAGCGGGGCAGATTCTCCTTTAGCTGCTGCTCCACAGAGGGACCAGTAGTTCCATGACTGTGCAATGGCTGATGCCTGCACATTCCCCACCTCTTTTCTGTGGGAAGGAGAAGGGGGCAGACTTCTTCAGAAGGCAAACTGGATAGCTCAGTTGGTTAGAGCGTGGTGCTAATAATGCCAAGGTTGCAGGTTCAGTCTCCAGACAGCTGCATATTCCTGCATTGCACGCGGTTGGACTAGATGACTAGATGAGTTGCTTCCATCTCTACAATTTTATGAACTCTGAGCCCCTTTCCTGAGCAGCGTCTGAATTTCTCCACTTGGCTTTGCAAGGACTTCCTTTGCTGTTTGTGGGAAGCACTTGCACCCACCAAGAAGAAACTGGCTGTCACAGTTTTTTGCTTGGATAGCAAAGGGCAGCCCCAAATTGCATGTCCCTGTTGTTTACTCCATGCTTTGGTCCACCTGATTGCAATGCTCTGGGGAGGCAGTTCCCTCCCCTAAGATCCAATGAGATGTATTCCAGAGGAAGCCAAAGTGCTTAGGTGCAGGGTTTAATTATCTGTTGCAGAGGTTTTCAAACTCCCTTTTTCCATGGATTGCTTTCCACACTGATTCATCTGCTGAGGGACCCCTGTGTGTAGGTAGAGGATGCTGCAGACTGATGAGTGTGCTAGGATGCACACTTAGTTCATGTAGGTTGGGCCTCACTGTTTTACCCCATTTGAACTGAGAGTGCACTCGAGAATATGCTGACCACTTCTGTGTGGCAAGGGGATCGTGGCAAGCTTGCTGCCTTTCATGCTGTCTGCCATAACTGTGTTCGTTGAGGAAACCCTTGATACACTTCCAAGGAACCTATGGGCTCCCGAGTACATAGTTTCAGAAAATCGGTGGTCTAAACTAGAATTTCACAATAACTCTCCAGTGGGGCCCATAGCTCATGATGTGCATGTAAAAGTCCAGCTCCTGGAATGCCCAGATAGAGGAGATCCTTTTTCTGAGAGACAGCTACTGCTACTTAGAGTAGACAGTAGAGAAGGCAAGCAAGACGTCTCTGACCAGCCCACTTCAAGCTTTGATTCAGAATCTTGCACAATCCTGTGTTGGCTGCTACCCTGGGTTTCTGCTCAAGCCTTATCCCACTGACTTCCCTGGGTCCATCCCTGTAATATCCATCCAACAAACTGCCAGTGAATCTCACCACTTGCAGCGTGGGTTTCTTCCCTGAACACACTCTGGGACAAGGACGGGATGGGAAATTCCCTTCTCTGAGGAAGTATTAGTATTAGTCAGCACATCTCCGCCTAGAGGGATATGTTGCAATACAACTGTGGCTCTGTAGAGCAAGGAGGAAAGCATTTGGTAATAGGTTTCAGCATATCTATTCTCCAAATTAAAATCTAGCACATTGTCCAAGCTCAACCTCTATGTTCCAAGGTTGTATTAAATTTTCAGGGAAGCTGTGTTACATTCCTGAAATTTCCTTTCACCCTGAAGACTCAACAAAGTATAAACCTACCTAAGCATTTTCCAGAGGCAGTGCAGGACATTTTTAAAAGTTGTCTTGTGTTTTGTGTGTGTGTGTGCTTAAGTTATTACAAGTATTTAAATCAATTTACAAGTCATACAATACTGTTGCTGACAAAATTGAATTTATCACAGCGGTGATCTAAAAATATCAAATAACTAAAACTTACAAATGGTATCGAACTCTATGCTATTCAGTACTGATTTGGAAATAAAGAAAGCATGCAGGATACAGATGTAGACATGGGCTTACAATGAAAAGCAATGTAAAATAAATGCTGCTGTATTTCATAGTGGGGGCCTTGATTTCTAAGCTCCTAACGTAATTGCTGACCAAATTAAGGCAGCATTCTGCTGGCCAGTCTTTATGATGCTCACTGGTGTCCCAATTGGCTGTAAAATAGCCTGTTACAGGAAAAGGGTTTTTGCAATTTATAATGCAACTTATATTAGCTGAATGACTTCCACCTAAAAAAATAAGTAAATTGCTTTAAGGTGCCAGATCATTTCTAGCCGTTTCTGAGCAATTGCAGTGCCAATAGAAGACGGGTTCAGCTCTGCCAGCTGTAATATAAGCTGACCCACCCCAATAATTTTAGCAGCATGAGTCCTAGTCACATTGTGGGGATGAAATAGGAAGTTCTTTCAAGGTAGATTTCTCTTATTGCTGTTCATTCTGCTCATGCAATGCAGAACGAAATGCAAAAGCTCCAAATTAATTCTGTCCACGCAGGCCAAATTCATACATTATCCATAAATGCCAGTTGAGCTGTTACAGTTCAGCTAATTTCAGCGCTACTTGGGTACCTTTCTAATAGAAGAGATTGTGTGAGTTGGGCCATCCAGCCTCCATGGCTATTGCCCGTTGTGAACAAATGGAACTTTCATGTTCAAAGGAAGCTTAGCTGAGTATGAGATTGCCAAACGGCAAACAACATGGAATTGTTACCATCTTCATCCCCTGCTTGAAAACTGCCAGGTATCTGCCCGGCTGCTATTGGGGACAGAATGCTAGTGCAGTCATATCTGACTCTGATCCAACAAGACAGCTTTTTACAATTCAATTATTTATTTAATTGCGGCATTTGCATTCGAGTTCTCTGGGTGGCGTGCTTCAAATTGCTAACATTCTGTGTATAAATACACACACACAGAAGCGTGCACGCACACAGCACAGATTAAGTGATAAAATTAAACAAAATACAAGTTTAAATCCTTTTAAAAAGCCAAAACTCGGCAGTCCAATTAAAAAGCCCTTATGGGGCCCCTAAAAAGCCACAAAGAATGGGTCAAAAAGACTTTGCCCGAAACTGATAAGAATGCAAAGGAGGTGCCAGGTGAGTGTGTCTGAGGAAGGCATCTCACAACTATCACATCAAAAGGCTTCTCCTGTAGCCGCCTGCCAGGTTTCGCTGGCAGGTGAGTCATTGTAAAATGGAAAGGCACCGATCCTGCCCTCCATAAATATGGGAAAGGGAAACAAACCATTTACAGTTGTTTCATCTTGAAAACTCATGGTTTTGATTTGATTCCTGCTTCATGGGGACAGATTTTACCTCTTGATGCTGACTGCCTAAAGAAAAAGAAGTTTTAAAAGTATTTAGCATCAAGGGTGGTCTGCGATAGGTTTCACAAAGGAGGTGGTCAGCTTCAAACTAAATCTTAAAATCAGAAACATCAAGGGGTCAAATTGTTGGGTGTTTCCATAGTTTTTTTTAACCACTTTTTTTGCATCCTGAAATAATGGATATATTGTGCAGTCAGATTGTGGTCACAATACTGAAAACCAGAGAAGCTGGATTTTGTAATGATTCAATTTACATACCAAGTGTGCACAGAGTGGGGGGTGCCCCCTTTTACATATCACATTTTCCCACTGAATCTTGTGGTTTTGAATCACATTCGGTATAAAAATGGAGAAAGCTTCATGTTAAGCCCAAAATTAGTGAATTCCTTGGGGAAAAAACAATTCCTCTGGTACTGTTTAGGAACAGCCATGAGACTTATTAAACATGTTTCACTCTAAAACCATGATGCATTGAACACTTTGCAAACCAAAATTGTTTATTATTAAAACTCTCTTTTATTATTATTAAAACTCTCAGTTTACAAGGCTTACAGTGGTTTTTGATATACAGTGGTACCTCGGGTTACAGACACTTCAGGTTACAGACACTTCAGGTTATAGACTCCGCTAACCCAGAAATAGTAGCTCAGGTTAAGTACTTTGCTTCAGGATGAGAACAGAAATCGCGCAGTGGCGCCACTGCAGCAGCGGGAGACCCCATTAGCTAAAGTGGTGCTTCAGATTAAGAACAGCTAAAGGTTAAGTACGGACTTCCAGAACGAATTAAGTTCTTAACCGAAGGTACAACTGTACACACATACACATTCATTTCACAGAGTTTCGATAACATGCACAAATGTTAGCCACATGTCCAGTAATGAAATAGATTTGAAACAGAATTGGTGAGAGCATATAGCCCTCCAGCTTGTTGGTGGACTCCAGTTCCCATCATCCCTGATCCATTGGCCTTGCTGGCTGAGGCTGATGGAAAATGGAGTGAAGCAGCACCAATACCGTTCCCCATGCATGCCATAAATACCTCTTTCCCTATCTGTTTTACATTGTGTAGCTTAATATGTGTATTTCTTTCCCCATCCCCCTTTGTTCAATATCAGCGTACTTCACTTAGCAATTATTCATCTTCATAAGGAGCTGGTGAGGAACCTCTTAGAAGTGGTAGCGGATTTGAATGCTGATGATGTCCTCAATGTGAGAAATGACCTTTATCAGGTATGGAAACCATGGGGAGGACGATCCTCTGCTTTAGCATCTTTTGCTTTTACTTATGACTCTTCAAGAACCACGCAATGTATTGCAAAATTCAGAGAACGGCAAATTTCAATGGATGCACATGAACCTTGTTTTGGAAAGAGCGAATTAGGTCGATTCGCCTTTAAACACATACTGAATTCAGTTTCTCCTCCATCCCTACCTGTGGAATGCTTTGACAGACACTGCAGGGAGGCAATGCCATGTCAAATGACATGGGTGCCAAAAAGTCTAATGAAAGATGCCTCACTATTTAATCTCTCTGACTGCTCAACTCATGTGAACCAACCCAAGTTACCTTTTGTACTCATTGTAAAACAGGGATGAGGAAAATGTGTATTTTTGCCCCACCCAACGTGGGTGATGATCGGGGATTATCCTTGTTTTAAGGAAGACAAGGGCGTATTGAACATTGATCAGGTTAATCTAGGGAAATCCTCTTTTTTCCTATTTGTATTGCATTTGTTTGTTACATTTAAACTCAGCCTTTCTATAAAAAGATGCCCAGGGTGGCTTACAAAGTCCAACAAATAACACTACAATAAATAGCAAAAGGAAAGTGTGTAAGAATCGAGTTAGAGCAAAAAAAAAATTAATTAAAATTATCAACTAGTTGGGTGGCACTCAGCTAAGTTCTACTCAGAGTATACCCACTGAAATTAATGTTCATGAGTACGTTAGGTTCATTAATTGCAATAGATCTGCTGAGTAAAACTTCCCTGAATACCAGCCAATGAAAGTAAAAAATGCAGATTAGAATGCACAGCACATTGTTTTGTGGACGTTTTGCTTGGTACTGGGATTTTTCTTTTTCTTTTTTAACAGATTCAGTTGCACAAATGGTGTTTATGATTATCACTGCATTTGGGTGATTCCTATTTTCTTTTCTTTTTGCAGACTCCCTTGCACTTGGCTGTTATCACAAAGCAGGCAGGAGTGGTGAAGGACTTGCTTAGAGCTGGGGCAGATGTGAGCCTCTTGGACCGCTATGGCAATTCGGTCTTGCATCTAGCAGCGAAGCAAGGAGACGAGAAGGTGTTGAGTATGCTGCTTAGCCACAAAGAGACCTCTCTGATGAGAGATCTTCCTAATGGGGAAGGTAGGCAAATGACACAGAGCAATTTTGGCTATACGTCTCTCAAACTCTGTAGAATCATGCAGAACATAGCATTTTATCAGTCACTTCTTCAGGACAGATGTCTGATTCAATCCCAGTGTTGTCAATCGACAGATGGGCTGTTGCATCAAAACACATGCAGATTTCTTCCAGATGCATGTTTTATATACTGTGTCATCAGCGTACATGGTGATTTTCCGAGTTTTGTACATAAACAGCAGCAGCAAACCAAAACTATAACAGGAAGTCAGGCTTCTGCCCTAAAGCAGCTTGCAACCTAAAGTCAACAGTGGAGAAGAGTAACTGCAGGAAGGGAGTGGCAGAATCTTTGTGTCAATCTCCCACACAAATAACCAGGCAGAAGCTGCAGAAAGCCACGTAACACTGCCTCTCAACTTATCTCCCCTGCCCCTATTACTTTTTGAAAGAGAAAGCATAAGGGTTTTTTCATTTTAAAAATGTTGCATTCATAGTCCTTGTTTCCAAAAAAATGTTTATTTATTAAACTTAGAATTGTATAGTTGGAAGGGACCCCAAGGGACTAGTCCAGCCCCCAGCAATGCAGGAATCTCAGCTAAAGCATCAATGACAGATGGCCATCCAACCTCTGCTTTAAAACCTCCAAGGAAGGAGAGACCACAACATCCCGAGGGAGTCTGCTCCACTGTCGAACAGCTGTCAGAAAGTTTTTCCTGATGTTTAGATGGAACCTCCTTTCTTGTAACTTGAAGTCATTGATTCGAGTCCTACCCACCAGAGAAAGAGAGAAGAAGCTTGTTCTTTCTTCCATGTGACAACTCTTGAGATATTTGAAGATGGCTATCATATCTCCTCTCAGTCTCCTCTTTTCCAGGCTGAACATACCCAACTCCCTCAACTGTTCCTCATAAGGCTTGGTTTCCAGACCCTTGATCATTGGTTGCCCTAGTCGCTTGTCACTCAAAGGTCTCCAAGCGACTGGGAGAAAAATATGCAATATTTAATACCGTAGGGGGAAAGCGGAGGGGGTGGAATTCTATAATATGTTAATGTTTCATATAACATCCATGGGGGGCAAACCAAGCTGTATAAATAATAACGAACAACATTAACAATACTCAAATGATAAAGAAAGCAATACTCTGACCCACTAATTTAGCAAATAAACAAAACCTCCGCTCCCCCCTAGTCCATAAAACATGCCCAAAGCAGTTAAATCTGCAATAGAAAGCACAAAATAAGCAACAGAACCATATAAAAATTAACTAAGATCCATAAAAAGTAAAAATACAAGGCAGTTTGAAACATAATTTATATTAAATGTGCAGATTGCAACACAGAGCACCAGAGAAATATGGTTCAAAAAGGTTTGCCTCTCCACCCCACCAAGTACCATGCTGCCTGATATTGGGAGGGTGCTATTTGAGTCACTGTTACCTACCAATCCTATTTACAGGTGTCATGGCGTTTCAGCTGAAACTTCAGTGTTTTTCAGTTTCTCACTAAGAATGTTCTTTTAATGGGTGTTTGGGGACATGGAAGCACTTGCAAACGGAGCTTAGCTCCAGCCACTTCCCCCAATGACACATGTAGTTATTAAAACTTAATACCTACCTACATGAGGGACGCGGGTGGCGCTGTGGGTTAAACCACAGAGCCTAGGACTTGCCGATCAGAAGGTCGGTGATTCAAATCCCCATGACGGGGTGAGCTCCCATTGCTCGGTCCCTGCTCCTGCCAACCTAGCAGTTCGAAAGCACGTCAAAGTGCAAGTAGATAAATAGGTACCGCTCCAGCAGGAAGGTAAACGGCGTTTCCATGCGCTGCTCTAGTTTGCCAGAAGTGGCTTCATCATGCTGGCCACCTGACCCGGAAGCTGTACACCGGCTCCCTCGACCAGTAAAGCGAGATGAGCGCTGCAACCCCAGAGTCGGCCATGACTGGACCTAATGGTCAGGGGTCCCTTTACCTTAACCTTACCTACCTACATGCTAATAAACTTAAACATGGAGGAGGGGGCTATCGAGGTGCTACTAGCCATGATGGCTATGCTCAGCCTCCACAGCAACACCAGTTGCTGGAAATCACAGGAGGGGAGAATGCAAGAGTTCAAATCCTGCTCTCGGGTTTCTTACAGGCATCTGTCTGGCCACTGTGAGAATAGGAGGCTGGACTAGATGGACCATTGACCATGGATCACCAGTAGGCTCTTCTTAGGTTCTTAATATTCACTTATTTTTGCTGTCACTGTACAAAACAAGTTTTAAAAGAAAATGAAACCAGCTGCTATGGTAATCTCTCTTCCCCCTACTTTTCTGACATGCATCCCAAAACTGTAGGCCTTCTCCTTTCATGAATTACCGCTCCCAAATCATGAGAAGCTGAAACCCAGCCTCCCTTTATTGCCCACGTTTAGCTTTTCTGCAGCTACTTTTCGGAGCTTGAGATCTTGTTGCACTATTCAGTTACTGTACTGTGCTTCTTTATTGCAGGGCTGGCTGTTATTCACCTAGCCGTGATGGCAAATAGCGTGTCTTGTCTCCGGCTGCTCATAGCTGCTGGTGCTGATGTCAACGCCCAAGAACAGAAATCTGGCAGAACTGCCTTGCACCTGGCTGTCGAACAAGGAAATATATCCTTGGCAGGTTGCCTTCTGCTTGAGGTGAGCTTCGTGGGGGCCAGAACCACTTTGTTTTCCTGGCCAATTTTCCTTGCTTCCTAGGTCAACGTTGGCAATGTGCAGCCCACAGGTCATGCATGGGAATAATGTCACAGAAGCATTTTCTGTCATCCCAAATGTTCACTGATGACTGCTCTCCCACCCCTGCACATTGAGCAATAAAAAAAACCAACGAGATAACTCTGCTTTTTCAAATGAGATGAATGTAGTATAAATGCATAATTATTTTTAATTCAACAAAAAGTCTCTCTGACTTGTCTTTAAGCTCAAGGTTTGTAGACACAACCCACTGAAAGTTTTCCTTCCTCTGATCTTGGATACTTGCAGTGAAATCCTACATATAGCTACTCAGAAGTCCCATTGAGTTCATCGGTACTTACTCCCTGGTAACTGGGAATAGGATTGCAGCTTTAAATGGATTTGACTGATGCATTCTAAAGCTATTATTAAGAGCCTGTGGCGGGGCTAAGAAGCCGAACCTTTAGAATACAATAAAGTTCTACAATCTAAAAATTGAGTTTTAGATTCTGTGGTGACCTTTCATTTGTTTACTTATTTTGTTAGCAGTTACTGACATTCACTTTCATCTAGTAACACATGGAGAGCAATGTATATTCTGATGGGCCTGGGTATTTTGCAAATGAATATCAATTTATACTGGCCTTTTACCAGTTAAAAACAGTAAAACCTGCATAAATGTGTGGTCATATTTCACCAATAATTTTGTGTTGCATTAGATCTGGAATGGGTGTGTGCATATGTATAATTTTTGTTTTGTTTTGTTTTTTTGCAAAGCATTCGTTTTTGCAGCTTACCATCCAAGGTATTTTTTTTTTTACCATTCTGTTAAATATTTTTCTCCACATTATTTATCTTTCCTGCTCAATGTACATTTGTTTAAATAAATGTGAGTAAACACTTAACTCAGTATTTAATTATCAGAGTTCATCCAATGCTCTTTTTGTTCACTTACTCGTTTACAAATGGCTTCATTTCGACTCTAAATTCAGCACTCTTATGTATCATTCTCACACAAGTCCAGATACAAAAGTAAATGTTCATCCCAGGTCATGAGGCCTTGGAAGCTCTTTCTTTGAAGCTGGCCCAAAATTGTGTAGAGGCATCAAAGCATGGTCCCAGTGTGCATGTAAGTAGCTAAACCAGCATTTATTTATTTCTCTTTTTTCAAAGGGTGATGCATTTGTCGACAGCACAACATATGATGGAACGACTCCACTTCACATAGCAGCTGGAAGGGGGTCTACAAAAATGACAGCTCTTCTCAAAGCAGCAGGTAAGAAAATAACATTAAACTCTTCCTGATGCTTTAGTGCTGTGAAATAATTTTTCCCCACACTCTCCTTGATTATTGCCTTTTTTTCTTAATTTCCCAGCGGTATTCGCAAGTTACATTCAGTGAGTGTACTGTCTTTGTAAACAAATAGTAAAGCTATACAGTTGCTGACATGCAGTGTAGAGTTTGTGTGCCTGTGTGCACAGTGGTTGAACTGTACAAATGACCGAGTCACACTGTTTCACACAAACTTGCGCAGACAACATGTTCTTGTGTTCAGTGTACTATTAGGTACTGTGGTCTAAACCACCAAGCCTCTTGGGCTTGCCAATCAGAAGGTCGGAGGTTCGATTCCCCGCGATGGGATGAGCTCCCGTTGCTCTGTCCCAGCTCCCGCCAACCTAGCAGTTTGAAAGCACGCCAGTGCAAGTAGATAAATAGGGAAGGTAAACGGCATTTCCGTGCACTCTGGCACTTGTCATGGTGTCCCGTTGTGCCAGAACCAGTTTAGTCATGCTGGCCACATGACCCGGAAAGCTGACTGTGGACAAACGCCAGCTCCCTCAGCCTGAAATCGAGATGGGCACCGCAACCCCAGTTGCCTTTGACTGCACTTAACCATCCAGAGGTCCTTTACCTTTAATAATAATAATAATAATAATAATAATAATAATAATTTCTATACTGCCTTCATCCAAAGATTACAGGGCAGTTTACAATACTGTATGCACAATGCATACAATAACAACAGACAAAAGCAATACTCCCCCCAACACAATTTATAAGAGCATAGATTAATTAGCCAAAGGCCTGGGAGAAGAGGCATGTTTTTGCCTGGTGCCTAAATATATGTGACAAAGGTGCCAGGTGAGTGTCACTGGGGAGAGCTGCCCACAGGTGGGGAGCCACCGCAGAAGAAGCCCATTCCCGTGTTGCCACCCTCTGGACTTCTCGTATAATGTGTGAGGAAGACTCCTGTCCCCTATGCTGCTTTTCCATCACCAGTGTTGAAAGTAAGATTTAATGACTAGCTTTTGCATGTGGAATGTGGTGGGAGTTGCCTCAGGTAGCAAAATGACCCCAACCAAATCAGTAATTTTCCCTTCCCTCCCAGAAGTTGGACTGCAAACCGTTTTGTTCTCTGAGCAACTCCAAGCCATTGCACTGTAGCAAAGAGGCATCTCATCACCACAAGCATAATACAATATTAATAACTGGTGCATTTGAATGGATTTAGAAACTGTCATGAAGCACTTGAGCTCCCCCTTCTGGAAAAAACATTTGTAGCAGCATTGAATAAGTTGCAGGAAAAGGCCCTAAGACATTGTTCTAATCGTGTAACACTAAATTCTTAAAGATGAGAAGTTTTTAAATAAGAGAGGGAAACGGTGAAGAAGAAAAATAAGAATCCTAAACAAAACAAAGACTTCTGTCCAAAAGCATGCATCTTTTTGATAGGCGTGAACCATGCAAAGCGAACAAAAAGATTCATTTTTTACCCAGTCTAGCATTTTAAATCTATCGTTCCTGGATAAAAGTAAAGTAGGCTTTATATATGGCAACCTTTGGTGAGCTAGAGATCTTTCCCATTCTGCATATAGAAGCCAAACAGAGTGGGAGTAGAGTCTTACTTCAACACTGGTGATGCTTAGGCAGGTCAGATTAGGGGGCCTAGGGCAGGCAGTGTGGGGGCAGAGAGGATCAGGATGAACAACCAGAGGTTGCTACTGCCACCCACCACCCCACATCAAGCCGCCCAAGGCGGTTGCCTCATAATGTTAGGGCTGGCCCTACACACCGGAATTCCTTTTGCGTATTTACTTGACTGAATATTAGAGCAGAAGGGTTTACTGATGCGAAGGTGTTACGCTCTTTCACCGTGGTGCTTTGCTTCATCTCGCAGGCGCAGATCCCCACATTGAGAACTTTGAACCATTGTTTGAACAAGATGATGTGAAAGACAAAGATGGTGAAGATGAAGGGGTCATACCTGGAACAACACCTCTGGACATGGCAACTAGCTGGGAGGCAAGTGGTTAGGATGAAGGCCTCTCAACAGCCAGTACAGCTTTCATTTAAGGCCTGTTTGAGAATATGGACCAGGCCCTTTTTTCCAATCTGTGTACGGGAATGTGGGGAGTGGGAAGAACTAGTCTTTAGTATTAAAAACTACGAGAATACCCATATATATATATATATATATATTGCAGTTTGGGGTGACAATCAAAGATGCAGAGGTTGACTTGGTTGCAGCTGCAACTTATTTACATTTAAAAAATAATTCTCTTTTCTTTAACGTATGGCTGCGCAGAAGCAGAAGGGCTTTTTTGTGACAGTACTCACCTGTACAGAGTACTGGCACCTCTTTACTTTAAAAATGGAAGCAGTCACTTCCATTTTTTTCTTTGCAGTTATGCTGGAGGAGGCGGGGAAAGTGTGGGGGGTCCAAGGCTCACCTTCCTCCAGCACTAAAATACAGATATGCTACCAGTTGACCACTGAAGACTATAAATGCCAGACTTGAAACTTAAATGTACAGGATGCCGCTGGATGCTTTCGCTTTGCGTTTGCACTAATTAGCTAACTGTTCTTCCTAACAGGTGTATGATATCTTGAATGGTAAACCCTCCACATCAAAAGTAGCTTCCGAAGATCTATTGACACAAGGTAAGTGTGTGTATAAGCAGGGCAGGGGGACGGGACTGGCTGAGATTTCTTTCTTCTCCAGCTTAGCTTGATTGCTCAGTATTATTTTGCAGCAGGTTTGCTGTAGGGCACTTATTGTTCTTTGCTAAAAGCACACTTGAGATCTGAATTGTACAGTCTGACCTAGGAGGCAGCACTTTTTGCCTTCAGCCATCTCAAGGTTCCTTAAAAAACACTATCTATTCTCCCTGGAAACCTCTCTCAGAACAGCCATGTGATGCCTCCTTTCTCTCATCCATCAAATCCTTATAAAAACCCTTTCCTGTGCAGCCTTTCTCTTAGGCTGCAATTCTAAACGCACTTACCTGGGAGTAAGCTTTGTTGACCTCTTCAGGACATGTACAGTATTTCACACTTCACCTCCTAGATTTTATTTCCCAGATGAAACAAAGACTTACCCAAGCACCCTGACTTAAATTACCCCTAATCCATACTCTGTTTTGAAGGAAGCCTGATACACATACACACACTCTATTACCCATGAAGCTTGTTCCCCCTCCCCAACTCCTTGTCAGAATTTTAGTCAGTGAGCTCTTCAGGTCAGAGATGTTTCTCTTTTGCTATCACTCTGTAAAGTTCCATATTTGATAGTGGGTGTGCAATGCTTAACCGATAATCAGAGTAATCCATTTTAATAGACTAAAAAAGGTGATTCAATTAATTAGGCAGTGTTTTCAAAAACATTTATTAATAATACAAATACATATTTAAGAAGTGCATGTCATCTAAAAACAAAGCATTGTTTCTGTTTCAGGACTAATTTTGACCCACTTGAAAACTTTTATAATCTACAGTTGCTCAACTCATTCTATGCATGTTTACTTTAGAAGTAACTCGTGCCAAGTGGGCTTAGGATTGCAACCTAACATTTCTTTTGTCATGCGATAGTCCTAGTTATATTGATGAAAGCATCTTTTTATAGCTCCTTTCCTGGTGAAAAAATGGTTTCATTTCAGCAGCTAAGAGATTTTGCACATCCAAACTCAGCTCCTTAGCTTTTGTCCCATCCAGTCCCTGGCAAGAGAAAGAGCTCCTTGGCAGAAACCTGGGCAAATTAATTTACTCCCCATATCTAGGCCAGGTAGTGGACAAAGGGCACTAGGATCACTGTGAACAAATGATGAATTTTAACACACCTTGAAACTTTAAAAAAGCATTGTCCTATTGATGTGTTATACTTGTGCTGTCTCTTAAAAATGATGGGCTATGATCAGCATTTAGTTCATGGGTAGGCAAACTAAGGCCCGGGGGGGCTGAGTCCAGTCCAATCACCTTCTAAATCCGGCCCGCGGACAGTCTGGGAATCACCATGTTTTTACATGAGTAGAATGTGTCCTTTTGTTTAAAATGCATCTCTGGGTTATTTGTGGGGCATAGGAATTCATTTTTTCCCTTCAAAATATAGTCCAGCCCCCCACAAGATCTGAGGGACAGTGTACCGGCCCCCTCCTGAAAAGGTTTGCTGACCCCTGGTTTAGTTGAAGCAGACCAGCATGCCTGGAAGGAATAAGGAGGCTCACATCCAGCATTGAAATTTGCACTGGAGACTTTGGGATGGTCAAGTTCATGCTCAGTTCTGGCTGTAGTCAACAGTGTGTTTTTACACACTGCTGTATTTAAAGCGAGCATTTGCTTCCGCTTGAGAAGCAAGGGTTAAAGTATAGCTAGTGGCGAGTAAATTCACATTCGGTTTTATTTTTCACCTTCTTCCAGGAAACATGAAAGAGCTGAAGGAGGATGTCAAGTTACAGCTTTACAAGTTACTTGAAGTGCCTGATCTGAACAAAAACTGGTCCATGCTGGCGCAGAAGCTTGGCCTAGGGATACTTAACAATGCCTTCCGGTTGAGCCCCTCTCCATCAAAAACCCTGCTTGATAATTATGAGGTAACTCGAATAACGTACCTAATGGGCCAGCCCAATGGCCCATTTAGCCTTGCATCCTGTCTTTAATGTCTATAAGCACCTGCCTAGTAAGATCCCTCAATAATTCCTTTTCACAACGACCCTGAGGGTGCCTGTGCCTATGACAATGTTTCTATTGATTATAGAACAGGAGACAGCCTATCATTTGCACATGGCGAGTTAGTCACTCCAGTTCTGTGCACTTATCAGTGTGCATATTGGGCTTGGACTGGGGAATTTAGGACCTTTAGGCCCTGTTGATCATTTCCAACCATATGATGTTAAGAATACCCCTTTACGGGAGGATGTATGAAGGATCCAACCCCTTTTTAGGCTGCTGCAGTATTTAGAAACTCACTGTAAGGTGAGAGATTCCCTCAGTGTTAATCTCAGAAAAAGTTTGTGTAGTCATGCCATGCACATGGCAAGACGCAATCATATAGGTCTTTCATTTGTAAATTAAACAATGCTCTCCAACTATTACATATTTTATTCTGCCATGTGGCTGCATGTTTATAAGAATTCTAGGGATAGCTCATGTTTGTTTCTGGGCCCAATTGAAGAGGTTCACGTTAAAGAGTTTACTACAGGCTCCCTTGGGTCAGACTGGCAGAAAAAAGCCCCATGTTAGTTCCAGCACCCTCAGAAGCTGTGGGGTGGCAGCCCCTAAAGCTAGGCTGTGGAATGTTACTGGCACCATCATTGTAGTTTTGTCACATGCTAATGATTCACCTTGACTTTGACACCTGAAATATATCTATTTTAGGACCCACCCTATTCTTTTGATGGTGAATTGTTTTAACTGATTTTAATATCTTTTTACATTGTTGTAACCTACCCCAGGACCTTATTATTACCACCCGCCTAATAATAATAATAATAATAATAATAATAATATACTCACCTTCAGTCAATAAGTGTTGATATTTCTGTTCTTTGAAGGAAAACCAAAGCCAATTGTCAAGTTACCTACCGTGAAGTTTTTTGTAGATCTGCACTTGCAGAGAAAGCTAATGATCCTCTTTTACTTAGGTGGAAAGCCTGCCTCAGTTTGTTTACCTTTATTTTAATATCTATGCAGGTTTCTGGTGGCACTGTAAGGGAGCTGGTTGATGCCTTGATAGAAATGGATTGTACAGAGGCTGCAGAAATAATTCACAACTCATTATTCATCTCATCGAGCCAGTCCAGCAAAGAGCAGGCAAAGGATGCAAGACCTCCATTATGCGAATCGCCTTCCCCTCCCATGATAGCACAAACAGGTAAACTGCTCTATGCCAATCAATGTTCCTGCAATAAAACAAACATTTTGCAGCTCCACCCCACCCCCGTGGCAGAGATGGTAATAAGGACAGAACAATGAGGTGTCTAGATTGTTTGATTTAAATGTGACAAACCTAGATTCAAATCCTTTCGCAGCTGCAGAACCCACTGGGTGAAGTTAGGAATTCCCTAACTCTTGTAGGGTTCTTCTTAGCCTAAAACATTGCTGTGAAGTTCCTGGAGAAAAGGGCAAGACACACATATCCATTCAACTGCAGAACTAGTCAGCTCCTGAGTTGATGCGTCTAAGAGTATTCAGACTAGGTGTCCTTGACAAATTCCCATAAATTTCAGTGCAAAGTTACTTGATGCACACTTCCAGACTAACGTTGTCGATCAGAACATATATTTATCCCTTTATGTTTCACACTACTCTGAGCCCACAACTGTATTGCAAAATTTAAAGAAACCTACCAAAATGTGTTTTAAAAACTGTTGGTTTGGAATAAAACACATTTTGAATTGTATACATGGAGATCAAATACATATTTGAATAGATATTTTGTAATAACCTATGTATTTAAATATTAATGGGATGTAGAAGAGAATTAGGAATGAAAACATGCAGGACTGACATGGATGAGGAATGGTTTGATCTATCTTTATTTCAGTCCTCCGCATTTAAAGCTTTTGGAAGGGAAGTGCCATGAATTAAGACTGAATTTAAAATAGTGCTGGAACCTTAGAAAACACAGGTCACCTTCCCAATGTTCTAGCAGCTGGTGCAGTCTTGGCATTTAGTAACATGGTAGGAAAAACAAGCTTAGCACAAGGGCTTAGCAAAAGGACAACCCAAGGCTTCAGGACATGTGAAGCTGCCTTATCATATAATACCGCTTGGCCATCTATCCCAGCATTTTCTGGATTGTCCATGTTCTTAGGCAGAAATCCTTCCTAGCTTTGCCAACAAAGCTCTTTTAATTAGAAGTGCCAAGGATTCAGCCAGAGACCTTGAGTGTGCAAAACATGTTGCCTGGAAACACTAATATTCGTAAAGCTCCTGCCCTGGACTCCTTCTGCAGCTGCTAGTAAATTTTGTTTTATTTTCACCATTGTCTGGGGAACAAAGAGGCCTTTCCATTGCTCTTTTGATTTATTTGCTGAACTGCATATATTGCATTGTATTAGCATTTTCTTAAAACCCTATGAATTACGCAACATGTTCCTTTTCCCCTCTGCCAGGTGATCTCAAATTCCAGGATGCTGAAAGTATTTGTGACAGCGGTGTAGAGATTTCCCTCCGCAAACTCAGCTTCACATATTCAGAGTCTTTCACCAGCAAGTCACCAGTAACACTTAAGAAACTAACCACAGGCTATGGCCAGGACAACTTGCCACAAGGCAAAATTGAAGCCACTTAGAGGTGTGGAATGGTTTTGTAAAGTTTCCTGCAGAGGGAGGAAGTTGCTAACAATTCAAAGTGCACTGGAAGAAAAAGCTCTTTAAAATGTACATCGACAGGACTGTTCAAGAAACGGGAATCTGGTCCCGGTAAAGTGGGAAGCTCAGGACCAGCAGCATGAAGATGGAGTGGCCTTCTTTCTTCCTAATATCTTCACCTATAGAAGAAATGGACTACCAACATGATGTATGGTAAAAGTTACAAGAGAGACATTGGCTATGGAGCGCGGAACAGGGTCGTAAGCAGTGATCAGGATAGATACTTAAGTCAAAAGAATATAATGTATATTTCAGTAAGTATATTTAAATTTTCATCTGGTGTCTATAAAAATCATCCAAGCTTCAGACTGTTTTCCCCATACTGTTTTACCAGCTTTCTGCTGTAAATATTCTTGTTTAGATGAAATTACTCAAGGAAAATAATGTGCTTTTTAAATGCTTGGTTTTTTTTATTTTACTTTTATAATAAAAGACAAAATTCACATTTTCTATATTTTTGTGCTGAAGCACACATGGAAAGCAGCTAAGGTCCTGGAGGCAAACTGCTCCCATTAGCTTGATGACAAAGCACTGATAACTTAAATCAGAAGGTGAATCAATAGGGTGAGGCACTTTTCCATTATGAGATCACCTGAATAAGGCCTAAGGTCCTGCTAAAGAAATTCAGTAACTTCTCTCAAGGGCGGCTTAACTCCTTAAGAGGTAAAGAAGGTGAGAACACAGAAGGCCACTGTATGTGTCCATAGAAACCCCCCTTAAACTCTCGAACTATAGGAAGAAACTATTTGCACCTTTTTCCACTTGTGTGTCAGATAGCTGTGAGCTGGACACTAAACAGGCAAGGGTGCTGAAAAAACATACTGGAAGTGGGAAAGACAGGTGAACCAAGATCAACAGGTCCTTGTGGCAACTTTAACATTGACATTATGACATAAGCATTCATGGACTAGGGCCCACTTCAGCGAAAGAATAGAGTGTGATCCTCGGTCAACCATTATGTGGGTTTGAAGGGGGATGTACAGTCGTACCTTAGTTGACGAACACCATGCGACTCAAACGTTTTGGCTCCCGAGCACTGCAAACCCAGAAGTGAGTGTTCTGGTTTGCGAACGTTCTTTGGAACCCGAACATCCAATGCGGTTTCCAATTGAGTGTAGGAAGCTCCGGCAGCCAATCGGAAGCCGCACCTTGGTTTTCAAACATCAGATGGACTTCCGGAACGGATTCCGTTCGTCAACCAAGGTACGACTGTAGAAGTTGATTGGCAATGGTACAGCCTGTGACAAGATTCAGAGCTTACATGTATAAAAATGACCACCCTTCACTGCCACAGATGATAAAGAGAACCAACTGTTAGATCTTTTTAAGATGACACAATACTTAGCTGTCACTCTGTTGCAGCAAAAACCACCAGCAGCCCTCTGAACACAGTGTGGACCAGTGAAAGAAGGAATCCTTAGCTGAGAAGTGCCACAGTTCAAGCCAACCAAAAAAATAACAGCCAGTGATTTTAAAGACCTCCTTCCAATGAGTAGCTGCTGACTGAGAATATGCAGTGGTAAAGGAAAACATACTCTGCTTATGCCTGCAGCCACTCCTATTATCTTTTTTCCTCCCATTTTTAGCAGCATATCAGGCCTACTTTGCAAGTGGTTCCTGGACTTTTGCACCTAGCACCTATAAGTGAGATCTGTGTGCAGCCTCTCCACCTTGCAACTTTAAGCATGCCTTCGGGCACGGCTCTAACTATCTGGGTAGTGAGACCCTTAGGGAAGTCCCACATTGACTAGCCCCAATAACTAAGACTTCCATTACCACCCATTTTCCCTATTATCTGAGACGTGCATCAGTTTGGCTCCTTAGTCTAATACTGGTGCACCACATCCTTCCATCTTAAATAAAAAGCCCTGATGCCAGAATACAGAGGAAAGTAAATGAGGGCACTAAAGAATCATTCTATGCACTTCATTTCACTGTTTTCATTAAGCTCTCTTAGCATACGTGGTCACCTTGTTCTGTAGCTGTGCTGATTTGCTCTGGGCTCCAGTCCGCTGAACAAAAGGGTCCCAAGTGTGGAAGATGCTGGCACAAGAGTGATGTTTAATGGTCCTACTTTGTGCCTCTCTTGCTGCGGCGTTTCATTCCCATTTCCATTCAGCTTCCTCTCCCTCCTTCAGGCCTTTCCTCAGGAAATGTCTGTCAATGATGTTAAGCTGAGCGACTTCTCCAGTTCTTTGGCGCTAGTGGTTTCCCAAGGGTAGAACAGTATGACTCTTCGTTTCTCAGTGAGAAGGAAACCATTGTCACTGAATCTTCCTGAGATGTTTCCAGCATCCAACCAAACATAAGGAGCGATGGCTGTGGCTTCCAGGATAATCTGAAACTGATCTCCTTCTTGGGAAACAGAAGCCTGAAGGGGAGGGGGCAAAGGATTATTATCTGTGCAGTTTGCCTAGTAGAAATTCCCTATTATAAACAATGTGCTTTAATAATTTATTCCTCCTCACAACAAGCTTGTCTGCAGAAAAGGAAATAATGGCATATGGAGCCGCTTGTTACTTGAAACCTGAATTATAAACATTATTTTTATACCGGTTTAATACTACGGCAAGGATCGCTAGTGTAACTCCAGATGTACAACTCCCATCAGTCCCAGCCGGTATGAACAATGGTCAGGGTTAATGGGAGTTGTAGTCTCCAAACACCTGGAGGGACCCTACATTGGTTACCACTGTACTATGGTTTCCTCTTCAGCAATTCCAGGAGATGGAGGAAATTACTCTTCCCCAGAACTGCGCCAGTTAAGTCTTGGTTTGCCAAGATGACACACCAGTGTGCCCACCATTACTTCTTATGGAACCCACAAAAGGTCTCAGGAAATACTGCCTCATAAATCCATACTGCAGAAGGACTCTTCTTGTTCACAGTTCCTATTTGCGCTGGCTCAGCCTGATTTTGCAGACATGCTGAAGACATGGAGCCTTGGCAGGACCTGCAATCAGCATTAAGCAGGAATGCCATTTTATTTAGACATGAAGCACTTTCTGTGTTCCAAAGTAACCGCTCCATTTTAAGGCAAAAACACCAAGAAACGGCAATAAAAGTTCAATTCCATGACATCGATAAATGATGGGAATTAGACAGCTTTGCATATGGCATCTGAGGCTCCGTCCTTACCTTTTGTAAGGATCAGCACATAATGCTTCCATAAGAGTGAAATCACAGGTCCTTTGGTACTATGCACAGAGTTCAGTATCCTGACTTCACACACAGCTTCTGAGCCAAGACATCTCACCGCAGTTATTCTATACCCTCTGTGGTTCTATGAACTGCTACTTGTGTGCCAAGGAACGAATGTTATTACTTGAACAAAATAATTTTGTTGCTTACAAGAAGTTGTGGATTCTTTAACCCCACTGCATCCTTCAATGAGGACAGGAAGTGGTAATTGCTTGGGCTGGAGAGCTCCTCTTCACCCTCAAGGGAAAAGGTGACAACACAGCTTTGCCTGGTACAATTTCCACATTGTTTCAGAAGGTCACTGATTGGCTCCTTGTAGATGGGAACAGCTGCTCCTCCCTTGATGAGCACACTCTCTTCTGCCAAGGTACACACTGGCTCCGTCAAACCCCAATCATGCAGACTGACCTGCAAGGCAGGTTAAGAGTTCAAGACAATAAAGGCACATTATGAATGCTTCCTTGCCATTAATAAAACACAAATAACTCAACCTAGATTGAGCACACGTTTACATTTCTCTTATTAAAATTAATAGCCTTCAAAAGATCTTAACTTTGACAGGAGGATGCCTTTATTCAGGCAATAATCCTACAACATTAGCTTGCAATTCAAATATTTACACCTCACTTAAAAACTCAAAACGCAGCATTATTTCGTAGCTGGGAGTATTTCTTTAGAGCTAGTCTCCTTAAGGTTTTGCTTTGGGTTGAATAGAAGGGTTGGGGGAAAGCCCTCACCGCCCAACCCCAAAATTCTTTCCAGACCCAGCTTCAGAGACTGGGCAAGGTGGAACTTACTCTGAGTGTCAGCTCATAATCTGTGTGAAGATCTGAGATCCCATATATGTAGAGAACATCTTTATCTTCATATGCCACAGGCAATAAAGGAGCGAAAAAGCGCTGTGCAAAATAATGGAGCATCTTCCACTTGCCACCATATTCTGAGAAGGTTCCAAAGGAGAAAATATATTAACCATACCCTGAAATGACCTGCAGCTTACCTTACTATGCAAGCATTCAGATTAAGAGGCCTTTTTTTTTATTTTCTCGAGTCGGAGGAAGGCTGGTTCATAAATGACTTGCGGGGAATGAGTGGGTATCACTTACATATATTTATTTATTGCTTCACCCCTGGAGCTAACTCTTTCCCCTTATTAATATTTGTGCTTGTATCAAAGCAGCCCATACACTAATTGCTGTTCACATGTTAAAAACCTTCTACTGTCTCTATTGCTGCTGTTCAAAATGGAAGCCATATCAGGCATGCAGTGGGGTTGTTGCAGGACGACCACAGTGAATGTGATGACGCATGCTACATAGGGCATATACAGATATGTATATGCACTCAACAAATGTGACATCTTATCTGAAAAGCAGGTGATGGGGCCACTGGAATTCAAGCAATTAATGTGCTGTATTTCAAGCAACTGCACTGCAGAGAAAGAGGTGGCTGAAACCACCAGATGCAGAGGAAATAGCAGACTGTCTGTTGTGCTTACATCCAGCTTCATTAATTGCTACCAGCTAAACTTTGTAACTAGAAATGCGGCCTTGGTTTTCCTTCTCCCTCCCAGTTCCTTTTCCTTTTGTGTTGTGTCCTTTAAGATTTATCAGCCTGAAGGCAGGGACTGTCTTGTCATTTTTGTACACTGCTCTGGCAGCCTTTTTATTCTGAAGGGTATATAGTAGAAATGCTTTAACAAATCAACAAATAATAAGGGTGACATGGGATAGAGACACAGAATAAAGGAGGGTGTCAGCAGTAGGTTCCTGGTTTTTAAGTTTTCCCTGAAGTTCTTCTCACCAACAGTCAGAGTAGGCAGCCTGCTCCTCTGTGGGACCAGTGCTAAATTAATCAACTGCAAACCCCAAAGGCATCATTTCCTTGGTCTGTACCATAATCATGCATCCAAAAGCTATTATTCTGTCTAATAGCTGCTGGTTTCAGCTCACTGGATGATGTAAGTGCTAGATGTGATGAGACTAAAACTGAGTCATCCCTTCCAAGTAAAATGTGTGATTTGAATCAGGTATGTCAAGGTGACATTACACAAGACCTGAGGCTCAGCAAACAGTGGTTGCAATTTGCTTTCCTCCCCTAAAGATGAAACTTCACACCGTGGCTACAGCTGTCCCATGTGGATGACTAAGGCCCTAACTGCACTATACATTTAAAACAGCATCGTGCCACTTTAAATCATCATTAACCTAAATCTTTCTTTTTCTCCCTTGTCGTTTGAACCCTATTCAATGAAAATTTGCTCCTGCCCCCTTTATACCCATATATCTGACCACTGATGCATATTTCAGCTTCCTAAGCCAAGACATGGTTGTGGGAACTGACCACCGTTACCACCCGAATCCACTACGATGGAATTGGGAGAGCCAAGAGCTCAGAAATATACGTCTTGCTATTCATACTACAAAACCCTGACAGTCTGTTAATAGTCCCTGAGAGAGTCAAGTGCTAATTTAAACAGATGTCTCTTTAATTTTTCAACAACGATTGAAACATGCCCAGAGAGGAAGAGACTGTTCAGACCAAATCATGACATCCTGTATAGCAGCAAAGGCTAATCTAATCCTATGACATAATTAAAGGCTCTAGCTTTAATATCTCCTAACTTCTTTCCTCTGCAAACCAAAGTTATCTACCAGAACGACATGCAGATTATATTCGCTCTTCCTGGGACACACCCCAGGTAAAACTGGGGATGGGAACACATGCACACACACCCTCGGGAACTGCTGACATTGTAGGAACCAGACTTTAATGTCAAGCCTTATCCCAAAGGTAGCCAGTGCTATGCTCCTCCGATGTTTTGCACTCCGACTCCTCTCAGCCAGTGACGAGGGGAGTTGTGGTCCACAACACCTGGAGGGAACCACGTTGGTTATCACTGCATGCCTGAAATGGCTAAAAAGCTTGGTGCTTTAAGGCATTTGACAAAATGCTGCCATTTAATTTGTGGTACCCTGGACAGTACCCAACAAAGTAGTTCTTGCCAGCACAAGAACATCCGGCTGTGCAACAGAACTTACCCTCCCTCTCCCCTTCCTGTGTCCCTCCTAAATCTGTTCTGGGTTTCCCCCACCAGGACAGATCTGGAGATGGTGCAGCCCAAGGAGAGGGTGGGGAAGTTCAATCGCAGAAATGGAAATCCTTGCACGATCAGAACTATTTTGTCCAAATTCCCACTCGGCCATGAAGCTCACTAGGTGACCTTGGGCCAGGGACTTTCTCCCAGCCTATACAACCTCTCAGGGATGGTGTGAAGATGCAATTGAGGGGTAGAATCACATTCACCACCTTAAGCTCCTCACAGCAAAGGTGAAATACAAATAAATAAAATAGGTGTGCAAAGACAGTAAGAAAGCATGCACATTAAAGCGGCCCAATTCCTAATTTTGCTTTGGCTGGAGAAGACTTACCCAGAGAAGCCCAGGAAGGAGCCTGCCAGATATCATTGAGTTGCCAATATAGTGCCCCCATGGTGCGCCCCTCCCCATTGATTATCTCGCTTTGGCTGCGACGATAGAACTCCGTTTGGGACTTTATGCACTGGGCCTGCATAATCTAAGTCAACGAAAGCCAAAACAAAAAGAAAAAATATAATTACTAAGTGCTTGTGTAATGATAGAACTGCGAAAGATACGGACAATAATGTAGATCCCTGCGACTGGACCACAGAGAACAGCAGATCACATAGTAAAACCCTTTCTGGACGGTACCACTTTGATTTGTAAGCAGTATTTATTTATTTACTGAATTTATATACTGTCCTATACCCGCAGGTAGGTTGTGTATTTCAAACAATGCTCTAAAAAATTCCTAAAATATACATTCAAACCTCACAAGAGTCCCCCTGTTGCGTTTTATCATTTTCTAAACTATATGCAAAATTAATAAAGAGCATTTAAAAAACAAACCTCAAAAGAGTGTTTAATGAATGTTAGAATGATTAATGAATGTTAGAATGATGTTGGATAGAAATTAAGTGGTTTTTAGCTGTAATACTATAAGGGAATATGAAAAATGGATTACGAATAGGTAAAAATTTAATGTCACAATATTTTAAGATTAAAGACTAGGATAAACAAAGAGGGGAAGGATTTGCTGAACTAACAAACTGAACTGGAATACAAAAAAGGGAGGCGCGAGGAGGTCCGGGAAACAAGCTAATGAAAAATAAGTAATGGAAAGATTGAGTTGTTTTTAACTATTTTTATTTTGTATTTTTCTTTTTTCTTTTTTCATTTTGTAATATCTTGAAAATTTTAATAAATATCTTTTTTTTTAAAAAAAAAGAGTGTTGTGGCACCTTAAAGGCTTAACAAATGCTCTCCTGGCACAAACTTTCGCGCATTAGAGCCTACTTCATGAGATTCGTGGAGTGTGACCCTCAGTCTACCAGCCATGTTTTTCAATGGTGTATAAGCACATAAAAGGGAGCAGGGAATGTTGCAGCCGAAAGGCGGCGGCATGCAAAATTACAGCCTGTGACAAAGCAACAATAGCTCGAACGTATGCAAAATTACCTTTCACAGCAAAATGTATGAATACATTTTAGTCTCTAATTCTATTATCACCTTACTCAGCAACGCTATAGTGACTGTGTAATTGCCAGCCAATGTTGCTGTAAAACGTCATTTTTCATCCACAATCCTTTTGCATCCCATTTCCCCCCTTCCCTTGCTCCCTTTATATCTGACAACTGAGACTCATACCCCTTGCATCTGACATAGTGGGCTCTAGCCCAGAGAAGTTTATGCCATAACATAAACAATGCTGGCCTTTTATGTGCCAAAAGGCTTTTGGTTGTTTTTGCTGCAGCAGACTAATGTGGCTATCCTTGCAGATATTGAAAACTGCCCATCAGAGTCTTTCCAGGACTCTTACGAGGTCGTCAGTTGTTGCAGATAAGCACAAGTGGTTTCTAGACCTGTTTCCAAAGAACAACTTCATACCCCATGTTTTCAGTGCACCGTCATAATCCCTGGATAGGAAAAGACAAATCTAACATTGTGCCTACAGGGCTGAGTTAATGTTTCACCATACAGAGAGACACAGACCTGACAACCAGTATATACACAGCCTGTAATCACAAAGCAAACAGCCATGCGACACTTTATACACAACGGCACATGTGTATTTCTCTGTACGGTGTGTGGGGAGAAGCCCATCGATAATTTAAACAGATGTCACTGGACCCAAGATTTCGCCCACTGTGTAATTCAAACACTTGACACAATTATCATAATTTTGTACCAGGTTCTCTGCAATACATGTTGCATTATGCAACCACAATTATGGCTTCTTTAACAAACAAGAAACCTCTTAAGATTTTGACAAATACTCACCTGAGTGAGGTAGATGGATTGCTTAAAGTTCTTGAGGGGGTCTCCTTCCTGCGGCAGCTTAAAATGGAGGCCTGCCTGATGAAGCATTTGGTCATTGCCATTAGCGTGGTGTTGCCGATGCAAGGAGAAATTGCTCGCGTAAGACCAGTCCTCCTCAGATGACACCTGTGGTTTAAAAACAAAATAAGATTTATACACATTCGCAGCCACTCACTCGCATATATTTACTTTTTTATAAAAAATAGTCATCTCAAAAATTCAAACATAGCATAAGGTGTCCCCCAGCAAACTGGGCCCCCATGCTGTACAATGGCATTCTGTCTAATCCGTTGGGCTGCTAAAGCAAAAAGAGGAACCTTATGTGTGATGCGTTTATTCCCCAATCCCTGAGCAAAGAACAATTTTTCTCCCTAATATTCAAGGAGGAAATTGTCTGAAGAATCCTTTTGAGAAATATGTCCCTCAGAGAATTATGCAGATTGCAATACAGTATGCAGAGAGCAATGTTCTCCACCACTCTCTGGCTACAAATACATGCATGATTTACACATATTCTAGCATATATTTCATCTAAGTATGCTCTGTGCAAAGTTTGTACAGTGGTACCTTGGTTTTCGAACAGAATGCGTTCTGAGAGTCCGTTTGACTCCCAGAACCATTCGAAAACCAAAGTGTGGCTTCCAGTTGGCTGCAGGAGCATCCTGCAGCCAATGAGAAGCCATGCCGGACGTTTGACTTCTGAAAATCGTTCAAAAACCAAACACTCACTTCTGGGTTTCGATCGTTCGGGAGCTGATCTGTTTGGGAGCTAAGTTGTTCAGCTTCCAAGGTACGACTGTAATCTTAAAGCTGTAACTACCTCCATACAGAAAATGTATACATGTACAGATCAGAAAAGAACATGGGAAATAGCAGTGTTTACACAATTGGTGGGGGATCATAGGACTAGGGGCCAAATACCTCTCTGCCTGCCCCCCAGAAATCTCCCCAGGCTACACTGTGCCCCAAATGCTTCTGCCTGGCTGCATTGTCCTTGAACCCTGATAAGGTAAAACCTTTTATCCTCGTGAGGATAAAATGGGAGGGGAGACTCATGTACACTGCCTTAAGCTCCTTGGCAGAATATCAGGATAAAACAACAGCAACGTAACAAATACAGGAAGTTGCTGGTGGTGCAACTTCCCAAGGCCTGTAGAAAAGAATTTTGGGCAGGCCTTTATGCATCTATCCAAGGCAAAACCATAAAAATAAGTGAAAGGCAGAAGTAACTGGTGACGAGAGACACAATCCCCCCAAAAGCGGTGCTTACCTTCGTAAGTGCTTTGCTACAGGTTTGTGTCTTGTTTCTTTCAGTGAAATAAAAGTGCTCCCATTGTTCTCTGCATTGTGCCCAGAGCCAAGAATGGGAATTCTTGTTGTCTGATCAAACATGTTCTTTCGTCAACTAATTGAGCTCCCATTGTTTAGCACACTTAAATGATACTTTTCCTTCCAGGAAGGGAAATTCCCCAAATTGACCCTGGCTTTAAATGCCTTAATACACATGGGGAACATGATTCGCAGGCAGGCTTGTAAAAAGAACTGTACACAATTACAAACCCACACACCTCATTTCAAACTGGGACATTCTGCCAGCATTTGAACTCTTCTAAGTCTCGTTGATGTCGACAGGAGAAAGTTACGCCTTGTTCAGGCTTGTCAACAGCCATGTGCTCCCTAAGAACTACCTCCAGGCAACCAGAGAGGAAAGCTTTGCAGGATTCATTTATGACATTGATCTTTTTGCCTTTCAGGCCACACACAGCACACACAGTTATGCCTGGGCAAGCAAACAGATGACTACACACTTTTTTGCAGGGCGGTATCTTCTGTGGCCTTGCCAGCAGTGCTGAGCACGTGCATCATTCTCCCACTGGAATCAACATTTAGGGAAATCTTTGCACACAGGCCCACTCCAAACATCCTTTTTATTGCACATTCGTGATTATTTGTGCTCATGATGCTATCGGGGCAATCCTACACAATCCTACTTTCAGTACCATTTGTGAATGCAAAAGGTCATACTGCTTCACTTACAGCTAGTAGTAGTAGCAGTACTCCTAGTAACAACAACAACAATAATTTGTAGCCCGCCCATCTGGCTGGGTTTCCCCAGCCACTCTGGGCGGCTCCCAACAGAATATTAATCAGAATAAAACATCAAACATTAAAAACTTCCCTAAACAGGTCTAGTGCACGTCTTGTAACTTCCACTGGCTTTTCATACCACAAATGTCCTATGTTGTTGTTGTTTGGGGGGTGTTGTCCCACTTTTGTTGCACTATAACCCTTCCGGACAGCAATAATGTAGCACTGAGGAATCATCACAGAACAACAAACAAAGCAAAATAAATTGATCACTATTTTTGTGCCAAGGACATGTTACAAAATATACCCACAATAAAATACCAGTTTGGAGGGGTCCTTGATGTTTAGCGGTTGCTTTAAAATGCAAATTGTATTTTTTTAAAATAATAATAATAATGCAAAGTTACTGGGAGGGAGACGGTGGTAAATGAAGGGTCAGAGCAGACAGGGAGAGAGAGAATATAATCCTCTTATCCCCTACAGTGGTCCCAAGGAAAACATGTCCTCTTTTTATTTATTTAGAAAATTTATAAACCACCTAAGCAAGGAGCTCCCTAAACAGTGTACTAACAAAATTATAAATAAAATCCACAAACAAATTAAAAATAAAGATACATAAAACCGCCATCCCTGTACACAAGGATAAAACCAATACGACTTTTAAAACAAATATAGGTAACTAAATTATATGTATGGGAAAACACACCAAAACAAGTGAAGTTTTCAGCAAGCATTTAAAACAATTTGCTGCCAATAGGCAACCTGCTGATAGGTAAAGTTCCAAAGCACAGGTGTTGCCACACTAAAGTCAACTCCTCACAATTCAGAACAGACATGCTGTGGCTCTTGTAAAAGTGCAATTAAATAGGCACATAGGGAGCAAGATTATTTCTTTAAGTAAGCTGGTCCCAAGAGCTAACATTTGCATTGGGAGGAAATCATCAACTGGCTTTTCTTCTGCTCGCAGAGTTTGCAAGAGAGGGAAAGGCTCGAAAGACTTACCTGTGCCAGGGAAATGAAGGAAGGCCAGGACTGAAAGCCATACTCCGAGGCAAATCGTGTTCTGGGGAAGGTGGTCCAATCCCAGCAGTCACTCACATAGTTGTAGTAATGATTATCTCCGAAATGAGTGTCGTAAGGAGCATGGGCTAGCCAGCCTTCCTTGGCCGACTCCAGACCGTTGGTAGGGCTGGAGGTAATGAAAGGACGAGTCTCGTCTTCCTGGGTTTAACAAAACACAACGCAAGACAATAAATAGAGCTAAGGGCTAATAAAGCATTTCTTTCTTCTTCAAACTAGCTAAACATCTACGATTTCAAAAGCAAAAAAATAAAGCCAGATTCTGAATTGGTGAATGAGTCATGGCTTCATTTCTCACTAGGCTGGATGAGTTCTGCTCTGCTTATCACACAAATGAATATCTGCTTCCTGGAGTCAGACGCTCGGCTGCAAAGAAACAAATTCAGCATTCAAAGGAAAGCAATCTGCTCTGAAAAATATTGCCTTCAGACTGCGAGACAAATACTAAGGAAAGCATTGTGCGCGGTCCATTTATTTTCGTATGAGGAAGAACGTGCGCATTTTAGGGGGGAAATTGTATAGTCAGCTTCCATCTGAAAGCAAAACTGATTCTTTGGACAAATGTTCAAGGTCTTTACAGGCAATGGGCACACAACTGTTTCCCATCTGTTAGGGAGAGTCTAGAGGCCTTTCCTCCAGGTTACGTGTATGTTCTCTGAATGACTTTTTAAAAATAAATAAATAAATAAATAAATATAGAGAACAAAACAAAAGCACAAATAGTACAAAGAACTAGAAGATTTTTAAGGCTGAAAATATTTTAGAATTAAAGGAACTGGGAAAATAAAAAGTTCTTCAACTGATACAAAACATTTTTAAAAATCAAAATCCATAAAATAGGATTACAAACAGATTGCCCACCTACTGAGAGACCCATGGCTCAATGCGCTTCCACATGTGCACATTCACCCACACTCATCAGCCCTCAACAGAATGGCCAATGGTCAGGGGTGAGGGGAGCGCCAACATCTGGATCTCCAACATCTGGAGGCCACAGGCTTCCCATACCATATGTGGCAATTTCCAGTCTTAACACGGAGCCCCTGAAATGTTCCACTTGAATGTTGATCGCTTCCCCACTGCAGATACCTTGTGCTCACTTTGGAAAGCCAGTCTTCTGCCTAGGGCCTACACGGTTCTGTGCTGGAGCAGTTATGCTGAACTGGTCTGCAGAGACTCTCCTGGGTTTTAGACAGGCCTATCTAGAGATGCCTGGGATTAAATCTGGGATCTTTTGAATGCAAAGGAGATGCTCTACAGCCCTTTCCCAAAAAAGAAGTTTGTAAGGAAAGAGGGTATGTGAATATGCACTTCTTATTTGATAGTGGGAGCATCAGGCTTCAGCCAGAGAGCAGTACTTAAGTGGATACACTATCTGCTGACTATAAATGCTGCATAAACAGAATATGAGAGAGAGAGAGAGAGAGAGAGAGAGAGAGAGAGAGAGAGAGAGAGAGAGATTTGACTTCTCAGTTCTCTACATTTCAGGCTGTCCATTAAGAGTAGTTAATATTTACCTTGCAGGAATGCTTGCAACTTACAAAACTGGTATGCACAGAGCTAAACGCTGCCAAGTGTGATGGGGGAGACCTGAATCTTCAGCAGTCAAAGATACAGGCCAGAGTTACAGGCCAGTTGAGGCTTCCTGGCACATTATCCCTGCCCTTTATTAACTGCAGCGTTTAGCACAGCAAACACCAGTGGACACACGACAAGCTTGGCCCTTACTTATCACTCTCATTTTCCCCAAAGCAAGTACTTTTTATCTGTAAATAAATAACCAGGCACTTAAAAAAAAATAGAGTATGTTAATACACATTGCAGGGGTATCACAAACGCAGGTGAAATACAGAAGACAAAATGGTTGTTAGGGCTGATTTGAGCCCATCAATGGATATACAGAGAAAACAGATGTTTCCAGATGTTTCCAGATTGTGCCTGATGCATCTTTAATGATAAAGATTTGCCTGCAATGTATGCAGACTACAGACACGGTTGCAAACAAGAAGAGTAAAATCAGCAATTCAGCAGAACTTTCAAAGCCTGCTATCAAAGCTCAACCCTTCATAGCCTTCTGCAAAACAGTACTTACAGCAAGAACAATCTCTCGGATATTCTTTACATAAAGCGTGACATAATCGTCGGCATAAACGCTCTTCTTTGCGCTTGGAATAGAGAACCAGTTGTATGCAATTGCTGCTTCATTTTCATTGTTCCCGCTCCATAAAATGATAGACGGGTGAGATTTTAACCGCTTTACCTGAAACGAAAAGCAGAGCTTTTAACATGTAAGTGCTAAAAAAAAAATAATGAGTAAAGTCAGAAGTGTTAATGATTAAAGTCCGGGGTATAAAAGGGACATGGTTTCACCAAACGTCTTAATGAATCTGCAAATCAGACACAACTTACAATAATGTCAGCTTCAGGTGTGGTTTAAACTTTCCAAAGGATTCAAGGTTAGATTTACACGACGTGGCTCCAGAGCTGGTTAAAAATGGGTTTCCTAGCTCTATATTTGGAAGGGGAAAACAGAAGAGGGCGCTCTCACTGCACCAGTCAAAAATTAGTGTTTACGCAAGGAAGAGGCAAAGGGGGACTTCAAACCTCCTTCTGATAAGCCTAACTTGAAATTCTTGAATTGCTTTCAAGTTAGGCTTATCAGACACAAATATGAGCTCCTTCTTGTTCTGAAGGAATTCCTTCAGGACACAACACTTGAGCGTGAGGGTATTTTATGGTCCGATTCTATGATTCTAACCTAAGTGTGTTCCTGTCCCAGAGCCTGCCTTTGCTGGATGGGATTTCCATCCATGTTGCACTTGGACCCAGCACAACAGCAGAGGAAGGATGGGGTGGGAACTTTCCTCTCCACAACGCATTTAAAGTGCCCTGGCAGCCAGTCGTCCCATTGGGTTGCATACTCATCGCTTGTCAAGCTGTGCAAACCAGAAGGGAAGATGGAGAGAGTTGAAAAAAGGAAGGAAGTGAACAGCAATGGCACTGGCCCTATTCCAGGGATGGTTCTGAATTATACTGGCATACTTTTGACAGCCAAACTGTTCAATGTTCAATCATACAAATTAATCAGCAAGCATTCTTCTATTGTGCATGTGACCTGTATTATTATTATTATTATTATTATTATTATTATTTTATTTTTATTTATACCTTGCCTTTTCCCCTGACAGGGACTCAAGATGACTTATAGATAAAAATAAAAACAGCTAGAAACATAGAAAAAAATAATTTAAAGCACCTGTATTATTATTATTATTATTATTATTATTATTATTATTATATTTTTATTTATACCTTGCCTTTTTCCCTGACAGGGACTCAATAACTCAATAACAGCTAGAAACATAGAAAAAAATCATTTAAAAACAATTCAACATTGATATAATCCATTAAAACCATGCCAATAATTACAACGAAAATAGTACTGCACCAGCCCTTTTATTAAAAGCAGTCAGTTCCCAACAGCCTGTTGGAAGAAGAAAGTCTTCACCTGCCAGTGGAAGGGCAACAGGGAGGGAGCCAGTCTAGCCTCTCTAGGGAAGTAATTCCAAAATCAAGGAGCAGCCACCAAAAAGGCCCTCTCTCGCTTCCTTACTTAAGCATGCCTGTGAGGGTGGCACAGTTTGGTGCATCCTGTTTGCATCCCACCAGCACCCTGCCACTTCTGTTTGATTGGATGCACTTAGGAGAAGGTCACCGCTCACACAAGCGTGACACAACAGAAAGCCAGCAGAAAAACGGTGCAATTATTAGTCATGACTAGGCTTGTATACAGTTTAGGAGCTTGGCCCTACTGGACTGAATACCATACCTGATGAGTAATTTCGGCTCTTACTGAATCTAGGAAGCTGTGGTCAGTTGGGTAAAGAGCAACAGCAAACATAAAGTCCTGCCAAATCTAGGGAATTAAGAGAAAAATGAAAGAACTCAACAAGTAGCCAGTTGACAAACAGTCATGTAAACAGAGTGCATATTTTCTAGCTTGCATCACTTAAAAGATTGTGGAGTACTCATTAATACCACAAACCTATGCACATTTACCTGGGAGTAAACTCCACTGAACACATGTGAGCTGAGTGAACAACTGCAGGATTGCACCACACCTAACCAGATTATTATTTTTAAAAAAGCAACACTCATAATTCATAGAAATTAGGACTTATTTACACAAGCAGTGGCACCGAAAAATGTTGTTAATATAGTTGCTATCTCAAATTAATAGTCGCTGTCCAGGTTTGTTAAAGCGCTGCAAATGACCTCATCTAACTATTTCAAACATGGGAAGCTTTTAGCCTCAAACAGCATTGAGGAAAGGGGTTTTCACACATTACATCTTCCTACCAACCACTCACAGGACTCCTGTGCCTTTTGACAGTTAAATGGCAGGCAGAAAATCAGCTCCTCCCAGCATGGAGATTCAGTAAGTAGGGAGAGAAGCTTCCCCTTCTAAATTTCCACCGGCCCTGCAGTTGCTAAAGGCACAGCAGACTTGTCTCTCCCTAGAAAGGTATCAGAAAAGGATCATATATTTTTTTACTCCAGCAAAGTTCTGTTTCCAGAGGGGTTTTGCTATATGGAAGGGTGGATATGTCTTTGAAAGAACAAGCCAAATCATTGGACTTGGATGAGATCCAACAGCAAAAAAATCAAGCTTTACTTGTTTACATCTTTAATCAGAACTTAGGAAGGTGAGCTTATAGGCTTTATATATCTCAAGGTTATGTAGGAATTATTTCTCTGCAGTTTAAAGCAGGTGTCCCCCTTCTAGCCATGTACACAACCTCCTAAAAATGTTCCTCTGGGCCTGAAACTTTCTGTGGTTGGTCTCAAGCCAAAACTGATTTTTAAGTGTTACCTGCCTTCCTAAAGCAAGAATGGTTTTAGAATTATATTAAAGTATCATTGGCCTCTGGCACCTGGACTCCTTTTTTAAAGTGTCTGAAGCTGTAACAGCTAAAGGGTAGGAAGGAACAACTGCATTTACCATTTGTGAACTACACTGGTTCTAATAAAATATGTAAAAAGCAAAGACATCACCTTGCCAACAAAGGTCCGTATAGTAAAAGCTATGGTTTTCCCAGCAGTGATGTATGGAAGTGAGAGCTGGACCATAAAGAAGGCTGATCACCGAAGAATTTATGCTTTTGAATTATGGTGCTGGAGGAGACTCTTGAGAGTCCCATGGACTGCGAGAAGATCAAACCTATCCATTGTGAAGGAAATCAGCCCTGAGTGCTCACTGGAAGGACAGATCGTGAAGCTGAGGCTCCAATACTTTGGCCACCTCATGAGAAGAAAAGACTCCCTGGAAAAGACCCTGATGTTGGGAAAGATGGAGGGCACAAGGAGAAGGGGACGACAGAGGATGAGATGGTTGGACAGTGTTCTCGAAGCTACCAGCATGAGTTTGACCAAACTGCGGGAGACAGTGGAAGACAGGAGTGCCTGGCATGCTCTGGTCCATGAGGTCACGAAGAGTCGGACACGACTAAACGATTAAACAACAACAATGTTCTTTAGACCAGCCTTCATCATTGTGGCATTCCAAAATATCCAGAGGCCAAAACTCCCAACAGGCAGGGATTACATCTCCCATTACAGGAGGATGTACAAGCTGCTATGTGAGGCAGTTCTCTATGTTGCACAATTCTGTGTCCAGGGCAGCTGTCTACCAGCTCCATCTGGTACGCTGCCTGAGACCCTACCTGCCCGCAGACTGTCTCGCCAGAGTGGTGCATGCTCTAGTTATCTCCCGCTTGGACTACTGCAATGCGCTCTACGTGGGGCTACCTTTGAAGGTGACCAGGAAACTTCAACTAATCCAAAATGAGGCAGCTAGACTGGTGACTGGGAGTGGCTGCCAAGCCTATATAACACTGGTCCTGAAAGACCAGTGTGTTTCCGGGCACAATTCAAAGTGGTGCTGACCTTTAAAACCCTAAATGGCCTCAGCCTAGTATAGCTGAAGGAGCGTCTCTACGCCCATTGTTCAGCCCGGACACTGAGGGCCTTCTGGCGGATCCCTCACTGTGAGAAGTGAGGTTACAGGGAACCAGGCAGTGGCGCCCACCCTGTGGAACACCCTCACATCAGATGTCAAGGAAATAAACAACTATCTGACTTCAGAAGACATCTGAAGGCAGCCCTGTTTAAGAAAGTTTTTAATGTTTGATGTTTTATCGCTTTAATATTATTATTTTCTGTTGGGAGCCACCCAGAGTGGCTGGGGAAACCAAATTTATTATTATTATTATTATTATTATTATTATTATTACTACTACTATTACTACTACTACTACTACTACAGTGTGGAGGTGTGCAGTCTTTCTTGCATGAGTATCTACAGCAGAAGAAGCACACTTGTACTTCCCACTTCCTTTGCCTTGTCATAACATCCAAAGCCGCTCTAACATACTCTTCCATTGTCCCTGTTTTCCAGGGAGAGTCCCAGATTTAAAGAAGCCTTCCTTCCTGGTTTCTGATTTGATCCTGGAATGCCCTCTTTTTCCTCAGGATGCCCCTATTTTCATTACAAAAGAAATGTTATGCAACCCCCGAACCAAGGAGATAACATCTGAAGGCAGCCCTGAACAGGGAGGTTTTCCCATGCTCCATTTTTTATTATGTTTTTATCTATGTTGGAAAGCACCCAGAGTAGTTGGGGCAGCTCAGTCAGCTGGGCAGGATATAAATAATAAAATTAATATTATCACGGAATAGAACATCCCTATTTTCATCGGAGAAATGTTGGAAGGCGTGCTGGAAGTTAACAAGGTGTCACTGGACACACGTGGAAGAAAGAATCATGAGTCCTCCCTTTCCCCTAGGCTTACCTAGAGGAAGAAATCAAGACTGGAAATTGTATCTGTACGGAGGGATACCTGCTCTCAGCATCTGGGAAGGTTCCATAACCTTTTGACAAGGCCCGTTTTGGGCAAAGCAGTTGAGTTGATTTCATTTCACTTTATTTCCTGTTTACTGCTAGGAGTTGCTAGTTCTGCCTAGACTGGAACAAAAAGAAAGCAGGCCTTGGTCCTAATCAAGTTTTCAACCCCGTTCTACAGTTGTCAAACAACTGCAGTATCTAACCCTCCATTTGCTATATATTGAGCACTTCCATTATCCTCACCTTTCTAAAAACAGAATGTTGCTACAACCTAAAGCCTGGGAACCTAATTTTACAGTCTGGCAGGATGCCCAAATAGATGGGCCTTAAGTCTGATCCAGCACATGTTTTCAAGGTTACAGGTTAATGGGGAAGGGGAAATAAAAAGCTATTTTCAGATTTATTTCGTATGTCAACTTTAAATATTAGGAGTTGCAGAGTATTGCTTTTTCTTTTCTTTTCTTTTCTTTTTTTCTTTACCATGATTCCGAGTTCATTGCACATTTCGTAGAACTCATCTTGCTCATATATGCCTCCTCCCCAAACGCGGAGCATATTCATGTTGGCATCAGCCGCCGACTGCAAGAGGATCCTTAACCTGTCAAAACACAAGTGGAACTAAAAGTTAAGCAGATCTGCAGTAGGAGAGAAACTGAATTAGTTGCAGAGAGGGCTTAAGGAAACCTAGCCGGACTTCACTTGAAAGAGTGCAATACTGTAGCTTAAACGGTGTGCTCAGGATTAGCCAAAGCTAAATAAAGGGAGCCGTTCAGCAGAAGCGGAGTGTGAACATAGCTATATTTTAATTGTGATGTGACCTAGAAAGAATCATAGAATTGTAGAGCTGGAAGGGACCAGGAAGGTCATGTATTCCAGCCCCCTGCAATGAAGGAATCTTTTGCTCAATGTGGGGCTCAAACTCATGATTAAGTGAATCATGCTCTACCAACAGAGCTACCCCACTGAGGGGTAAGACAGAGAGACTTGGAGGGCCATATTTGGGAGCGTCTGTGGGTCTCGACTTTCCTATTCATTCTCAGTGCTCCTGACTTATCGACTCTAACCTTCTCCTCATGGGTTAAGCGAATGTGGAGCTCCACACTCTCAAGCAGGGAAGCTCCATAAGTGTATCAGAGCATCCATGTCACCACAGCTGGAAGGGGAAATGGGTGTCAAGGGTAGGTTGCAGGAAGGAAGAGAGTTTTTTGGATTTGATATCCAGCTTTATCACTACCCTAAGGAGTCTCAAAGCAGCTAACAATCTCCTTTTCCCTTCCTCCCCCACAACAAACACTCTGTGAGGTGAGTGAGGCTGAGAGACTTCAGAGAAGTGTGACTAGCCTAAGGTCATCCAGCAGCTGCATGTGGAGGAGCGGGGATGCGATTACGAGTCCACTGCTCTTAACCACTACACCACACAACAGCATTAGAGGTTTTCAGCCAGCCAGCCCTACCCCACCTTAATGTGACAAAAAACCTTCCAACTTTTAGAGCCTGTTTAGACATAACAACAATATCAAACATTAAAGCTTTTCCAGGACTTTAGCATTTCCAACAGCAGTTTTGGGACTGCCTTTTGAATGTTTCCCCATTAAAAAAAAAAATCCCCTATACTTTCTTTTTTAAAAAGCATCCTGGAGAAGGCTAAGGTGAACATTTTTGCTTGTTTTCTATGTGAAAGGATTTTTCTTAATGAATGGTAGAATATTCAACATGCAACCTCTATACCTGCAGCTTATATAGTCCCCAGAAGGTTGCGCCATAAACTTTACCATTTGATTCTGCTGACTGTATAAAATGGCCATAAAAGTTTACTGAAACTCACAGGAAGGCATGTGATATAGTCCTCTAACAAGCCTATTCCACATGCCACAGAGGGTTGGGGAGAATCCCTTCTTTGAAAGTAGGTCCATGTTTAGATTTGCCTGCATGTGGAAAACTAATATTTGAGGCAGATGGATAAGCTAAGGGCCTTCTTCCTGGCATACTAACTGTTCATCTGCAAGGAGCTTCTGACATGGGATCTCTTCTAAAGAAACAATCTCCACATCAATTCTCAAATGATAAAGTCATGTAAAAGAGCTGTACTCTCATGGCCAAAATCAGTTCTGGTAAGCCCTACTCAGTATTGGTAGGCAAAAATAAATCCTTTGCACCCATGTGAATGTTTGAAACCCAGCCACCCAAACTCACCTTTTAGAGGTCACTCTGTCTTGAAAAGAATCAGCTGGAATCCAGTTGGAACCCTTCATAAAAATAGGGAGTCCATTGATTCTGAAATAAAAACTCAAACCAGGTGAGCCAGGAATGGGCTCTTCTACAAGTTCCACTGTTCGGAAATAAACCTGAGGAGAAATTAAAATGTGAATAGTTTTACAGCAGTCATTAAATAAACCTTTTCCATCAGGATCAGTCAGGAAACCCATATTTCCCTGCATATTTTTGCCTTTTTTCGTATATAAAATATGGGGTGGGAAATGTAACCTGTTTGCAAGATTTATGAAAGTGTTTCTTGTGTATAGAGTGAATTTATTTTAATTTGAGGAAGAGATTGCTGGAAGATTTTAGTGCCTCTTCTCCAAACACCCCCTCCCCTCCAACAGACAGCATGTATTAGTGCTGCAAACACCCACACAGTTTGCTTTTGATTACTGAGAGAGAAATTTAATGAAACGACGAGGCTAAACGCTGATTGTAATCAAACTCCATTTACAGAAAGAGGCTACACGCACCCAAAGCCAGATTAAAAAGGGGCCCAAGTCTCTTCACTAATTCTGCTTCTGATAGAGATCTGCTTCACTAATTCTGCTGCTGCTTACAGAGGAGCAGACAGAAAAACAGCTATAACTATTGTGCCCATGTCCTGCTTGTGAGCATCCCTTAAACATCTGGCTTCCCCCTGTAAAAAGAGGATGCAGGAGAAGACAGGCCTTTCATCTGATCAAGCAGGGCTCTTCTTAAATTCTTATAACAAAGCAGTTAAAGCAAGCTAACTCACAGCAGAACGGAACCCTTTAATTTGGGAACTTTCAAGGAGCAGATGAATGAGTAAGACATGCTTTCATTTCAGTAAGGGAGCTTGTATTAGGACAAGGGGTGCCTTACAAGCTTGGACTACAATTCCCATCATCCCCGGCCACTGGTCCTGCTAGCTAGGGATGATGGAAGTTGTAGTCCAACAACAGCTGGAGACCCAAGTTTGGGAAGCCCTGTTCTACACCATCATCATCATCATCATTTTTAATTTGGACACCGTCTTTCTATCTTACAATACTCAAGGCGGTTTACAAGCTGAAGAAACAAAAAATGCACATCTTATAACAATCTAATGCAACACAAAAATGTGATAAAACATAACTTTAAAATAGGCAGCCTACATCAAAAAGTAACATTCAACAATCAATTAGAATAGTATAAAATAATAATATCAACATATAAAAGTTAAACAGAAATCCACTCAACAGTTACAATAATATCTAATTATAATCAATAAAACAACGGCAAGCCACAGTACATAAAATAATACAATACACACCGAGAAGCAGAGACTAGAGGGTAGAGCAAGGCAGGTGGAAGGTGGCCTTGCCTGATGGAGTCTCTCCCCTCACAGTTCTTCCTCCAGGCACAGCTTCCTTATGAGGAGACCCAGGTCCAGGGGGTGGGGCAAGGCAGGTGGAAGGAGGCCTTGCCTGATGGAGTCTCTCCCCTCACAGTTCTTCCTCCAGGAACAGCTACACCAAGGATGAGCAGCCTGTGGCTCTCCAGATGTTTGCTCTTGCACTCCAACTCTCATTATTCTGGGCCATTCATGTTGGCCTGGAGCTGATGGGAGCTGAAGTCCAACAATATCTGGAAGACCACAGGTTCCCCATCCCTCCTCTAGGCAAAGGAAGCGCAAAATCATTCCTCAAGCATTCCAGAAAATGCTCACAGTTTTTGTGAGCCATAAAAAACAGGTCTCAGGGATGCAGCACTCAAGACCGTATCTTGTTAAGGCTAAATAGGCACAGTCTGCTCAAATTAATTCCTTTCACACTTGATCTCTGTGAAAGCAACGCGGTATTAAATTGGGGGCAAGGTGCCCCAATGAACTGTTGTGGGTCTCTTTTAAAGGGCAACGCTGACCAGCTTGCTGCGATGTGCCCTTTTCAAAGTGTTTTCTTTGCCTGCCATGGAAATAGGCTGTCAGGAGGCAACTCTCGATAACTAGGCATGCAGCTAAAGCCGGCTCATGTGCAGAGCTTGAGCTAAAAGCCACGCTGCAACCTCAAAAGCTTTGGTTTCTGACAAGGTGGCTGTGGAGTCCAGAAAGATATGCAGTAATGTAGGGCTTATCTCCAGTTTACACCGTCTACAATCCATCGAGCGAAAGGCAGCCTACCAATAACTCAGTAACTTTCAGTTTTTGCTGCCTGCCTAGAACTGCAAAAAGGAGACGGACTGTCAGGCATCTGGGAAACAGTGGTACAATACTGGCAAGTGCTATGCCAGTGTAGTGTAGTGGTTAAGAGTGGTGGACTCGGAATCTGGTGAACCGGGTTCGCTTCCCCGTTCCTCCACATGCAGCTGCTGGGTGACCTTGGGCTAGTCACACTTCTTTGAAGTCTCTCAGGCCCACTCACCTCATAGAGTGTTTGTTGTGGGGGAGGAAGGGAAAGGAGAATGTTAGCCGCTTTGAGACTCCTTCAGGTAGTGATAAAGCAGATATCAAATCCATTATTTATTTATTTTCAGAAGTTCTTCCCTGGTTCATCTTGCCTTGGGGGCTACTTAATGAAGAAAAAATAAAAATAGGAAGCAAGACAAAGGTGTGCAAAATTGTGCAAGGTGTGAAGAAATTGGATAGAGGAACATTTTTCTCCCTCTCTCTGGGCCGGTGTCAACCAGCGAAGCTGAACATTGGGAGAATTTAGGACAGACAAAAGTTAGGACTGGAAATAATGTGCTGGAGAGCCAGTGTGGTGTAGTGGTTAAGAGTGATGGACTCGTTATCTGGTGAACCAGGTTCGCGTCTCCGCTCCTCCACATGCAGCTGCTGGGTGACCTTGGGCCAGTCACACTTCTTTGAAGTCTCTCAGCCTCACTCACCTCACAGAGTATTTGTTGTGGGGGAGGAAGGGAAAGGAGAATGTTAGCCGCTTTGAGACTCCTTCAGGTAGTGATAAAGCGGGATGTCAAATCCAAACTCCTCTTCTTCTACAGAATTTGCTACCATAAGATAGTCACCAACATGGATCACTTTAAAAGGTGATTAGATAAATTAGATAAATGAATGGCTACTAGTCAAGATGAGTATAATAGCAACTCCAGTTTCAAAGGCAGTCTATCTGAATACCAGTCACTGGGGAACGATGACCAGAGAGGGCTATTCTCATCATGTCCTGTGGGCTTCCCATGGGCATCTTGTTGGCCAATATGGGAAAAAGGATGGTGGAACTAGATAGGCCTTTGGTCTGGTCCAGCAACACACAGATTATGATCCTAAACGGGAATACTCCAGTTTTCCTGCTGAGTTTCCTTTCAAACTTACAACTTCCCCTCTTTTTAAGTCATTCGCTTTTCTTATCAGCACAAGGTCTTTGGGCATGAAGCCAAGCAGTCTCTTTCAGGAGTTGCTAAAAATTTCCTAGAATCCCAAGGTAAAAACTTTTTGTTCAATTGAAATGTGTTTTATTTCAAAAGGAAAAGGATTCATAAAATGATCCGTACTTTTTTTAAAAGGAAACAATAAGTAGTGCTTTCCATATAGTTAAATACTGATCTGTTCAGATAGGTTTCCAATCGATGAAAATACTTTTATTTTATTTGGACATATATTATTCCCCAAATAGAAAAAAACACATTTTATAGTCCTTTCTGTTTTTTAAACAACAACTGCATTCAGAGGTCTTTGGCACTTGGAAGGGAGATACAACTAATACACAAAGTTGCTATTTTTAACAGCAGATGGGAACTGTTTTTTTTCCCTTTTAACTCCAGGACAAAGAAAGTGCATTGTTCAGGAAATCATTAACCACCAGCTTCGTTGTATAGTGAAAAAAAATGTGTATCTTATCAACTATGCCTACAGTAAGGAGAGCACAGCATTTCCTGGAACTAAAGCAAAAAACAAGAGTCAAATACAACAGACTGTTCCACTTTCCTCCCTAAATGAAATAATATACTTATTAATTCTCTCCACTACCAGAGATGAACTACGCTCATGAATAGAGATTTAAGTTATCCTGTCACTTGCCATTCCCATGCACCAAAAGGACTCCTGTGTTCTGCAAAATTACTAAATGGGTGCTTTAAGTCAGAAAACTATTATTGTTAAAGAATACTAAAGTTGACAAGAGGAGTCTCAAATTTCCTAAGTCTAAAGTTTCAGTGCATCACAGCTAAACCCTGATGAGAATTTCCACTGCACAATTTCATATCAAAATCACTGCATTTCTGTTTGCAGATCCGTATTGCAGATACCAGCTGCTAAGAGTCCAGAAATGACACGAGCTTGAAAATTTGGAAAACCCAGCCGTAAAGGTTTTCCTCTTGAATTTTGAAGTTGTTGTTAATTTGTCTTCAAGTCTGACTGGCAGCGCAGGTGCTACACAGAGAGGACAGCTAACCAGTAGAATAGTTTGTGCCATCTTCTGATAATTTAAGATCAGGGCTAATCAGACTGGGGTGGGCAGGAGGGCTGTTTGACCTGAGCCTCAAGCTCAAAGGGGGCCTCAGATTTAGACACTTATGGGTGCGTTTTTTGGCATTTCATACATTTTGCAACCTGCTTTTATGCACAACCTGCTTTTATGTGACACACTCTTAAGAACATACAAAGAGCCTGCTCAATCACGCCAATAGCCCAACTAATCAGGTGTCCTGTTCTCACAGTGGCCCAACAAGATGCCTGCAGGAAACCCACAAGCAGGACCCCTCTTGTGATTTCCAGCAACTGCTATTCAGAAGCACTACTGCCTCCAACTGAGAGGTCAGAGCACAGCCATCATGGCTAGCAGCTTAGAGCTGCAAATTTAAGCAAATGAGAGGTGATATTTAGTAACAGATTGCATCATCTTAAACAGTCCGCAATATTGCACAAAAGATAGATTCTTTTCCTTAATAACCAGAGCATTTGCACAGGGGGAAAAATGCTAGAAAAGAAAAAAATACTAACATTAAGTCCCACGCTTTTTTTAATGTCTTGTTTTGTTTCCATGTGTCATCATTTTTTTTATTATGGCTAGTGGGCTCAAAAGCTGGAAGCAGCCCTGGATTCTCCTGCTCTCTTCTTTTAAAAAAATATTTTATGGATGCATGGTAACACAGCAAAACAAACAAAATTATTGCCATGTCAGATTACCCTCATAGTTCTTTTACTCCCTCTTTTTTTAACCTGGGATCCTCTGGATGTCTGGAAGGGCCTGTTTCAGACCTAATACAAGCATTACAGCCTTCAAGACTGCTGAAAACCACTTCCAGGTGGAGGAGCTCCATGTGAGGGCTGTAGTGTTTGCTTATCACATTAACTGGCCTGATCACCCAGAGCAGGGGTCAGCAACCTTTCTCAGCCATGAGCTGGTCCACCATCCCTCAGACCATGTGGTGGGCTGGACTATATTTTTTTTTTGCCGGGGGGGGGGGAATGAACAAATTCCTATGCCCCACAAATAACCCAGAGGTGAATTTTAAATAGAAGCACACATTCTACTCATGTAAAAACACATTGATTCCCAGACCATCCTCAGGTCAGATTTAGAAGGCGACTGGGCCGCATCCGTTCCACGGACCTTAGGTTGCCTACCCCTGACCTAGAGAGTTTCCACCCCAGTGGGTGCTAGGAATGTGCCTTGGTGGCCACTTGGAGCGTCCGTAGAGCTGCTGCCAGTCGTGTCTAGTGTGCTACACAGACCAATGGTCAGACTCAGCATAAGCGAGCTTCCTGTGTTCCAGACTTGACATACCTTAGAATGCTTCTCAATCTTGCAACCTCCCTCTGCAATGAATGTAGTTGTCATGTTGTACCCAGTCTGGTTCCCATGTCCTCTTGGCCACCAAGTCTCCAGTGCTGCAGCCTTTTTAAAAGAAAAGAAAAGAAAAGAAAAGAAAAGAAAAGAAGCAAATGAAATTAAAATTTAAAGAGTCCAGAAAAGATTATGTTGATAGCACAAAGCGCTGAAGTAAGTTTTCTTCAAATAGCAAGCCAAGAGCCATTAATGGGAGGCAAGAGCTTATCTGGAGCAGACAGAAATTCGCACCCACAGCCCTGCCCTTGCTGCCAACCTACACCACCCCAGCCTTCTCCAGGTAAGCTGCAATGATACCAGTGTCCAGAGAGGGGGCTCTGTCCAATGCATAGTAGTCTGCACAATGGAGTTATAAAAGATGTTCTCCTTACATTATTCTTCCCAGCACCCACCCAAGCCATGTAAAGCAATTCAATGCTCAGATTCAAGGCAAGCAGCTAGCTCTGACCTTGAGCCCTTTAGCATGTTAGAGAAAGAGTTCTAGGCTGGGGGGAGATGTGTGCTCTTCAAGCCCCAAACAATGTAGGGAGCATGGAGCATGGAACAGGAGCATTTCTATGTGAGGCTGAAGATACACTGCAACACATTATTGTTGGTTCCCACTTCTGTCAGCAATCATTTACAGAGCATTTTTAGCATGAAAATTGCACTTTGTTCTGTAGGTCACTGTTCCAGGCATGCTGCGCAAAAGGTATTTACTTGCAAAGCTCCCATTCATTCCAGTGGGTCATTTTCAATGGGGCTTGAACAGATGTTCCCAGGAGATCCTCCTCAGTGCATCCAGAAGCAATATACTGTATCTGAACCTTTCACAAGGGAATCAGCCCCACCCTGTTTTATTAGCATACTACACGACTCTATAAAAATGACTGTTGAGTTTTCACAATTTGGTTGTCTTTGTGATGCTCCATTTCTACATAAAATAAGCTGCTTATTTGTAGACAGCAGCGATAGCTCACTGTTCGCGTAAAACAAATGCTGGTGCACAATTTTTGTCAATTACTGGGTCCAGCAAAATGTCTAAAAGGTAATAAGGGTGCGCAAACATCAAAACAGATGGATCAGTGTTGGACACGTTAATGCATCAAGTGAGCATTTCACAAAGAGAAAGCAAGTACAGAGGAAACAATTTAACAATATGATTTGTCATGCCTGTTACCAAGGCATGATTACATAGCTGAGCCCCTAATGTTCCACCTTTCATTCTCTGGAATTACTTCCAACGGCAGCATGCAAAATGCCCATGAATTCCTAGCGCAGGGAACGAAGCATTATTAATATGCATCTTCCACCGTGGTCTGTGAAATGCAGAATAGCTTTAGAAGCAAAGGCACTGCGGGAGGGTATTCATTGGCTAGTAGTGATGTCATATCCCCACTCACCCATTTGCTATTTCTTAGCTGGAAAACACTATGTGCACTCAATTTTGGTGGGGGGTGGGGTGGGAATTACACATTTTTAAGAAGGCTGCAGTCAGCTCTCACAGCTCCAGCTTTGAAACACTGCCCAGAGATGACTTTTGCAGCTTCAATGGTACATTTCCTATTGTTTTAATACACAGAACGCAATCCAGCAACATAAATTAGGGACTCAAGGCTGCCTTCAGTCCATAAACACACACACAACTCTTGATTGCTTTCTAATCAGAATGCAAGATCATGGGGTCAGGAAAGATAATCTGCCGTGGGGCAGGCAAGCTGAAAAATACACACGGTGTTACTAGGACGCTACAGCCCATCCAATAACCATGGGCAAGCGGTTCTGAGTTTTTGGGTGGGAGATCAGGGTTCAAGGCTCATGGCTTTGTGAAGGTGTAAGGAACCTGTGGCCCTCATTGGACTCCAACTCCCATCAGCCAATGGGCAAGGATAAAATATCGGGAGCAGGGGCATAGGTTCTCCCAGCTTATTGAGTTAACCGGCTTCTCCTCTTACTCTTGCATTTGTGCCTTCAAAATTATTATTTAGAAATTAGCAATAATCACAAGCTTTTGTTTCGGTTGGGGGTTTTTTTACTCATCACCTGTAGCCAGCTCTGAAGCCATGTGTAGAGGCAGCTGCAGAAAGAACGACGTTTGAAGTCCTCCTTTCAATTCAGAGCAAGTCCAGTGATTAATAAAAGGTTGCACTGGCTTAATTCTCCCACTGAAAACCACAGTATATTCCCTTGCGTGAATTGTGCCCACAGACTTCCCATATATGGGTGTGCAAAACAGCAGGACTTTTTTTGTGGTTGAGTAACATCTATGGCCTTATTGGTGCAGACCCATACACAGCATTGATTTTCACACCGGAGGAAAAAGTTTTGCATTCAGCAGGACTGGCCCTCACCTTACTTATGTTTACGAGCAGCACGGTGCTGCCTTCACCAGGACGAAGCTCCACTGTGAATGTCTGCTGCGTCTGCAGCTCAGGAATGCTCACAGTCGCGAGAGCAGCAACTGGCTTTGAGCTGATGACATCAAAATCTAGCTCTATTTTGAGACTCCACTGCTGAGTGTTTTGCACTGAACGAAACAAAAACAAAGAAGGTTGTTGAGAGCAGACAGATTGGACACATACCGTTAGTCACCTGTGATCTAGGAGGTTATGTCTGTCTTCACACTTAGGGAGATCTGGGTTCAAATCCCCAGACAACAGTGTGACACCAACAGGGAGCCAAAGGGAAGACACATCTTGCTATCCACATCACACGGGGTTGTTTTCATGAGGATATAAAGAGGGTGATATGCATCCCACCCAGAGCTCCCTGAAGGAAGGTCAAGACATAAATTTAGTAGATCAGGGGTGGTGAACCTGTGTCTCTCTAGATCAGTGTTCCCCAAACTTGGGCCTCCAGCTATTTTTGGACTACAACTCCCATCATCCCTAGCTTGCAGCACCAGTGATCAGGAATGATGGGAGCTGTAGTCCAAAAACAGCTGGAGACCCAATTTTGGGAACCACAGGTCTAGATGCATCTGGATTACAACCTGCATCATCTCTGACCATTGGTCAAGCTAGCTGGAGCTGATGGGTGTTGGATTCCAGCATCTGAAGGACACCAGCCAGTTGGATGTTATATGCAACCAGAAGCTAGTCACGGAAATTTACTCAACTGCTACTACCACAGAAGCTCCTACAGATGAACCCATGTGGTAGCCGGCTCATACTAACATTTTCCTATGCCAGCTGTATTTTGAAGATGGTTCAGATTTCTCAAAGGGATGGTGATTATAGAACAAACTAGGCATGATATTCAATGTCTAGCTTTTTTCTTCTTCTAAGTAACAGCCAGAAGAGGGATTAGGTCCTTGATGCACAGAGAAGAGAGTGAATACCATGAATTCGGCGAGATCTTTCTCCAAGCTGCTGCTAAGACCAAGAAGAGAGTGAACAGGAGCTTGGAGGAGGAGGCTATTTTCATTGGGTCTTGCATGTCATGGTTTCAGTCCCAATCGCACACCACTTACAGCTGTTCTTTAGCAGAAAAACACTAGACATGTTAAATGCAGTCACCCTTGTCTGGTTTGGACCTGTGCAAACCAGGAATTGTTCTCGACAGCTTGAACATAAAAAGTATTATCGTCATTGTGAATGTTGCTTGAAGATGCGGACAACAAAACTAAGGAAGGGTCTGAGCTGGGCCAACATCAGAAACCGGTGTTCGTGGCCAGATGCTGAGCCCTCATATCTCCAGGTGGGATCCCTAATCAGCCACCACTGAACAAAGAAGAAAAAGGAACCCCACCCCACCTCAGGCACAAGTAAAATATCTGGAATCACCTCCAGTCCCAAACCACATTGCACAAGATCAAATCAATCTATGGAGAGGTCACTCTAGGTCAGGCTTCCTCAATCCCGGCCCTCCAGATGTTTTGAGACTACAAATCCCATCATCCCTGACCACTGGTCCTGCTAGCTAGGGATCATGGGAGTTGTAGGCCAAAAACATCTGGAGGGCCAAGGTTGAGGAAGCCTGCTCTAGCTAAAGGATGTGGATGCTGTCACCCACCAGAGGTTGCTGGACCACAAATCCCATCATCCCTGACCATGTCAACTGGGGTTGATTGGACTCAAGAGCCCAGGAACATCTGTAGGGGTGCTACTTTTCTGACCCTGTTTTCTATACGAACACAAAGTTGAATTGGTCCAACACCCACGCACCCACCCACCCATCCATCACAGACAATGTGAAGTGACTAGGCCAGTGTTGCTGGAGCAATACTAGGTAGGCTGCAAATTCATAAGTTAATGAAGGCACCAGTTTCACAACTCTCCTAAATCTTTTTTAGGAGATTATACACACACACATTGGGGAATGGCATAATTTGGACTTTTTGTTTCAGGGCTTGAAAATGTCACCAGGCTGGGCACAGGACCTCTCTTAATGAAGCAACAGAACAGAAAACGTGATGATGAGGTGTGGTAGCCTTCCTACCTGCTAGCCAACATTTACACAGAGGGAGTGGTCAGGCAGGTACTCCAGCTCCTCTAGCAACTGGCTTTAACTCAGTAAAGAGGCCTGCCTCACTCTTCAAAAACTGCTGCACAAAACTAGCCATACTTTCACAGGTGGCCTCAAGTCTAGAACGTCTGTAAACACACATCAAGATGTTCAAACACAAAATTCTACAGTGGTGGTAGTTTAATGTATATAGAGAATAAGGTTTGTTTGTTTTTTGAAGTTCCGCTTATATAGCACCACAGACACAAAGTTAACCCTGGTAAAACAGGTTGGGGATACTTATTTTCCCACCAGCTGCAAGAAAGTAAGATAGCCATTTCGTAACAACAAGGACTCTGGAGAAACAAGAGTGTCACGGTCATTTACCAAGGGCTTTCCCCATCTGTTACATTTTGCTTTTATTCGATCTACATTCGAACACAGCTGTTTTGGGGAAAGATCACAATTTCTGGATAGAATAACCATTTCTGCATGCTGAACAAATGCTTCATTCAGAGAAAATGCATGGAATTCTTCTCTGCTGTAGGCCTACAAAGCGAGTGGAATTGAGACCTGGGGAATGAATTGAACCCATTGTGTCTGGATTTGGTGGAGTCTACAGTTGTTTCTCTTTGGCCACTCAAGTGTGCTCGCCACATCAGCCTGCCTGGTAAGAGGAGGTCTCCTCCAGGATCACAGAGCATTTGCCAGCTCAAAGAATCATGACTCACTCAGAGTATTCCTAGAAAGTGCTCCTTCAACCTTCCTAAAAGGTAAAGAGAAAGGGACCCCTGACCATTAGGTCCAGTCGTGACCGACTCTGGGGTTGCGGCGCTCATCTTGCTTTATTGGCCGAGGGAGCTGGCGTACAGCTTCCGGGTCATGAGGCTAGCATGACTAAGCTGCTTCTGGAGTAAATGCAGGAAGCTAGATGCCCTTTTTGTTGCCTGAATGGCTGAACTGGTATAAGAAATACAGCAGCAGAAATACAGTCCCTCTTTCCCCACAGCAAATGCAACAAAGACATCTATGTCTCCTTGAGTTTGTCTTACATTCGAAGCCACAGATCATGTCCCAGAAATGGTTCCCACATTCAACTCACCCAAGGAAATTAAGGAATACGGCTAAGTTAGAGAAATTAATTTCAGCAGGTCTACTCTTGAGTAAAATTTAGATGCCTTGTCTTAACATGCAGTAGATTGAGGCAATAGATGGGATGGTGGACCACTTCATGCTGCAGGTACAGAAACACCTATTTGGGTGAGCTCCCGTTGCTCAGTCCCTGCTCCTGCCAACCTAGCAGTTCAAAAGCACATCAAAGTGCAAGTAGATAAATAGGTACCACTCCGGCGGGAAGGTAAACGGCGTTTCCGTGCGCTGCTCTGGTTCGCCAGAAGCGGCTTAGTCACGTTGGCCACATGACCCAGAAACTGTATGCCAGGTCCCTCGGCCAGTAAAGCAAGATGAGCACTGCAACCCCAGAGTTGTCCGTGACAGGACCTAACGGTCAGGGGTTCCTTTACCTTTACCTTTATGTTAAAAATCTTGCAAAGATAAAACCAGAACAGCTGGGCTTCTCCCTGATCTGCTAGTTTTCTGTGTGCAGGGTTCTGCTTTTCGTTATCAGGAGTAGTATTCAAAATAGGAATCCTTCCCCTCCTATAGGCTGAAATTCATTCTACCACTGAGACCTGAGTTTCCTAAGGGAATCCTAGTGGGGAATGTATAGACCTCCCAGGGAAGGTCACCGTTAACTTTTCTCACTGCTTGCCAAGCCAAGGTTGCTGCTCCAGCTTCTTAGCCCTCCTCGCAACTCCCCATACATTAGGGCCTTTGTGTTGTGCTACAGGGCTGCAACACTCATCACCCCTGACCATTGGGCCAAACTGGCCGGGGCTGATGGGAGTCAGAATCCAATGACAAATGGTCAGGGATGGTGGGAGTTAGTAGTCCAACCCCATCTGGAGGGTACCAGGTTGGGAAAGACTCTGCTATGCTTTAAATTGAGAGAGCTGGGAAATAATGGTCAGGGAAGTGCAAAGACCCCTTCAAGCATTCCCCTTAATGCAATTAGCAATTGTGGGGTAGGGCTGTGCCTACTGACCTTCACACATGTCAAGAGGCAAGTCTGCAAAGAAGGAACCTGCCAAACACATATCTGTTATTCCTGTGACCCAGAATAATCCGTGTTCCAGTTCCAAATGGCAGGGGAAATTTATGTGTATTCAGTAAGCTTCCCCACTGCAGCATTTCTCCAATGGATGGAGAGCAAATGGGGAGGGAGTTGTGGGAATGAGACTAGTCCTCATGGTCCTGCTTTCCCTCCACCCGCGATTGTTAAATCACATGAAGGAGAATACCTGAAGGAGGCTTCACATACGGCTTGATCATATTTTCTTCTTAAAGGAAATATCACCAAGCTGTAGGAATCATTCCATTGGGTACTAATTATGCAAAATGTGATGTATGGACAGTAGTGATGTATGGAAGTGAGAGCTGGACCATAAAGAAGGCTGATCGCCAAAGAATGGATGCTTTTGAATTATGGTGCTGGAGGAGACTCTTGAGAGTCCCATGGACTGCAAGAAGATCAAACGTATCCATTCTTAAGGAAATTAGCCCTGAGTGCTCACTGGAAGGACAGATCATGAAGCTGAGGCTCCGATACTTTGGCCACCTCATGAGAAGAGAAGACTCCCTGGAAAAGACCCTGATGATGGGAAAGATTGAGGGCACAAGGGGAAGGGGACAACAGAGGACGAGATGGTTGGACAGTGTTCTCGAAGCTACCAGCATGAGTTTGACCAAACTGCGGGAAGCAGTGAAAGACAGGAGTGCCTGGTGTGCTCTGGTCCATGGGGTCACAAAGAGTCGGACACAACTAAAAGACGTATTAGACCACCTGGGTAAATAAATAAAAACTCTGAACCACTTTAAATGGCATTCACATGACAGATTTAAAGATTAATAGGTTCATTATTCCAAGTTTGATTTTTTTTCCTTCTGGATAAGCACAGCCTCGAGGCTGAGATCCAAAAAAACACCCCCGGCTGACTGAAGGGAAACTGTATCTGGCTGCATACCTGGTTCTCAACAGGTGGAGCTGGAAGGCTACATACTAAGCAACTCCTGATGCTGTCTTGGCATTCCATGGAAATTCCAGCTGTGTTGATTTCTGCAAAGGGCTGGAGCCATTTCCAGAAGCTTCAAAGACTCCCTTCTTCCCAGTATCATCCAGAGGCAAAGTGGCTGGTTTAGTAATAACAAGGGCACACTCCACACCAAGTTTAGAACATTTAGGTCCAGTTGACTTCAATGGGAGAGCAAGAGCTTTACTTTCCCAATTAAAGTTACTGGGACTTAGGAGCACTTATGGAGGCTGCAATACACTGTTACATTTCCTGGCATTTCCTGGTGACACCTGGCTTGAGAGCAGTACATGTGAAAAGGATCTAGGAGTCTTGGCTGACCACAAACTTGACATGAGCCAACAGTGTGACGCAGCAGCTAAAAAAGCCAATGCAATTCTGGGCTGCATCAATAGGAGTATAGCATCTAGATCAAGGGAAGTAATAGTGCCACTGTATTCTGCTCTGGTCAGACCTCACCTGGAGTACTGTGTCCAGTTCTGGGCACCACAGTTCAAGAAAGACACTGACAAACTGGAACGTGTCCAGAGGAGGGCAACCAAAATGGTCAAAGGCCTGGAAACGATGCCTTATGAGGAATGGCTAAGGGAGCTGGGAATGTTTAGCCTGGAGAAGAGGAGGTTAAGGGGTGATATGATAGCCATGTTCAAATATATAAAAGGATGTCACATAGAGGAGGGAGAAAGGTTGTTTGCTGCTGCTCCAGAGAAGCGGACACGGAGCAATGGATCCAAACTACAAGAAAGAAGATTCCACCTAAACATTAGGAAGAACTTCCTGACAGTAAGAGCTGTTCGACAGTGGAATTTGCTGTCAAGGAGTGTGGTGGAGTCTCCTTCTTTGGAGGTCTTTAAGCAGAGGCTTGACAACCATATGTCAGGAGTGCTCTGATGGTGTTTCCTGCTTGGCAGGGGTTGGACTCGATGGCCCTTGTGGTCTCTTCCAACTCTATGATTCTATGATTCCCTATGAGTGCTTTGGAACTTCCAGCACATCCGCTCTGTAATGTTTTCATTATTAAAACTCCACATAAAAAATGGCGGGCCAGCAAGGGGCTGTAATTTGGTCGTAAACGTTTGTTTCTTGGCATGCAAAAGTTGCCATATATGTATCAACCAATCATTTATGTGTACACCGCCTTTCCAAAAGTTCAAACCGTGTGCAAGGCAGCTTACAACATATGAAAAATTGCATAACGACAAACAAGGCAAAACTAGTCAGAAACAATAAAGAAAACGTCACAGAGTACACAACCAGATTGAAAAACTTTCATCGTATAAAAAAACGGTGACGGTTTTTCAATCTGGTTGTGTACTTTGTGATGTTTTGTTTATTGTTTGTGACTAGTTTTGTCTTGTTTTTTATATCTTTATTTTGGATTGTATGATTTAGCAGCAAAACTGCAACAATGCCCACCTACCCCCCCAAAAAAAACCCTAAATGACACTCCATCCAGGAAACAAGAAACCTTAGTTCAAGGAGACATTCCTGTCAGGCAAAGGAACTCAAGAAGTGTATGGAGCTGGGATGATGGGGGGTGGGGTGGGACTAGAGAGGGAGGTGGCCTGAGGGCCCGAGAGAGAGATCTAGAGGGCCACATTTGCCCCCCAAATTTAAGGTATAGACAATAATACAACAGTAAGACAGCTTCCCATGTTCCTATTCAGATACATTAGCTTCTGAAAGTCCACACAGTGAGTTTGGACTGAGATTAACTTTGAATGAGGAACTTCCAAGTTCATACCTAGCTCTCTTAAAGCTACGGAACACCCCATCAACTTTCTGAATTGATTGTGTGTGACGTGTTGGGACAATGTCCATTATGAAAAGCGACTTGTCCCTTTGAGCCAGTCAACCCCAGTGCAAGCTGGACGACAAACAAGTGATTACCAGCAACAGGAAGCGGTTAGGTGGCTTCAGTTCAGGACAAGCACACGATAGGAACTCCTCTCAAGTTACAGCCATCGTCATGCAGCTGCTTTTGCCCCAAACCCTTAAATCTCAACACTGGAAGAAATCCAATGATAGGGAGAGCCCTTTCAGCCCTAGCAACATCCATTTCAGAAACAAAGTGACAGACAGAATGTCACAGATGTCAAGGACAAGGGGGCAGAAGGGCAGGCAGCAAAAAGTCTCTGATTTGCCCTTCCTTCAGCAGGAAAGAAATAAGAAAAGAGGGTGCTTAGACCACATCCTGTTCAGGGCTGCATACATTTAAAGGTGAACCTTGATTTGTGCATTCCGAAACAACATGAGAACCAAAACAAAGCCATCCTTCAAAATTCACACTTCTCTGAATTTTGCAGTGTAATTCTCCAGCATACACCAATGTAAAATGCCTATATTAATGAAAATAACATACCCAAATGCCTTATGTTAGGGAAAATATAAACATTGCAAGAAATATGCTTTGAAAAAATGCCTACGTTCGTGTAAATGACATACAAAAATAAGTATATTTGGATTAACTTGAACTAAAATACTGATACATTTTCAGGAGGACTTTTTTTTAAAAAAATTGCAATCTGATGAATGTGGGGAAGTGAATTTGGGATTGGGAAAACAAGAAGCAAAGAAACTGAAATCATTCATACCTACTCAGGACACACCACAGCAAAGACTCTACCACCACTCACCTTAAGAAGCAGTCTTACGCAGAGTTAGGTCCATCTAGCTGCAGAATGGAGGAACGATGGCCCTCCAAATGCTGTTGACTACAACAACTATCAGCCTTAGTTGGCAAGACCAATGATCAGAATTTTTTACTTTATATGCTGCTTAGTTACAACTGACTCCAAGCGGAACAAAGGGAGCTGTTCTTCAGAAAATCCAGAGGGTGACAGGTTCCTCATCCAGATTGTTAGTGTCCACACTGACTGGCAACACCTCTCTAGGGTTTCGAACAGCCCTATCTGGAGATGCCAGGTGTTTTGCATGCAAAAACGTGTGCTCTATCCCCAAGGTTTGGCCCTTTGGCAGTTTTAGCAAGGGAAGCCCAGTTTTGATTCCTGGAATCCAATGGGTCCAAGAGAATGCTTCAGACCAATTACTACAGCTAAAGACTACTACTTCCTGGTTCTATGCAGCCCTTGCATTTATAAGGGCCAATGTTTCTGATACGGCTTCAAAAGACTGCCATAGGATAGCCAATCTTATCTGTAGTTTGCTACAAGCACAGATCAGAAAAGCCTTCACCAAACTACTGGACCCCTGGGAAAAGGGACCCTTCAAGATAGGGGAGAGGATCTGAGAAACAAGAAAAAAAGAATCTGTTCCAGACATGAGGAGCCAGATGAGAGAAGGTGCACAAAGAATAGAAGATGGAGACAAAGTGCAGAGATGGTGGCCACGTTTCTATGTAACAGAGGTGAGAGGGAGAAGTGTTAATTGGAAATGAGCAGGAAAAATCTCAGCCCAAGAGCCCTGAAAGAGCAGTATTTCTCAACCTAAGTGGATGTGGACACAATCACCTGGATAGGAAAGGACCCGTGTTAACAGCAGGATAGAATGTATTTAAATTAAAAATAAATAAATTGGGAGGACAGGTGTGTTCAGGAAGAGAGTGGTACAGAGCTTCAAAATAAATAATTAGAGACTGGAAATTCACGCCCTTCATGGCACAGAGATGCAATTGTAGGGATGTAAGGAAGAGAGTGATGCAGTGAGAAAGAATAATGTGTCTCGCAGAGGATTTCTGGACTAGGAAAGAACAGATGATGCCCCTGTGTCATATGCTGAAATTACTCCAGTGTGTTATTGATCTGTGCTTTTGTATGTTTTTTTGGGGGGGAGAACCCAGTGCAAACCTTTCAGCCATTGTTTATTACATGGAAGGATTCTCGCCTCCAGGATCAATTTTTTTCTGATTCATTCTACAGTTAAAAGACGACAAGACTTACCATACTGAGGAGTCACCAAGAAATAAAGCAGGCGGCAAAGATTATATGCTTCAATCCTGACATCCTTCCAAATGCCCTGAGTAGGGAAAGAGGGGCCCCAGTCCCAGCTAAATGAGCACTGCTCCTGGAATTAAACACAAAGGCAGGTTGCTTCACGGAAAGGTTGCTTTTCTATACAGAGGAAACAAGATTCTAAAGCAGCTTCCCCCAACCTGACCCTGCCTAGATATTCCTAAAATGTATGTGTTTGTAAAATGGTGTAGCTGCAATCCTGAGCAGAGAGCTCCAACGTTCAGTTGCAGGTTCTACTCATTCCTCCTAGATGCTATTCCCTGGCCTCATCCCATATCATTGCAGTAATGCTCGGATGTCAAAACTGCATAAGAACAGCAAACGGTCTGTTTCATACCACTGGATCAACACCATGCTGGAAGCTAGGAGAACGGCCAGGTAGAAAAGTCCCACATCTTTGACCCACGCCCATGTGGCTGCAGTTCCTCAACTTCGAGAAGAGAAAAGAGGCTGTGTTTGCCACCAGGGGAATTGCTGTTTCCACTTGCCTTGCCCTACCCTCCAACCCTAGAAGACTCCACAGGTGAGCTACTCCCAGAGGAAGAACTGTAAGGAGACTTTCCAGCCTTTTAGGTTGGCATGTAAAAGACTAGGAGGGGGAGAATGTTCAATACTGATGCTATCTGCTTTGGGGCTATTTTTTGACTTGACGTTACTGGGTACTTTTCCTTGATCTGTTGGTTAAATGAACACTTGTGGGGATTTTAGCATTACGTTGCAGCAATATTATATTTTAATTTATGTACCGGTATTGTATATGCATCATTACTGTGTTTAGATTTTTTTGAGAGCTGGGTTCAAATCCTCACTGTCACAAAGCTCACTGTGTGTCCTTTGGCCAGTCACTGTCTCTCAGCCGGGCCTACTTTACAGGGTCGTTGTGAGGACAAAATGGTCAGGGGGAGAAGACCCATGTATGCTATCTTGAGCTCCTTGGAGGAAAAGTGGTAAGCACATAAAAATAATATGAATATGAATAATAACAATAATAACAACAAATTAAAATAAATAGATGCAGTATATAAATAAATTGACGATGACTGTGGCAGAATGAGCTGAAGCCATGGAAAGCAGTTTCTGTATGGCTGGGTAATGCATCAGGTTATCACAGAGTCAGTCCCACATACACCAGCAGCTTTGAGTAAAATGATATGCAAGCTATGTGGATAGCATACAACTGAGCTATGAAAGTTAGTTTTGGTTCATGTTAAGATTTCCAGGGTGGTGTCTAGGGCAAAACAAGTTGTTGACCACAGCTTGAAGACATGTCTTGACTTGACCTCAGAACTCCCCACCCTGGAGATGTACATACAATAGATCTTGTTAAAGTTTTGCATAGTGACCTACAGATCTAAATTTGTAATCCTAATAACTGGCAGCTGAGCCTTACTAATTTTGGCAACCCCCACTGCACTCGCCTAGCTCCTTCTCCGTATCCCAGGGAATCGGCTTGCCTGCCAACGTATCAAGTTACAAGGAGTGTAAACCAGGCAATGCACCTATTTCTAGGTTATTAACACTAGCGACATTCATTTCTTAGAAAACAGCCCTCTCAAAATGGAAAGATCTGTTTACTTCACCACTAACACTGATGGGCGGCCATTCTTCAGGTCCAAACAGGCTATTGTTAAAGATGAGACAAGGGCAATCTCAGACCTAATTTACAGGTTTCAGGGTAACTTAAGTTCATGAATTTAAATGGCTCTGCTCTGAGTAAAACGTAGCTGAATACAACCCAGAGACTTAAGACACCTTAAAGACTAACTGTTAAGTCTGCACATGGTGATTCTGGCATGTTCTCCATGGGGAAATTAGATGATAAAGTCATCGTGTGCAGACTTTACAATTTCAGAAATAAAATGTGTGAAGCGAGCTTTCAAGTGCCATTAAGAAAAAGTTGCCAGAATAATATATATCTATATCCATCAGATTCCCATGAAGGGCAAGTCCTCCAGTTTTACTCTGACACTCACCAGCTTCTGATGGATATAAGCCATACATTTGGGGGACCACTAACACAGACTCCCCCAGAAATCTCATTGATAGGGCAGTAACCACCCTGGAATCTTTTTGGTGAAGAGCAGTTAAAAATATCTTTTAAATAAAAGTAAAATAAATAGAGGTGGTAATTTGTGAATGGGAGGGAGATAACACGGCTCACAGTTCTTTTTTGTCATTGAAATACACTGCAGACGTCTGATCTCCCTGGAGACCAAGAGATGTGACGATAGACTGCTCTGCCTCCTTCCTTTCAGCAGATGTTTTGTGCCACTGGGGAAGTGGTAATTCTGTATTGATTTGTTTTGGATGTTGTATGCGATGCCAATAAAAGGTTCTACGAGGCTCACAGCTCAACCCCACAAGTGAACAGGCCAGGACTGCATCATGCGCCAGTATCATGGGCAAGGCTCACCCAACTTGGTCCAATGATGTCATAGCAGGATGCTATTGGACACTGCCTCCCCAAAAGCACTCAGCTGAAATACTGACACAGTGCAGCCTCCTTTCTTTTTCAACTTTGCTCCCCTACTCCGGGGTACAACCATAGCCAAGTGATAGAGCATCTCCTTTGCATAGCAGCAAAGGTTCAATCCCCAACATCTCCAGATGGGGATATGCCCCGTCTGAAACCTTGGAGAGACGCTGCCAGTTCATGCAGACAATACTGATCTATATGGACCCATGGACTCACTCGGGATGAGGCAGCTTCCTATGTTGCTTTGCCCCCTTTCAATTCTATGTACAGAAGCTGACCAGAATAGCGCTGGAATATTATTTTAATATTGGCAGCATGGCAGCATTCTGCACTGCATCCGAAGACCACAGGCTATCCTAGGGGTGCTAGAGGAGACCACATGGCACATATGTTCTCCCACATCTTGCCACCACTGCTGCTCACCCCCTGGTATCTGCTGTCTGAGGTAGTCATCTCAATCTACCTAATGGCAAAACGGGTCCTGATGCTACCACTGAGCTATGGCCACTCTTGCATGTGCATTGACCCACGTTCCTTGCAAAAGGGACGTGTAGTTGCTGTTGTCCTCCTGTGTCGTTTGTGGGCTTCCCTTGGGCATCTGGTGGCCACTGTGAGGCTAGATGGGCCACTAGCCTGCTTCAGCAGACTCTTCTTACGTTCTTATGATAAAAGTATGATATGGGGAGGGGACCACAAAGAAACCTCCCAGAGGAAACATCTCGATCCATATTCCAGCATGACGGCGAATTTCCTTCAAGGATCCAACGCTCTTTTTTAAAAAAAGTTCTTGTCATAAACATGTACACAGCCCAGCACTATGCCAAAGCCACTCTCACAGCATCTTCTGCTCTAAAAATAGGACTACAGCTGTTGCAAGTTGTTTTTCAGCCCCGCACCAATTTCTAACCAACCCAAGAGAGATACAACATTCTAGATTAGAGCAGAACGATGACCCCCACCATGTTTTAACTAACTGTTGTTACAGAAACAGCTCCTTTTTCGCAGCCTACTTAAAGATCCAATTCGGGCGTGGGCAACCTTTTCTTGTGGTTGTTGAGGGCTGAATTATTCTGCCACATCCCTTCTCCTGTTTTCCCCCCTTCGCCACCCTCATGAGATGAGGCCGAGGGCTGCCAGTTGCCCACCTCTGATCTAATTTAATAGCAGTATTTATACTGTGGGGGGAACCTTTGCCCCTGCTGATGTTGCTGAACTACAACTCCCATGGGCCATGTTTGCTGGGGCTGATGGGAGTTGTAGTTCAGCAACAACTGGAAGACCACAGGTTCCCCACACCTGTTTTATATGGTAAGGTTACATTCGCAACCAAGTTTCTTTCTGTCTTATTTGTAATTACAATGTTCCCTTCCCCTGCCTAACAGGGTTCATCATTGCCAAGAGAGAAGATACCATATAAGGGATGTTATATCTTAACTGTAACAGCTTAAATAACATCACAGTGAAAATAGCAGATGTTCCTTTTTAATGCAAAAGCTGTGGTCCTAAAACACATTTGCTACTGAACAAGGCTGGACTTAAACATGCATAGGATTGCTCTGTCCAATCACCTCAGAGCGGAAAACACAACAGTAATTTGTATTAAATTCCTGGCTCCCATTATTGCGGTGCTTAAAAGCTTTCTGCTGATGTGTCCAAACAGACCCAGCTCCCCTTCACAACAGCTTAATGAGACGCGGCTTCTTATTAGCTAATGCTTCCAGAGCTGTCAGAGCTGCACAATGTAAGTAGCTCAGCACATGAGAAACAGCAAACGCGCAGAAAGCTGCTTGGCTAAGATGCCTCATAACCCTGCCAGCATATTCTGGCGCTTCTCAGAGCTAACTCTGGTCTCTCCCGCTTTGCTAAATTCCCTGGATGGATGCAGCCACAGGGAACAATTGTAGCCGGAACTTCTCCTGTGAAGCTGCCAACATGGTGCCGGGTCCAGCATGGTCCAGGGGTTACTAGATTCCTGCTCCCTTCAGCCCAGTCATCATGGCCAATGGTCAGGGATGAGGGAACCTGTCAACCAGCGACATCTGTCATCCAGCAACCATGCTGGCTGCTCCTGCACCTAGATTCTTCTTGCTCAGAAACATCTATTCCAAGGAGCATTGCCTGGGACAAGTTTCCAAAGGGTGGGGTCTCACCTATTTATAACAATTTACTTGTTCTCTAGCTATTAGTCTGTTTGCTACCACTCTTGCATAAAAACAGCTTTTAAAAGTTTACACATACAGTCATACCTTGGATCCCGAACGCCTTGGTACTCAGACTTTTTGGCTCCCGAGTGCAGCAAACCCAGAAGTGAGTGTTCCGGTTTGCAAACGTTCTTTGGAACCCGAGCGTCTGACGGGGCTTCCGCAGATTCCGATTGGCTGCAGGAGCTTCCTGCAGCCAATCAGAAGCAGCACTTTAGTTTCCAAATGTCTTGGAAGTCAAACGGACTTCCGGAATGGATTCCATTCAACTTCCAAGGTACAACTGTATATATATTTCTCAATAAAATTAATCAGGCTGCTTCCTGTTTTATATTGGTATCAATACATTACATTGCATTTTAAAATATTACAAGATTCCTCTACTCAGCAATGTGATTGTATACACACAGAAATATACATACACACACCCCGTAAGTGAGAAATATATATATTTTTAAGGGGGTGGTCCAATTACCTAACAAGGCCCATGTTTCAAGATCCCCTTGATTATATCACCATAATTTCTAACTGGACTCTTGACATTTCATGCACATAGCTATTTACCTTTCTGATGAAGTTAACGTGACATTGTCCTTTCTGTACAGGTGGAGGGCATTCCGGAGGCACCCTGTATGCTTGGTGATTTTTACTCTGCTCTGCAGCATACCAAACAGCCGAGACAAAATTAACATGAATTGCATTGACCTCCTTGATCACATCGGTAATATCAAAGCTCTGAAGCAGGGAAAGATGGGGGAAAGATGCATTATAGACTCTGTATATTAAAGAATCTGAAACGCAGCATCCTTGAAGCATTGATTCAGTCACCCTGGGCTCTGGCTCAAACATTGCTTTCTTCACTTACAGGAACAGTCTACCTGAGTGAGCAATGTAATAAATTTATGAAGTGAGTCCTCAGGATTCACCGCTATGGTCATTTCTGCAAAACTTTAAAGCTCTAAATTGTACTTCAGAGACTGTGGAAGTTCCAACAGCTGCGGAGATCCCTGAGACTGCAGGTCAGGGGGAGTTGCTCACACAACTAGAGTAGTCCTCTGAACAAAGAAAGCAAGTGAAGTGATAATTCAGAGCCAACCTTACCCTACTTAAACCATACATTTACAACTTGCAGCCAACCACCAAGCCAACCTCAGCCCCACCAACCATGCATGGAGGCTTGCTCGGAAACTGATGTACCACCTGAAACTGCAATAACAGACCAGTTGCCTGGAAGCTACAACACAAGGCTGATGTGCTGCATTAAGCTGTTGGGTCTCAAGTTGTGTTGACCTGGTTTTACTTAGCAGCGCATTGTGCAATGACAGGCAATGGCTTTGTACACTATGACCTTGTAAGCCAAACTATAACTTACCATGACTTGCACGAACATGCTGTATCCAAGAGAAGACCTTGCACCCAATTTTCTCTTTCCTGGTCCTTTTAGAACAATGTGGCACAGAAGCTAAGCTAAGCCAAGCCAAAGTTTGGCTTAGCATGTCATCCGACTCCTCCTTAACCACAATCTGCTACTCTGGCTTAGCTGTTGCACTATGTTAAAAGGACAAGGAAGGAGCAAAACAGGTATGAGCTCCTCTCCAAGTCTCAGCAAAGTTTGGCCACTGTGAACCTGGTTATCCTCATCAGACAGCACTCAAGAGAGCAGGGAGGTCTTGCTATGCATTTTGATTACTTATGTACATTTTTAATGACGCATGTACTCATCTATGCTCTTTCTGTGTCAAGTACCCGTATTTTTCACTCTATAACATGCACCCAACCATAACACGCACATAGTTTTTAGAGGAGGAAAACAAGAAAAAAAATATTCTAAACGAAACAGTGGATGTATGATTTTTGTGGTTCATGCTGTGGCCACAGACATGTGATCTGACGGTGAGTTTGGGGTAGCCCAATGCAAAAATCCTGAGGATCCATGTGGATCCATGCTTTGTAACCACGTTTTTGCACCACTGCGGCCCCAGGCAACAGTGGGTGCGTGATTTTTTTGGTGCAAGCTGTAGCCATGGACATGCTATGTGATCTGATGGTGAATTTGGGGTGACCCAGTGCAAAAATCCTGAGGATCCATGTGGATCCGTGCTTTGTAACCAGGCTCTCTGTCCCTCTCTTCTCCCCACTAAGCGGCTCTTCTTCCGCTTTGCTGTTTCAAAGCAAGCCACGGACGAGGGAAGGAAGGGGAACCATGGATCCTCTGCTCACGACTGCAGCAGATCCCCCTGCCATCCGTAGGCATTCGCTCCATAACACGCACAGACATTTCCCCTTACTTTCTAGAAGGAAAAAAGTGAGTGTTATGGAGCAAAAAATACGGTACTCATGTATGTTCTGCCTTCATCAAAAGCCTTAAATGCTTCCAAGTATAAACTCTATTCCTTTTCTTCATATGCTGCCTTTGCACTTCTACAATATAGTCCTGAATGTCCTCAAAGTACCGTATTTTTTGGGCTACCCCAAACTCACTGTCAGATCACATGTCTGTGGCCACAGCATGAACCACAAAAATCATACATCCACTGTTTCGTGGATATTTTTTTTCTTGTTTTCCTCCTCTAAAAACTATGTGCGTGCTATGGTCGGGTGCGTGTTATAGAGCGAAAAATACGGTAGTATGATCAGTCGTGAACAATGTGAATGAGGAATGATTGTTTAGCTTAGAAAAGAACACTCTGCTACCAATATATATATTATATTATATATAATATATATATATATATATATATATATATATATATATATATATATATGCTGGAAGGCACCCAGAGTGGCTGGGGCAACCCAGTCAGATGGGTGGAGTACAAATAATAAATTATTATTGTAACAGGCAATGTCAGCTTCACTGCAAAGTTTGGTATTTCAACAGTGGGAAACAAGCGTAGCCGAACGCTGTGTGAGTGGAATTTTACTTGCACAATGGGATTTCTCCTTCCTCCCATGAAACCCCAAAATCTCCTTTGGAGGGCACCCAAACCCTCTGGGGCAGATGTTCAGGATGTACAGAAGGCTTGGGATAAGGGAGAGAAGAAGAGGAAAGGGAAATCCCATTGCACAAACGAAACAGCAGCACCAGATACAGCCCATACTTTTTACAAAAGAAAAAAGGTACTACCAGATTTCAGGTGACTATGCAGGATTGCCTAGATGCTGCCAAGGCTTAAAGACAGTTGAAACTGGGAGAAATCAAATCACTTTTCCCAAACACGTAATATATAAATTGGAGAATACTCACGTATCTGTTGAACATGTTGTTGGTCCTCCCAACAGTGACATTATTGACCACAATCTGTGCTACTGTATCCACCCCATCAAAAACCAAACTCACTTTTTGCCACGTCCTACAAAAAGAGAACAGAATACATATTAGGGAACCCACTGCCTTAATGATCTGGTGCAGATGAAACACGGCTGAAAAATCCAAAGTCATCATTAGGAACATGCATGTCCTGCCTCACTCCTACAAATTCCGTCTAGCCTTCCCTTGTCTTTCCTTCAGCGCTGACTTGTTAACCATGATTGATACAGTGGTACCTTGGGTTACAGGCGTTTCAGGTTACAGACGCTTCAGGTTACAGACTCTGCTAACCCAGAAATAGTACCTCGGGTTAAGAACTTTACCTCAGGATGAGAACAGAAATCGCACGCCAGTGGCACGGCGGCAGCAGGAGGCCCCATTAGCTAAAGTGGTACCTCAGGTTAAGAACAGTTTCAGGTTAAGAACGGACCTCCGGAATGAATTAAGTTCTTAACCCGAGGTACCACTGTGCTCAACAAAATTTCCAGCTAGATCACGAGTTGGAAACCTAGATTTGAAGTGAATTTGCAAATGACGAGAACCCTGTGGTTAGTATAAAGTGTGGCAAACCTACAGCTAAACCCTGGATGTGTCAAGGAAAAGGATCACACTAGAAAAAGGAGAGAAACTGAGAAGGGACCAGTCTAACATGCAGACAGACCTAGACCTACAAAACCCTCATTGAGAAATGATTTGAGCAACATCCATTTCTAGTCTGCTCCAGGGACTAACTCCCAGGTAAGTGTGCTTAGGAGTACAGCCTAAATCTTTGTATCATAACTTATGCCATTCTCATACCTGATATCAAAGGGAGTTTTGAAATCTCTGCTGTACGTCCAGTTATCCAAGGATATCCATGCATAGGCCAGGTCATTAAATCTGTAATAAGGATCCTATTGATGGACCACACAAAACAATTTTTAAAAAGCTGATTGTTAAAAGGCACCATTGCAATATATATATGGACACACTACTATTAAGGGTATTAGGGTTTGAAACATGCAGGGAGGGGACTCTGAACCTCTTTGCTGAGCATCTACGTGAAGCAACTAGATGCTCAAGCCAGAATGCTCTTTTCCTGCTTTTCCAACAGGGAATCCTCTGCTGTTCAGCTATACCAAACTTTGCAATGAAACTAACATCTATAATGGAGGCAGATTATTACCTATAAACTTTATCAGGCTTCTACATAGCATGTTGATTCATTCCCATGAAATGGTCCTGGACATTTGCAGAATGTCTACCATTCATTCATATTTTTCCCCCTCCTCTCTCTTTTCATTTTTCCACTGCAACCTCACCACAGTATTCTCTCCATCTAAGCCAACTCACAAAAGCAAGTATTAAATAAAGAAGAGTTCATCTCCTTTATCAAAGCTGAAAGGCGGGGCATTAATAAGGAAAGAGTTGGGAAATACACACTCGGTGAATCCCAACATTTTAATCCTCATTATGCCAGCATTAGAACTCTGGAGCCTTTTGAAGGCAAACAAGTACATTTTTTGCCTGAAAACAATTAATAAGATAGCCTGAGTTTTGAAAAAAGGGGAAGGGGAAGAAAACCTTTAGCTAACCCACGTATGTGAGAGAGTGATGCATATTTTAGTGAGCCTGTGCTAAATATAACCTCTTTACCGGAATATTTAGCACTACTGTAGGAACTAAGGAGGCAGAAATCATTCTCTTCAGTATGTGTGTTTGTGTACGGTGTGTATTAGGGATATTTTCAGAATGACTCCACTGTCGTCTGCATAGCAGGTTAATATTTAATTGTATCTACAGCTACTTAATTCCTCCCAGACAATTCACAGAGGAATGAGGATTATATATACTAATCTTTGGCTTTGTTTTTTTGAAGGCTAAAAGGCAGAGAAAGCTTTTAGAGTGTTCATTCCCCAAACCTTTTGCCAACCAGAGAGGATCACTAGTGTGCTATAAGAAGCAAATTAAAATACCCACTTTGAAGACAACCGCTGAAACGCAGGCTGTAGTTTTGCCAAAGGGGAAAATATATGAAAGGCTCTTATGAAATTTGGGGCCTGCCTCTTTCAAAACAGCCTGTAGTAAGGCAGATAAATCCTTCTGTCTGTATCAGGAGTGATTGTGTCATCCTGCCTTCATCTCTGCAAGAGCAACTGGCTGCTCTGGGTATGCATCTTCCTACTATTTCCCTCATATTTAATTCAGAAAAGCAGTACCTCACATATGCACAATGCCATTTTAAAATCACAGAGCTGAGAAGCTGGTAGGAACAGAATGGGCTCAATAGTCTAAAGCTCAAATCACAAAGCAGAGCAAAAACCCAGCCAGTCCCAGATCAGTGTGGATGGTGCAAGCAGAGATCAGGTATACCACACTAATAATAATGTGGGCTGGATCCTTCCCACCCCCAACCCCAATGGGCCAACTTTGATGGGTAGGCCAGGCTGCTCACCTGTCGGCTGCCTGATGTCATCACATGCAGTCCTTTGAAAAGGCAGCTTGAGAGCTAGCCCCCTCTTTTAATACAGTGGTACTTCTGGATGCAAACAGGATCCGTTCCGGAGCCCCGTTCGTATCCTGAAGCAAACGCAACCCGCGTCTGCAGGTCGTGATTCACCGCTTCCACGCATGCGTGTGACGTCATTTTGAGCGTCTGCGCATGCGCGAGCGTCGAATCCCGGAAGTAACGCGCTCCATTACTTCTGGGTCGCTGCGGAGCGTAACCTGAAAACGCTCAACCTGAAGCACATTTAACCCGAGGTATGACTGTATCTGAAAGACCATTGCATTTTTATATTTTGTTGGAAGCCACCCAGAGTGGCTGGGGAAACCCAGCCAGATGGGCAGGGTATAAATAAGTTGTTGTTGTTGTTTGCTTGCAACCAGCCCTCAGAGTAATGGCTCTCAGCACCCCTTAGGTGCACTAGGGAGTTCCTGATGGGGCAACCGATCCCAATGGGGCTCCCTGTCTGCTCTGATCAGCTGAATGGCACTGAGGTGGAGCTCCATTTGCCAAGGAATAATCAAGAGTGCACTCCTTTGAAGCCATGTCTCTACCCAGCATCCCATATTGACGTCAGGGCTGGGGAAGGTGGACATGGACTGGGGGAAATGGCCTCATGGGCCGAATTAGGACTCTTGCTGGGCCTAGTTAGGCCTGTGAGCCAAAGGCTGCTCACTGATGGGTTAAGGAACCACATTAAGACTGCTTACTACCACATTCATAAATCGGGATAAGTACCTATCTCTTTGTCTCGCCAGCACATTACTGTGCCGCATCAAGTAAAAGAACCGAGTGTCTGTCTTGAGATCAGTGCCAACAGAGATACCACTGAGCCCAGAGCAATTCTCATGTTACCACATACCGTCAGTTGCTGTGAGGTAAAATTTGTTGTGCTCTGGTTTGATGCCAGTTCCCCCAGAGAAAGAGCTAAGGCTGGAGCCTCATGGATAGCTCCAAGTGACCAACTTGTTCCAGCAGAGGACTGAGATCTTTTAGGACATAGGTATATTTCCCAGAGCCTCTGGGACCAATATCAAATGTTTACCTTTAACATATCTATACTGTCAAAATGTAACAGGAAAAACAGTGCTGGGGTTAGGGCTGTTACACAGCAAATGAATGTTAGTTGATTAATCAATTAGAAGGACATAAATTTGCAAATGAACTGAAAAACCACAATGGGTTGTACTCAATGAAGTCTACTACCACTGGAATGAATGAATATAAGTTAGTCATCGTGTCAATTAATTCCCATGGGTATACTCTGAGCAGGACTAGTGTTGAATGCTACCCATAGGTTCTGAAGCAAAAAGCACATTGTCATTGCTTTCGGATGATGCAAACGTTTCTTTCAGAAAGTACCATCTTACAATACAGAGGACAGAATGCTCTTTGAATGACAGGTGCCGGCCATGGTTTTTGTAAGAAATAATTTTTGTTAAATTATTTTCCTGATAATGAAACTTTAGTGTTAAGGTAATCCAGTCCATGTTATGTGTTCCAGAGAGGACTTCGGATTTTCTCATGCCTGAAAAGGGTGCCTCTCATATAGTTTTATTTTAGGTGTTTATATTGAATTCTCAGCATTCCTGCTTTTATTTATTTTTAATATTCCTTTATATTCCTCTTTTTCTGTTGCATTGTTGTTTTACTTAATATTGTTTACTGATTTATGCTATAGGACACTTAAAGAGATTTTCAAATATTAAGCAGCCTATAAATGCTTTCAATTACAGTGGGTTAAGTACTTAATTCATTCCAGAGGTCTGTTCTTAACCTGAAACTGAGAACAGAAATCGTGCTCCGGCGGCGTGGCAACAGCAGGAGGCCCCCATTAGCTAAAGTAGTGCTTCAGGTTAAGAACCGTTTCAGGTTAAGTACAGACCTACGGAACAAATTAAGTACTTAACCCAAGGTACCACTGTACTGAGCTAGCAGGACTAATTGTCTGACTCAGGATCAGGCAGTTTCCTGCAGAGGAAGTTTAGTGTTTCGACTACGGTATTTCATGAGAGCCATCACTCACCGGAAGAACGCAAAGCATCATCTTTGCTTTCTCCCTAACAAACCACAACATACCAGAAGTGACAAAGCAGTTGCAGCAGCACACTGCTCCTTCACAACAAACCTTCATGAGTTAGATATTTTAGCTGTAATTGTGGTGTTTAGCTTATTTTTTTAGTTGCTGGGTTTTTTGTTTGTTTGGTTTTAGTTGCTGTTTTGTTAATAGTGTTTCATAGATTGCAAAAGTTTTACTGATGATTTTTAAATTACTTTATATGATCCATGCTGTATCTGCAATGTTCTGTTCTATCATGTTATTGTTCTTTATTGTTTGTAAGCTGCTTTGAGATTCATTTAAATGAAAAGTGGCACAGAAAAACAGTAGAGCAAAATCAATTCAAAATCAAAGCCTGGTTTATTGTTAAGTACCAACACAGGAAGCCTGCCTTATATTGAATCAGACATAGAGTCCATAGAGCTCAGTATTCTGTATGGTGACTTGGCCATGACTCTCAAAGATTTTGGACAGGATCTCTCCCAGCCCTACCTGGAGATGGCAGGAATCGAACCTGGAACCTCCTGCATACAAAGCAGATGTTCTGCCACTGAGCTACTACCCCCTCCCTGACCAGTGAGGTAACAGTTGTGTAGTAAGATTTCAAGTTACCACATCCTGAAAGAAAGCTAGAAAACAACACAGTTCAGAAAGGCATTTTAATGCTCTATTATCTTTAAGGTTTTGTCCGAATGAATCCTTCTGCTTTCTGAACTGTCAGCTTCCAGCTCAAGAGAACAAACTTGGCTGCCTTTATATCCAAGTGTATACAGAGTGAGAAAAAAATTAACCAACAGAGGTAACAGGAAAATGGTTTTCATATATCATAGCATGTGAGAAATGGGGGGGGATTCAATTCGGGGGGGGGACATTCCAGTTCAGTCACTAGTCTGGAAAACTTTACACGTGCAGAAAATTTGAGGAATATTGCTCTCATTAATTTTTTTTAGTGGAGATGATTGCAGAGTAATTAGCACAAGATCTGTGACTTGTGCTGCTTCCTGTTATTGTGTTGCTTCTTAGTACAGCAGGGCTGGGAAATCTCTGGCCCTCCAGATGTTGTTGCGCTCCAGTTTCCACCATTCCCAGCCAACATGACCAATGGTCAAGGGCTGGTTGGAGCTGCAAACGAGCAACGTCCGGAGGGCCACAGGTTCCCCACCTATAGCATGATAAGATGGTGAGGAGCTGGGAGAACACAGGGAATTGATTGCACTATAAGAAAGTCAAGGAAAATTTGCCAAGTGTCAGATCTAAGTTGTAACAGTTTGTTTTTCATTATAAAACATATCTTTTTCCCAAATATGTATTTGTTCTGTTAATGTAAAGGAGGAACTGATGTTTTGTTTAGATCACTTTTTGAGCCACTGTTTTTGTTAACTCAAAACTGACAGTTTCCCCACACTGATATGTATCAGGACTGAGCCGTGGATAGCTCTTAAGTGGGGAGCCAGGGTGTCAGGAACAAGGGATTCATAGAATAATAGAATTTTAGAGTTGACAGGGACCCTGAGGATCATCTATTCCAACCCCCTACAATCTGTCACCCAATGTGGGGCTCAGAAACTCTATCCAAGAGTCAACCTGCCTCAGGGCCCGGACAAACTATCCTTCACTGGGAAAAGTCTGAGTCTATATGGTCTATACAGGAAGACTTTATAGTCTTAAGACAGGTGGTCATTATAATACAATTGCCAACATCCCTGGCCATTGACCATGCTGTTGGGGGATGATGTGTGTTGGGAGTTCAACATCTAGAAGGCCACAGCTTCACCATCCCTCTGCGGAGTGCCAAAGGTCTTGCTGCCCAAAAAGATGTTTTAAGTTGTAATCTTGGTGTCTCACCATATCGGACAGCAGTTTTAGCAACACCAGCTCCTGGCACCATGCGCCCCAAAACCATTGCTGCCAAGTGCACACCGAGCTCAGAAGAAATTTGTGACTTGTACTCACAGCTTTTAAATTAAGTCTCGGAAGCCAAGTGCAGAAGAATTTCCCGTGGTAATACAGGTTTACTGTGCTCTAGAGAAAGTATGTATATTCATGTTCCATGGCAAGATGTTTGTTTAATGCTTTTGTTACTTTTGATATACCCTATTTACTCGAATGTAATACGCCATCAAATGTGCACCTCCATTTTCAAAACCCTGAAACCAAAAAAGGATTTGCTGGTGAATGTAAATGTGCCATCAAATCTAATGTGCACCCTCATTTCTGCAATGTAATTTGGCCCCCAAAAAGTGCTCATTACATTCGAGTAAATACAGTGGTACCTTGGTGCTCGAACGGCTTGGCTCCAAAACAAATAGGCTCCCAAATGCCACCAACCCAGAAGTGAGTGTTCCAGTTTGCAAACGTTTTTCAGAAGCCGAACGCCCAACGCGGCTTCCGATTGAGAGCAGGAAGCTCCCGCAGCCAATCGGTGGCTGTGCCTTAGTTTTCAAACCATTTCAGGAGTCGAACGGACTCCTGGAACAGATTAAGTTTGAAAACCAAGGTACCACTGTATGGTATTTCATAAGGCTGCTTGCATGGGGAAAACAAGTGCAACCAGATGGGCGGTTTTGACAGTTCCAGGAAGGGAATCGGAAGGACAGGGAGAGCAGAAAGGCTTGATACAAGTTTCTGAAATGCACCCGATGAAGAGAGACTGCCATGAGGTTCTGGAAGTGGCTGTGGTGGGCAGAGACAGAACCAAACAGCAGGGAGGGACAGAATGGTTGTTAGGTGCAGCTGGAACTGGCAACCTGAAACATCAAAGACAACAATGTTGGCATTTTCCTATCATAAATAGCAGCAGGGTCTTTTAAAATTTGTTTTTCTGGTGACTTCTGTTTCAGTGTATCTGAAGAAGTGTGCAGGCACACAAAAGTTAATACTGATAACAAACTTAGTTGGTCTCTAAGGTGCTACTGGAAGGAATTTTTTTATTTTGTTTCGACTATGGCAGACCAACACGGCTACCTACCTGTAACTTGTTTTTTTATTTCACAGTATATATAGGCAGCTCGGCATAGGGAAGTTTTTTTTAATGTTTTGTTGTGTTTTTATACTTTGCTGGAAGCTGCCCAGAATGGCTGGGGCAACAATAAAATTATTGTTGTTGTTATGATGTAGGTCAACTATGTTGTTGCTGTTGTTTTTCCTGGCACAGAGTCTAATGTGTTTAGAGTTACAGTACTCTCTACCAGGCCTGAGGTGGCAAGGGGGCCTGAATTTGGTCCTCTGGGCCTCAGTATCCAGCCCAGGCCAAGTCCTCCTTCCCAGGCCACACTCCTCACTTGCTCCACCCCAAGCCCTCCTTGAGTACTTCTGCCTGGCTGCAATGTGTCCTTGAACTGTGACATGGTCTCCAGCTTGCTGGATGGAGAGGTTTGTTTCTGTGGGCAGATGCACACACCATGCTTTTAAAGCATATCCAACACACATTTAACGCACATGTATTCGTTTGCAAGATAAGTGCTGAATTGCGAGTCATGCATGAGACTGCTGGAGGTGAAATAGTTAAATAGGTTACCCAATCAGAACCCAGGGGGGTGGAGTCAGAGGGTCTATAAAACCAGCTCTTGGAGGGGCAGAAGAGGGGAGTTCATTGGGAGTTGGTTGGAGTGGGAGTGAATTGAGATAGAGTCTGTGGGGAGATTGAGTTAATGTAGCGAAATAAGCTGAGTCAGGAACAGTTAGGAGCTAGGAAGACAAGTAAATATCTGAGAGGAGGTTTAGTCAGTGAGGGCAGGTAGCGGAAGTTATAGGTCTGGATAGACATCCTATGATTGTAATTGACCAATACCGTTTATGAAACCACACGCTTGTTAAACTGCAATAAATAAACAGAAGTTTGTGTTCCAATTTAACCCTGACTGGACTCAGTATTGTACCAGGTAGGGCCTGGGTGCTGGCAGCGAGAAATAAAGTGGTGGCACAGGGATCAATAGAAGGTGAAACTTCCGGGGACACTGTGTGATCTCCACAATGCCTTCCATTAACCTTGAACAACACCTGCAAAAATACACTTGCATGCACTTTACATTTGTAAAAATGACCTACTGGGAAATTTAGGCAAACTAAGCCTTTGTGCTATTTCTAAGTTGTACAATGTTTCCTTTAATTGTTCTTAAAGTGTTTCTTCAAAATGAAGTATTAATGCTTGATTTGTATTTTTATATGATGTATAAATACTTCCATTTTTTAAAAAACAACCTTATTCCTCTATACATCTGATTATATTACATGTTTAATACTATATATGCATTTTGATCCTATTTCCTGCTACTGTGCATTAATTAATTTGATTAGCACTTAACACAAAGAGTGATAACTAGAATGAAGGTTTTTACAGAAAACAACTACTTTTCTATGTGATGGAAATTTATATGTAGATATATGGAATAGCATTCAATAATTGTGGGCCATCACCTAAAGTCTGAACTGGCAGAGTCCAGTCACAGGTTGATCACCTCTATAAGAAACGACATGCATTGTAGGCCTACTTCAGGGACACCTGTTTTCCCCTTTGCCATTTAATGTACATGCAGAGAGAGAAAGTATTTGCACCAAAAAGGGATAAATAAAATGTGGTAATAGCAAATGATTCAAAAATAATCAAACAGGGTTAAGCCATCTTTTTTTCTTTCAAGGGTGAGATTCCTTTTGGGGTAATCTAGCCAGAGCCACAACCATGGGTAGGGCCAGAGACAAAAGAGGACAGGCTTGGAGGCAATACCAACCCCTTTCCTCCCAATTTCCCCTCCTAGTTGCCCAGATAAAATAAAGCTATGGGCTGCAAGAAATTGGTGCAAGGATCACATGCAGCCCCAGGGTTTGCTCAGCTCTGCACTTAGCTATCTGAAAATATTATCCTCATAAATGGCTATAATGGAATGAATGAAAAAGGCTGAAGTGGGAAACTGAGAACATAATGATTTGACCAACCCATTTTGCTTCACACTCAGGTCTAGTGCATCACCATGCTACGGACCTACATATCCAATTGTTTTTGAGCCAGTTTTCGCCATTCTTAAATATATTGTCTTAGTTGTTGCTCCCTGCTGACCTCTGGTTGCAACACACACACACCTCTATTCTCCTGGGCAAGACCCACTGAAACTAATGGGAAGTGTGCAAAAGCATGGTAGTGATTTTGCTCTGCTGAGCTGCTCCTGCTCTTTTCAATGAGGCTAAGACAGGCTTTGGATACAGATACTTTTGGATACTTTTTGGATACAGATATTGTGGATACAGACTTTGGAAACAGATCAAGTGGGACAGATGTCAGGCATAGGCAAACTCTGCCCTCCTGATGTTTTGGGACTACAATTCACATCATCCCTGACCACTGGTCTGTTAGCTAGAGATGATGGGAGTTGTAGTCCCAAAACATCAGGAGGGCAGAGTTTGCCTATGCCTAGTCTACGTAACCGCAGGGCTCTTCCTATGCTCCAATGAAGAAGAGCACTGCACACTGCAACTTTTTGCTTCAGGTTCCACTCGACCTCCAATAAGTGTAGTTTGCACGCACCCAGAGGCCCATTACTTGTACCTGTATTAAGTAGCGAATGCATGTCTGAATGAGCCATCTCATTCCTGTCGCTCGCTTCACATCACGTTTAAAACACAATGCTTTCCACGGCAGTCGACCGAGAGCTTTGAGGAATCAAGTGAAGGGCGTATGCACGTGTGAACCAGTCTAAAAGGGTTGTTGCGGATCATAGACACATGCCCTTCCCCTTGAAAACAGTGTTGCAAACCGCCGTGATATTTCTTTTCTTAAAAATATAAAGCGGTCTAGAAATGAAATGAACAACAACGATAGCCAAATAAACGTGGTAACCAACCACCCCCCCTCGTAGCTAATGGCCTTTCGCTGGAGCGTCCAGCAGCCGCCACTCTCACTTTCGAACCAGCGCAGCCGAAGCTGATTGGCTGGCTGATAGCGCCAGCGAGATCGTACCTGGATGAGACCGTGTCGGAGCAACGCGGTGTGCACGCACCCGGGCACATCTCCTCCCAGCACCAGCGAGCCGTTCCCGTTGCTCAACCGCCAGCTCCCCTGCAGGCTGTGCACCTCCGTCGACCCGGCCCGCCACGAAGCAACCAGGAGGAGCAGGACCCAAAGCGCGCAAGCAGGAGCAGGACCGAAAGCGTGCATCTTGGGCGAAAAGCAGGCGGGAGCCACGTGGGATCAAAGCCCACCGGTGCGGAGCCGGAGAAACACAAAAGCCCTGCAAGCAGTTGGATGATTCGGTCCAGGGAGCTACGCACGACTTGCCGGACTTTCCCCCCTCCTGCGAAGCGCGGCTGCAAGTAGTTAGCCTTGATCAGCTGAGAGTTTCTCGGAGGTGGAGACTCTCGTGCGCTCTGCAGCCTTTGCGCAGAGGGAGAAGCGCGCCTGCGTGCTGCCTTTCTCTCGATGTGTACATAAGATTGCGGAAGTCATCTTCCGTCGCAGCGCGTGACCGCAGTCGATCAAGAAAAGGTGGTTGTGTGATCCCATCCATTCGTTCCCCTAACTAAAGCAAGAGGATTGATCTGGGCATGTTCCCGAATCGAGTAACACAGCAACCGTTTCCGTGCGCTCCAAGGCGTTCCTTCCCAATCCGAGTTTCTTCTGACTGCTCCCCACTTTGCCCAGTCCCCTTTCCTGGCCCAAATCGGTTTCCTGCAAGGTTTTTCGCCCCCGCCCCATGACTCAGGCCCTCGCCCCTCCGGTGCGCACGGCTGCCCTTTACTCCACCTCTTCCATTGCTTACTGCAATTGGTCAGTTCCTGGATTCACATTCTTCTCTTGCAGAGCTTGGGTCAACTGTGATGCGGTTTGCGCGAAATGGTGTTTACGAGGAGTAGGTAATCACGCAGCTGCGATAATGTATTCCGTTTCGTGAGTGCCATCTAAGAACTGGCTTGCAATCTCCCGCTATGGACCTCCATTTTATGACACATGGGACTAGTATTTATTAAAGGAGATTTTAACCCTCTGCCTTCAGTTTCCAATTTATTGGTTGTTGCGCAAGTTATCTTTTCTCCTGTTCGCTGCCTTAAAGTGATTTGTGATTCAATGATAGTGTAGTGCCTTAGTTCGTTATTGCCTTATACAGTAATTTTGTGTGTTTTTTAACCCCTGTAATTTTGACTATAGATAGTAGTTAAATTGCAAAAATAAATGAAACGTGGTTTCAGGTTTGACCTCTCCTTCAAATTCTTTTTGTCCTTCACAGCTCCCTGAGGTTTTGCACCCCTAGACACTCCTGCAAATATTTTCTGTTATTAACCAGCAAATACATTTCAATAAGATCATGAGTTAGTGAGAGTTTAGTAAAAGTTCCACAGAGATGTTCTCAATGTTAGCTCTGTTCTTTTACCAGCTCTTTAAATATGAGAATAGCTAGAAATTAGACAGCTAACTGAGGGAAGTTTTAAAAGCGAGAATAGGTCCCCAATCCTTTTCAAACAATTTTGATTCTATTCAAAGGAAAACCCTGAACCTAACCTCCATTGCCTTGCAGCTATCCTCATTCATGAGAAAGACTTTGGGAGTAAACCCTGATAAATAATCCATACCCACTGCCTTGTGCGATATCTTTGGGAGAAAAGGCTATGGAGTAAGCCAGAGGTCGACAAGGCTTACTGGGCATGGGCCGGATCACTCCTGCGGAGATCCTCCGTGGGCTGGGCCAGCACAGCACGATGCCAGAAATCACTTCCACGCATGTGCAGATGCTGAAAATCGCGCATGTGCAAAAGCGATTTTCAGCGCTGCGGATGTGCGCAGGTGCGATTTCTGGCATCTGGACATGCACTGAAGCTATTTCCGGAGCGGTGAAAGAGCTCCCGTGCTGTGCTGGTTTAGCGCAGTGCACGGGGACTTGCCGAGCGGGCAGCTCAGTTCGTGGGCAGCTCCAACGGCCTCAGTGGGCCACTTCCAGCCCATGAGCCTTAGGTTGCCTACCCCTGGAGTAAGCCCTACCCAAATCCAGAGTGGAGTCCCTACGATGGTTGAATGCCGCCTTGTACACCTCTTTCCGGCAACTCCTGCAGCCAAGCCGGTGCCAAACGTATTGCTCTGCTTTCCTTTGGACCACATCAGTGAGACCAAGAGAGGAATCTTGCCGTCTAGGTGGCCCAGGACCTCCATACACACTGCCCATGCTTGCACTCTGGGGAGGTCAGTTCGGTGCTGCTAATGCAGCGGTTTGATGTCACCCCTGGAGGAACACTCCATTGCCTCTCGAGACAGAAAGATGCCAACAAACCCCCATCTGTGGTCCAGTGGAACAACACTTGCTGTATATGGCAGTAGTGAGGAACCTCCAGCCTTACTGGGCTGCCCCTTATGGGGGGTGCTAAGCCACCCAGTTTAGCCTGCTAGGCAGTTTTGAGTAGCCACATGACATCAGACATGGCAACCACAGTTGTCACAGAACATACAGCTTAGTGTGTACATGCCCAATTGTTCCTTTGCTGGTGGGCTTGCTGTTTAAATCTGGCACCGAACACAAACCCCACTGCTTTCAGCAAGAATTGGATGCATCTGAAGTCATATGATGCAAAGTGATTGACAGGTGGCTGTCTCCACTCAGATGGAAGCTTCGCAAGTTTTTGATCCAGCCTGGTGGTTGAAAGTGGTTCTCCACCCTGCCATGCCCATGTCCTAGGATGGATTAGAGCTAAAATGCTGATAAATACACAAACTGGTGCAAAGCAATATAAATAGGGAAGTATTTAATAATCGATACAGGTCACAGCAGTATAATAGTCAAAATGTGTCAAGCAGAAAATGTGCTGCTTTCTAAGTGATTAGGAAGGGGAATCTCCCAACTTTAAAGCTTCCTAGAGCTGTAAGGTATCTAGAATGGAACTACAGACATAAAAGGCCCATTGTGAAAGAATGAAGTGACTGGGTAAATATAAGAAAGGTCAACACCATACTCTTTCATATAAATTTCAGTTTCCCTCTACAGGGATAGGGTTGCCTGTACAGTTACACTTTCCCAATTCTATTTGCTAAGCTGTAAAGGAGGAGGAATGTGCCATTGCTTTAAAAAAAATTATCCCAGCACAACCTTATCAGAAAATCCCATCTACTGTAAATTCCGACAGTATATAGCAAGTGCTTTTTGACAGCTTACATCCAAGCAACTTTATAAATGTTAAATAGTATTAAAATCAACCCAACCCATTTCAAAGTGAACAAATACAGTGGGAAAAGCTTCAAAGCTGACATTTTCCATTGCCAGCACTTTCATCCATCGTCAGCCCAGATTCCTGTAGCCTTTGAATTTTTTAAAAAATGAACCATTTCCAGGAGAAAAGAATCATCTAGCATTTCTGCTCGGCTGTGAGCAAACCCCCAAATGGGCTGAATTTCCATTTTTACAGTACATCGTATTTACTGAGAAGGCTTCATTTAGAGGGGCTGCTCAGAATAAAATAAAAAGCATCAATACAGCCAAAAACCGTACCTATTTTTTTGGCTAACTTTGGATGGGTGTTAGATATGCACCACATTGCTGCTCTGCTTCTGTGGGAATTTGCCAGTGTAAGCACAGTTCATTCAGACAAGTCAAACACAAAAACACAGCATGGGTGAAAATTTAAAAAGTCCCAACTTCCTGTTGTGTGAATTGGCCAAGAGAATGTTAGGATGCTCACGGGAAAACAAAGTAGAAACTTTTTACCCATGGCTTCCTACCAGCATGTGATTGCTGCAGAATTTTTCAGTTGATCAGCAGCAATTTGGTATTAGATTACTACCAGAAAAGCCAGCACAACTTTCCCCAGCGAAGCTTGAAAGGGATGGTGCAAGTGGTTTGAGACAACTGCTACTGCCCTGCTGGACAGAAATAAATGGGTACCGCATCAACCTTTTACTCAGTAGAAACAAATCTATTACTATCATTTCTCCCTCAGTATGGAAGACACACACAAAAAAGCCAACAGCACCAATTTAATGCCCGCTGACATATATTTTGTGGACAGAATGATAGCTCTGCTCCTGAACTAATGTGCATTTTTACACATGTAGGGAGAGATCTGGTGGTGAACGTCACATCCGTAGGGCTGTGCCTGATTTCACAATTTTATTAAAGGTAAAGGTAAAGGGACCCCTGACCATTAGGTCCAGTCGTGACCGACTCTGGGGTTGCGGCGCTCATCTCGCTTTGTTGGCCAAGGGAGCCAGCGTACAGCTTCCAGGTCATGTGGCCAGCAGGACTAAGCCACTTCTGGTGAACCAGAGCAGCGCACGGAAACGTCATTTACCTTCCCGCCAGAGTGGTACCTATTTATCTACTTTCACTTTGACGTGCTTCTGAACTGCTAGGTTGGCAGGAGCAGGGACCGAGCAACGGGAGCTCACCCCATCGCGGGGATTCAAACTGCCAACTTTCTGATCAGCAAGCCCTAGGCTCTGTGGTTTAACCCACAGCGCCACATGTAGGGAGAGATCTGGTGGTGAACGTCACATCCATAGGGCTGTGCCTGATTTCACAATTTCATTACTACCACGCCAAAGTACAGCAAGAAGAGGAGTTTGGATTTGGTATCCTGCTTTATAACTACCCTAAGGAGTCTCAAAGTGGCTAACAATCTCCTTTCCCTTCCTCCCCCACAACAAACACTCTGTGAAGTGAGTGAGGCTGAGAGACTTCAGAGAAGTGTGACTAGCCCAAGGTCACCCAGCAGCTGCATGTGGAGGAGTGGGGAATCAAACTGCTCTTAACCACTACACCACACTACACACAATTGGTTTGGGTTGGTGAGAATTTAGGTTCCCAAGACTCTCAGCTTTAAAAATAAAGGTGATCGAGACAGTGGAAGGAAAGAGCTTACGGTCAGTTTCTCAGCCACAGGGAGAGTTCAGTTTTGCAACCAGAAAGATAGATATGACTATCAGTGATTCAAACTCTGCCCCCCACCCCAGCTTCTCTGAGGTCCGATGGAAGAAAGGGACTTTCCTACGGTGGCAGCAGTTATGGAATGTCATCCCCAGAAAAGTTCACCTGGTGTCCTTTTGACAAAGACCTTTTTAGCTTCCCAGATATTTTCAATTCATTTGTTACACTGTTTGGTGGCGATGGTTTTACCTTTTAAAATTGTGGTCGTATATTTGCTAGTTTGTAATTATGCATACAAATTGTACAGTTCGCCACC